AGTGGTAACATTACCATTAAAAAGGCGGACGAAATTCTGGACCTTATTCGTGTGCGTATTCCTGAACTCCCAACATCCATCCGGAGTGTTCTACGTCGATGCGACGAAGTGGAGCCTAAAATGCTGGAATCAGGAACTTACTACCATTTAGGATTGAAATCAAGTTTTCTGAGGACTTAGGAAAATTGGCTACGTAACACCCGTTTCACAGAACTGAAGCTGCAATTAAACTACGATGGTCTAAGTTTTTTCAAAAGCTCTCACCATTAGCTGTGGCCGATCCTATGTCGCATAACAAGTCCATTAGTTAGTAATGTATTCATAGTTGGGATCTTCGGTGGAGAAGTAAAACCATCTGATTTCAACATGTCGACAGCACTTATACCTGAGTTACACGAGTTGCTGACAGTATGTATTACTGTTGATAAGTTTCACGTACATTTAACGGTCCAATTAGTTGCTGTTATTTGTGACGCTCTTGCTCACAGTATTGTCAGGTATGTTGTTGGACAAAACGCTACCGCTGGCTGTGACAAATATCAGGTTTTGGGACGCGAATGGGTGGTCGAATGCTTTCCTTAATGGTGTGATGTCACTTTTCGTAGTAGGTCCCAATCTATCCATCATCGTGGTAGAAGTTCATTCGAAAATCTGCCAGTGGACATGATAAAGTGTTTTCCATCGGAACCGATGCATATGAAATACTTTGGTGTTACTAAAAAACTTATTTCATTATGGAAGGAGCTAGCTATTAAGTGACTTAATAGGATGGGTCAACCTATTATCGCATCAATAAATGATGCACTAAACTTATGTAGACAGCACACTATATGCTACTTTCAACGGAAATGTCGCTCATTTTATGAAGTTTCTGTATGGAAAGCAACTGACTGTCAGTTGTTCTTATTATACATAGGACCTGTAGTTCCTCATAATAGGTTACCACTATCAATGTACAGAAACTTCCGGTCACTGTCCTTGTCAGTATATTTATTATCGCACCCTAAGTTGCATACCACATTAGTAAACAGTGTTCGGGTATATATTAACAACTTCTTATTAGGTTACGAAAAGTATTACGGTAGCGACCAATTAATCTACAATGTGCTTTAAACTATGCACATTGTAGAGGAAATTATAGAGCACGGAAGTTTAGAGTCGTTCTCTGCCTTTCCTTTTGAATCATACATGAGGAAAATTAGGCGTTCAGTACACTGCGGATTTGCTGCAGCTAAACAAGCCGCACAGCGATACGCCGAAGAAGTTTAATTTCAAAGTATACTAAATCAAGATATAGCTGACAATATTACTGGGCCTGAGTTAACTTATGATTCTTCCAAGGAAATCATCAGTTACAGAAACTCAAAGCTATATACTACAAGGCCTGATAACAAAAGATTGTCCTATGATACAAATAAAATGTAAAGAATTATTCTCAAAGCGGTCACTGAACTGTCTAGCATGATGGACAAAGTGATCGCTTCAAATGAACGCTTATCCATGGGTGTAATTTACAGGCGTATGGACGAAATGAATAGTGATGCTATCACTTTCCCAATAAGAACGCATGAGAAGTTGCGTTCTTTAGAAGCTGCTTCAGACAACCAAAATTTCCGGGAGCATTTCGTAAGTTGTAACAGGTGTTTGAACAAATTTTAGGTGGCAAGATTATGCAACCTACTGTGTGACGATGCTCGGAAATCAGCTAAAGCTTGTTTACGAAACTTCCTTTCGCCGAAAGTGGTGAACACTTACACTTTGCACGGAACCAGAAGTAAATTCGGTATTAGCAAATAAAAATTTTCCTCGACGGATCAAAGTAAGTCCACACTACTGTATTAACATATTTGTAGGTGCACTGTGTTTGCGTTCCCGAAGTGCGACATGTCCGGTAAAGGAGATCATACACCCGTGGGTATAGCAAGTCAGGTATTCTTGCATGACGCAAGAGATAAAGTACACAAACATGGATGGCGATCCAAAGAAAGGGTGAGCTAAGACCACTTTACATGTTTGTTATAATACGTATTGCACTTTTAATATTACTTTGTGATCTATATTTACACTGATACAACTGTTTTCTTGTCCGTCTGGCTTCGCAGGTTTTATCAGATGTACCTGTAAGTTCTTCGTTGGCATTATTAACAACATTGCCATACTGTTGTTACATCATCCACGTTTCACATATCTTGACATATGATTATACACTAAAAAGAATTTTTTGTTTTTTAGAACACTGTGAATGATGGTTTAAAATCTACGTAACCAGTTCGTGTTACAAAGCAAAGCAAAACATTATTAAAGGAATGATTTGTAATTTTTTAAACTGTAATAAACACTTTTATATGTCACAAATCCATCTTTCAATAACAGCTATAAATCGGTTAACGCTAGGTTTTATTGGCAATGCGCAATTGACGAAAAATAATAAAACATCCCGGTAAGAAATGTACCTATGCATCCTCGCTAGGTTTACCGTGATGTCTAGAGATTTTTGTGGAAGTTTTGCGCTAAAAATGTTTAGTAGGAAAACCTCAACGTTAGGGGAAATTTTTGGGATTTCCCTAGGTCTGGAAAAAGGTAGGGGTTTTTGTGCCATTTCCCCAAACTACTATAGCGCCTTCCCCAAAATGTGCCAAATTTTTCCCGAAATTGGGAGCTTGGGAGCACAAATAAAAGTTTAGGGACGTTACTTATATCAACAGGTTGGCGCGTGTCTTGTTGACTTTGGTACCAAAATCCAGGCACAGTATGCTTGTTAGTTTACGGGTTTTCGCGCACGTGTAACGTATTGTCGTGGATTTTATGTGTCGTTATTTATCAGCTATTAACAGCCTTTTTTCCGTCATACATGACTTTTCGTAATCTTTGTGATTGGAAGATAGTTTTTGTTTCAATTTATAAGCAGTTTGACGTATTTCGTGCTCACCACCTAAGTAAATATGTAGCTGGCGTAATATGGTTTTTTTTTAACAATACTAAGTCAAAGAAGTCAAATCACCATTTTTCTAGTCAAAAATAGATTACAGATTGAGTTTTCATGAAAATAAGCCGTAAAAAGAATTATATATGGTTCACCTCCTTGATTATGGTGACGGCAAACACAGATGTTGGTAGTCGTTTATAAAATGTAATTAGAAAGAAGTAAGCGTTAAAGTAACTATGAATATTATATAAATTGTTTGTATTTAGCCATAAAAGGTTATTTGGACTATAGGTAGCATTGTTTTGTACTGAAGTGACATATTACTGTGTAAGGTATCAGAGAAAAATTATGTGAGTAACAATAGACGTTGATAGTCTTTTTTACCGGTTTTCTGAACTTATACAGAAATAGTGTGTAACACCACATTAAATATGCACGAAATCTTCATAAGTAAATCGATGTGTGTCTCTTCTGAGCATGGTGACTAAACCATGTCTTACTTAATACTGACTTATGATGTGTCTGTTAGAGGGTTGACGAATAATTCTCTGTAAAGGAAATGCACAATCGCAGAAGAAAATGTGAACAAAGTTATGATGCATATTGTCGAGTAATATCTAAATGGTGCTTACCAATTTCTCCTGCTAATACCAGATATATAGACGAAATACTACAAGGGTTAGACACTGAAGAAATTTCCATTGCTTGTTAAGACACAAACTTAAATCAAAAAACAACTATTAATGAGTTATTTCATGAATTCCTACTGCATTACAGACTGACTCGTCCAAAGTAATTCATGCAGACAACGTGACGAAAAGTGAATGAGCAATGGAAGCAGAATCACAAGTTCCTTGTATTCATATCGCCTTTATGCCACATTATTGAATTAAATTTTATTCATAAATCCGACCACGCTTCTATGTTGTGACGAACCTGATTTCAGCAATTTTTAAATAACACTGATTTGTGTGTTGTAAAGATTACCTATTAATTTTTATTATAGGAAATAGAAATCTCTAATGATTAGCGCTGTCTGCAAATAAGAGACTTATAAGTACATTCTGTAACCTGCTATTTGATTGACTTATTAAATGTGATATTGATAACTAGGTCTAATTCTTTATTTCACGACTGATTTGTTTGTTTTTCAGAATTGTATGAATCAAATGAAGTCGTCAAAGCTTTGTGATGATGTTTACGCCGGTCTACAACTTATAGAATTTGTGATTATGGAAGACCATATTAAAATCATTTTTATTCAACAAATGAATTAGTGAAATATAAATATAGCAACTACACTTAGTGTCTTACGTTATAAACCATGTCAGTATTTATTAATAGTCGATATGACGCTAGAACAAATATAGATAGAGAATAATATGAACTCCTTATAATCCATGGAATGAACAAGTAATAAGAATGATTATGTAATAATTCATTTCACTTTTAAAATTTAGTTACGCATTTTTTCCATCACCCTGTCACTTAATCCTCTGTAATTACGTGACCTCTGCAAATTGTAATCAATTATGACGTAACTCAAGTTTTCAGTTCTTAAATCCACGGATCATTTACAAGCTATAAGATTTTCACACCACTTATCTGTCTGTGAACTACAGTCAACTATTATATCACCCATTCTTAATGTGTTATTGACTGTAAAAGCAAATGACCTTTGACCTTACACTGCATATATATATATATATTCACTATTGATAACCTGCGTCATTTCATTTATTCATATTCAGGTATGTCAACTGTTTCCCACATCACTGTTAAATCCTATTGCATATTTAGTTGTAATGAATGCATACCACTGTTAATCAACATTTCTCCTGGTTTTATTTTGATTCATAAGCGGAATTAATCACATGAACTTAAAATGTACATAGGTACTGATACGATTTTAATGATAAACGTAATCCCACGAAGGTGAATATGATATGTGGGTGCCTAATCTGCAAAACTGTACGTCGATGTAGGGTTTCTTAATCAATCTTAATTATTACAAACAGTTACACATGAACATCATTGCTATTCATTCCCATAAAAGTAGTAATAAGATGAAAATTGAAATTATGAAAGTTTATTGAAGAATCGTTGCTGCTAAAGCAGAAAATCAAGTTTACAAGTTGGTATTAAGAATTCTTAAGTAATAATTGTCAACTTTCTTCTCAACTTCTGTTGCGAAGCGTTCACCATACTTCTCAATGATGCGATGTTTATGGATTCTTTGGCTGCGTTGAATACTTACATACTCTTCACTCCGTCGTGGTAATGCAGTTAATGTATAATTTTGGAAGTCCTGGGTATTGTGTAACTTCCATCTGCTACAATACCTAAGAAGTTGATGAGCTATGCAGTTAGTATTTCATTATTGATATAGCTTACCTGTAAGATTTCTTCTTTTAACGTAGGCAAGTAGCATGTGACGGCAGGGATATCGACACATCATAAACATGCTACAATTGCATTGACAAATGCTTATATCGACTTCATAATGTTGTCCACGGTCAACCATGAACAACCAGTCGCCGCTTTCATATTCCACGTAGACAAAACGCATTTGTTTAAGCTCGTATAACACTTTAGATCTTGCGAATGGCGTCAAAATATTTAGCAAGGGTATTAAACGTTGTGGAGCATTATATTTATAATATCTTCCGGCTATCAATTGATCTTCGACACTTCTTCTAGTTGACCGAAATTATCCGTCACCACTATCTGGAATAAGGAATATCTACATAGTAAAACACAACGATAAACATATTCACTTTTTATTATTAGTATTATACGTAGAATCAATGCACACGACTTCTGGATATTTCCTATAGAGTTGTATTTGGTTATAACTACTGAAACATATTCTCGTCGCATATCCATTTTCTAAATGCTCCCTCACTTCGCCTTTTTGTCTAAGCATATCCATTACTTGCTTCCGAGTACAACAACCTGAAATATATTTATATACACTTACCAGTGGAGAGTGTAGCTTTCATAGCTTTGACATCGGCAGCAGTTACTTGCTTACCAGTTCTCTCCTTAATACTTTCGATAACTTCGTCTGCTGACTCACAGTGAAGTATTACGGGCTTCAAGTTCTCTTTTTCTTCTGACGATAATCTCCTTGTCCATGGATCACATACCATCCATGAACTACTACATGGATGATTGTGTATCATCTTGTAGGATTTGATGACATATCCTTGCTCTTCCAGTCTTACACGGAATTTAGATTGACAATTACGGAATTTAGACCTTAAACATAAGATATTAGTTAAAGATCTTACGATTTTTGCCTCACTTTCAAACCTTCCGATTTCCGTTTGTGACCAAACGTACAATTAAACGATACAAACAGGTATCTGAACCTGACATCCTTCAGCAATCTGCTTTCTGTGTGGATGTAACGAGTATAAGTAGTCTGAGAAGCGATAAAATTATAGTTCCATACTTTTTGGAACTCTTTTAAGGCACTTTCAAAATCATCCCACAACACGAAACGCTTGTTCAGTATCATACTTCGAAAGGCATCGGTTAGGTCGACTGAAATGTCACTTGAGGATGAAGCACTAAGAACAGACATGACTAATTATTAAACAGTTATTCCTTGCAACAATAATAACCCAAGGAAATACTACAAATACTTGAGATTTACCTGTGACTTGACATTTCGTTTAGCTTTACTACAATTGTTGGGATCAAAGATCAAATTACAAAGCAACAACAGAGCCAAAGTGCACACTACAAAACAGAGAACGCTAAATTAATGGTTTTGCTATTTATTTCGTGCTTTTTATGTAGCATAGGATGACTTATATATGAAAAAAATTGATACTCATGCAAACCAACCAACCCACGGCAATTGAAATACGGAATGACCGCCTCTAATCAAGCCGTTCAAGGTCGCTGAAACGAAAGGGCGGGCACATTTCAAAAGGACCTAACGTTTAAACCGTGCCAAAATCCACAATTAGAAGTAAAGAATAATTCCGATGAGATGATATGGTTCCAGTAGCATATATCCGAACGTAGGACGTAATGTGAACGTTACAACAGTCTATAAATATAGATGATGGTGAATTAATCATTCCGTTATTATATCCACAAACATGATAGAACGAGAGACGTATGTATAAAAGTGTATTTGATTATGAGCAGTTAACAATGTCATGATATGTGGGACTCAAAGACGGAAGGAAGAATGTAAGTATCCAAGGTCATATACTTAAACAACAAGTGCAGTCGATTAATGATAAATGTACAGATTTTGAGAATTGGGAAAATAAATGCGAAAGGTATCAAAAACTATGTACAAAATGCGTTGTTACATTAGCTTCTCTCTAGAATCAACTTCCGTAGGAAAATAGGCTTGATCGACTTATCTCTGAAGAGCATCTCAGTTCTGTTTCCTCAGCCCTAATGAGAATTACTGGCTCATTCAGTATTTGATTTTCGATCAATGACGACCGACTCCGTCAGTATTTGACGACACTCCATGGATGCCTTTATCTTTACAAGCCTTTATCTTCCGCAACCACAGCTAGTGATTTGATACGTGTCTTTTGTATGGTGGTCAGAGTTTATAGAAGAAAAGAGGGCAAGTAAATGAAATAAAAATATCTGAGGAAGTGACACGAGTGGGCTATCCAACACCAAGTTTGTGAGGCACGATTTTTCCATACTCTGTCTGGCCGTCAGGTGTTCACTCACCTGTCTTTTGAGTCACCCTCAAATGAAAAATAAGCAAGAATCCACTTCAAAAGCAATTATAAATGTCAGCAAAATCTGAAGGATTGCTCCACTGCCCGTACAAAATAACAAAGCACAAAGGAAAAATACACCAATATAATTGACAATTGTCCGGTCCCACATAAGTGTTTGGTTTCCAGAATGCGTTTGATATCTGGAAAGAAATAAACACTTTAAGTTCCTTAGTCTTCTTCTTCTGAGCCTTGATTATGTGACTTTGGTTAAAAATTTGCCTTTTGCTACCTACTTTTTCTGTTGCATGCCGCCAGACCATTGACAATAAGGTCGTGTTTGACCAAGCTCAAGTTCACTGAGTGGTTCAGTGCATGAATGTTAACTTTCGACTGTCTACTTGGAGGGACTTTTGGAATGTCTGTAGATGGATATATGGTTCCATCTTGTTGGGAATATTTTTTATTGATTCTCACGTATTGAACTCTTTTATATTAACCATCTCTTTTGTTGTTTATCACGCTCACTTGTGTTAGACAAACCGTTGACTGTATAGCACGAGTTGTACTGTTCGGGGTATTTTATATTTTTGATACAATTTGTTCTCCTTCTTAAACTGTGGACAGAGTTTGTGTCGTGATATACTTTAATACGAGTAACTCTCTGTATGCTACACACAAGAATATAGTCTGGTTTAATCGAATACATTTTGGTCATTTCATTGAATCTGCGAAGGAAAGGGAGAAAATATGGGAATAGAAATAAAGGAGACGCGAAATACGTAAACAGTTTAATAGGCGTGTTTGTGAACACAGAACAAGAATAAATGACAATATATGTATCGCCAAACGAGTAACAAAAATGAAAAAAATGAATATATTAGAAAAATAACTAATTATTGCAGTAAGGTATGGCGTTAGAATAAGTGTTTGTGCAGTCATTGTTACTAAAGTCCCAATTAAGTGCAAAGGTTTGTTAGCTGTTTAAAGTATGGACAATACGAGTTTTTTCCGTTCTTATTAATCATAATCGAATAGAAAAGCCACATTTATGGTAGGTTTCAGTTTTACAGCAACAAAAACAAAATATGTAAACTGTGCTTTATATAAATTAAGGTTTGTCACGATGTGAAAATTGGGTTTAAGCACGCCATATGTATTCGGAGTTTGACAACTCCTTAACCAGTAACACTCATATAATCGAAATGTGCCAATACAGTCAAATCAGAAGTGAAGATTGTTGTAACTTTGTGAGCCACTTGTTATCACATAATCTATTCGCCAACCAAAATATGACTTATTCGCTCTTATACTGTACTGAACCAATGACGTTCGACCGGTCTGATCAGCCTAGTGTCCTATTGGTCCGTTGCTCACCTAAACCGTCCAGCTGAGTCCACAATGCCAATAATAGCCTCCACTATGCGAATTAATTATTTTAGATATACTGGGTTTATATACCACGGCGTGCCCGCTCGTAATCTGATAAGGATGCGTGACCTAGTGCTTTCGGCTGGGTGAGTCCACCAAAACTAATGCGGTCAGCATCAAATGTCGAAGACTTACAGAGCTCTTTATTTGTCATTACATATCACTCCACACTAGTGGGGTAGTGATGACCCTAAGACGTGGCTGGTCAGAAGCTTACACTCAATGAGCTTATCGTTGGTAAACACTCTTCTGATAGCTTGCTATGTTCAACAGCGTCTGGCCTCCTTCCTTACTATAAGTGGCCATGTAATATAATATACTAATGGAAAACAAGTACAATAAAATTTCCATTCATCTTAATCTCCGTCGCTTTTTCATCCTTTCCAGCCGTCCGGAGAAGAAGGAAAAATATATGTGAGCGCTCGTCGAAATACACTCGCCCGTGCGTAAGGACACAAGACGAGTGAATAACGAACTCATATACATGCGTTTTGCAAGCATGTATTTGCGTAAAAACGATTTTCGCAAAATGATTTTTGGTTTCCTCAGAAAAATATAATTGTGCACATATAAACCAGCATAATGGCAACAAAACATTTGGTTTTTGTTTTTTCTTGGGACAAAAAAATGTGTATGAGCATATTAAACCGTTTTTTTGTTTTTCGGACATAATAATACGAAAACTCGAAATGAAACAAGTGTTATGTAGTGTTTAAAATGCAAGCGCTAGTTACGTTCTTGTCGACGATATTGTACTTAGGTTCACAATGAAGGCTTTTGAAGGGTCCTTCGTATGCTGTTTGAGAGGTCGTCGTATTGAGTCGTGACGTGCGAAAACGTGTATACTATATCGAAGACAAAATTGATCGAATTCATCACTTGATTAAGTGTGGGATGAGTGAAGACAGGTTTCGCTACACGCATGGAGTTTGCAAGCCTGCTTGTGGAAGAGATTAGATCCACGTGAAGAATCCATGAACTCTCCTGGAAGTCGGAGTGTTGTTCCATAAACGAGTTGAGCTGCAGTGTATTCAGTATTAGTTTTCACTTCATTGTAAATGCCTAACAACATGAGTGGAAAAGCGTCAGTCCACTGTGAAGTGTTTGCAGCTGAGATTGAAGAGTTTAGCTGTATCAAAATTACTGTTTATAAACAGAAGTTTTGATATGTAATAAACGATCAGAACAATATAATTTACAACTTGGAATTTGATTTGAATTTAGATACACTATCCGGTAGCATCCATCCGTCAAGTGATGAAAGTGATACCATGTGGAAGACCTGCATGTTTTTCCCAGTGGATGATGGAATTCAGTGTGACAACTGCGATAAGTGGTATCACAATGTGTGCACCGCACTCACACCGACTGCACATGAAAAGTTCTGCAAGCCGCTGTCACGTTGGCTATGCAAAGAATGCTGTTCTACAAAGTCTCTGCTGATTCTTGAGGTGATTGAGCTACTGAATATAGCTATAAAATTGCCCTCAGATAAACAAACAGCAGTAGATGAATCGGATTCAGTTTTCAAGGAAATAGCGAGCGTTATCATGAACCCAGCTTTGGATTTGAGTAAGACCATCAAAGTGAACCCTATTAGAGGAACGTTTATAATACATACAGATGTAGGCATTGTCACGTGAAAAAAGAAAGAGCATGGTGAGAAGAAACTACCTATTGACAGTACTGAGGTATGTGAATCTACGGTTTCAGTTCCGGATTCACATATCAACGCAGAACAGATTATGGGGAAGCAAAGCCTAGGCGGTGTGTTTGACACAATTAAGAGATACAATAAGGTAAGTGATTAGCTCATAGTCACATCCAGAAAAAGAAAAGTAGGGAAACGGAGTGGGACCTCTGTGTTTGACGCCAAATTGGTTTTCAGGAATTAAAACACTACAGCGTGTTAAGACGGGCCTCGCTGACATATCAGTCGCTTTTCGTGCGTTAAGAAAACCTTCCGAAAGGGAACAAAAAGCTAGATTTGAGCACCATCTCCTGAGAAAAATTTCACAATATATTTCAGCCCGACTAGCTATGATATTCAAGATGTCACTTGACCAAAGTGTGTTAACCACAGGCTGGAAGGATGCGATCGCCACTCTCATACATAAAACGGAACCATGACGACTTTCATCAAACTACAGACTTGTCAGTCCCACCAGTGTCGTAGTTGAAATACTGGAAAGAGTAGTCAAAAAGACAATAATGACATTTGCGAAAACCAACAACCTGTTAAACAACGAACAATATGGTTTTAGAAAAGGTTCACATTGCACAATAAACCTCCCAATAGCAAGAAAGTAATGGATAAGGGCTCCAGACAACGGAAAATCAGTGGATGTTGTCTACATAGACTTTAGCAAAGCATTTGATAAGGTGCTATTAAAGCTGGAAAATCTTGTCATTGCCAGAGCTGTGCTAAAATGGCTTAAGGATTTCGTAGTAGGTCATAAAGAGAAAGTAAGAATAAATTCGAATTACACCTACTGGAAACCAGTACTTAGTGGAGTACCGCAAGATTCTGTCTTAGGTCCTTCATTTTTATACTGTATGTGGATGATTCCTCAAGTATAGTGGAGTCCCAAATGTTGATATGCGCTGACGATGTGAAAATCTGGCGAGAAATACCAGGATACACAGATGCATGCGCACTTCGGACAGACTTGCATATTCTGATTAGCTGATCTAAAACGCGACTGATGCCTATCAACGAGGCATGGTGCGTCTACATGCACTTCGGGGATATAAAAGTTAATAGTTACAGCATAGCGAAAGTGCTGTATCCGTGGTCTGGTCTTACAACAATTTCGGGGTGATGGTGAGTCATGATCTTAAGACCACAGACCATTGTCCGGAGGTTACAGCTAAGGGGTTTGGAAGCCTACGGGCTTTAATACGGATATTTTTCGTGTCGGTAGGCAACCCTCGTTCTTTTGATAGAAGAAACCAGACTAGTAGTGAAAAGTTCTTCATCCAGATCTTTGTGCAGTCACAGTGGAGAGTGGGATTACCTATTCAAACACACAAATGTTTTCAACATTCAACGCAAGATAATAGGAAAAATAATGTCTATACAAATTAAGGAAGTGAATGAATACTTGAGCTCTATTGTTTTGACATATACTTGATCGTTCGAGGTCGATTCTTAACTAATAAACCTAAGCTGTTACACATTCACCAAATTAAATACTACCATACTCACTACGGTATACTCAACCTTAGTGAGAACTGAACTTGAGGACTGAGTTCAGGCTGCAAGCCCCTGTTTAAAAGGTGACTTGGATATCCTGGAAAAAGTGCAGAGGGCAGCTACCCATGCAATTCCAGAACTCCGGAGTTTACCAAACCAAGAGCGGCTTGAAAAGCTAGAGCTTTTTACTCTGTCCTATTCCAAGTTAGTAGGTGATTTTATATTGATGTATAGAATACTAAGAAATGATTTTGGACCTAATATATCCTCTCTTTTCGTTCCCACTAGATCGACACATCTCAGAGGACATAGCGGGCGAGTAGCAAGGCCTAGAACGAATGAAATACTCGTGGCATACAGGTGTACACACTGAGTCATCAGTTCTTGGAACTTGTTACATGAAGCATTGGTGTTTGCACCTTCAGTTGACTCATTCAAGGGAAGACTATGCACTCACAGAAGCATACTAAAAAAGGAATAACATAGGCCATAGACCGTTTATGCTTACTACACGAATCTGAATCTGAACTGTCGCATGTGTAAAACTGTACTGGCTGTCGAAGTGATGCACCAATCTTTTTATGACTGTTTGACCTTCAAGTGCTCAGTAACCTTCAAAATGCGCAATGCCACTGTGTTGCTGCTGTGGTTTTACATCGCTCATCATTGAGAGGAGTTATATCTGACGTAAGCATGCTAGAAAGAATGCAGCGACAGTAAATAGTAATAGGAACGAAAAATCGAGATAACACAAATGACGTGAAAAAGTCGTGCTAACACTTAAAGCGTCGCACAAGCTACGGAATCTCGAGATTCCATAAGAATGCCGATCAGTACACTTAAGGATTCAGTACTTCAGCAACACAAAAATGCTAGCAAAAAACCAGAATAAAACAATTCATGCATCACTGCTTACAAAGATTTTAAAAATGATAGTTCCCGCTTAATTATGACTGATCGACAAGTAGTTTGCCAAAATTACGAACCGGAGTTGAGGCTATTTCCATTCTGTATTTTGTTGTTGTTGCTAATTTTCGCCGATTGCGTTTATTATTGAATGCAAGTGAATAACATAAACATAATGGGTTGTTTACTCAGTTCGCTTATGTTTACCTCTCCCAGACTCACACCTTGCTTCTTACTCTTCCCAAAATATAACTTATTTATAGGTTCGATACAAACCTAACGAAGGCTAAACGTTACGTTTCCGAATGGTTTATGATGAATATACTCTGTAAATAATTTTTCTGACATGGATTAACTTTTAGTTTCATAACGCCAGATCACTACTTCATAAATGCATTAGGGTCGAAAGCCTTCATCATAATTGACAGAGTGTCACAAGAACTTAAAGTTGAATGTTAGTTTCTTCATATTAAGACGTATTTTCGTAGTTGAAGAACCGGCCATCCCAAGCGTAGCAAAAAAGCATACAATCTATGGAATATGGGGGGTTGTACGTCTAGTTTCGGGTAGGTTTCAAGTGTTTTTTTTTCATATCCGTCCAAACTAGGGTTTTATTTGATAGTAATTAAAGAACGTGAGCGAGTCGGTGAGATATTCGGGAACACTATTCTAAAAATAACCAAGAGCGTCATATTACCATTTGCAAGGTCTTTACTTCATTTGACAGATATTCAGGTAAGCGAACTTAGATTTATGTGAATTGGTAGAATCAAGATGAATCTTTATATTGCCAAATGCTTAATAGTATTCTATCGTCAGAAGGCTTTTACTACTCGACTACCTATGACTTGAGTCACACATTGCAACGTTTATCAGATACGGACCCAAAATTCAAGGCATCCAGTATTTACGAGCGTGTAAGCATTTTGTTTTTCAATGAAACTTTTAATCAAATGGTGATTGTGTGGTTTAAGCAAGTTTTCGGATTTTTTCCGTCGATAATTTATGCTAACACTAAACAGTCTTAATTGTCATATTAATTTTTGCTTACCAGTGATAGTTGGTGCAGTTTTTAAATTACGATTGATCAGACAATCCAACTGTATCTTCTACCTTGACGTGATGATGGGACTTGCATATCTTAACGATTCAGCTGATCTATATTAACTGCAACACTTGTCCCTTCAGGTTCTACTATGCGAGGCAGGTCGTTCGGAGAACGGTGATACTAAAAACAGCAACTGACGTAGCCATACTGCTGACTGTTCAATAATAAGACAACAGTAGGGTATTTCCCTCAGATAGCCAGCGTCTGTTGTAATAATGCCTTCTCACAATGTAGGGAACGGACTGAAGAAGGTTGATGCTAAAATGTCATACGTTACCATACCTCACTGATCTCCGTCTTTGGCGGTAAGGCGTTTTAAAATATGGGTTTAGAACATCAAAAACCTACCACGGAAACGTCTTGCGTGGCAAGCATCGAGCAGTTGTTCCTTGGACTCTGGTAATGCTCACAGTCAATATCTAATTTAGTTCCACTTCCAGGCACCTCATAAAGAAATATCCACACATGGTGTGGGCGACCTAAAAGTAACAGCTTCTCTCATATATGTAACACCACGCGCCACGTTCACAATGACCTCTCTGTCACTTTCATATTCCTCCTGTCCCTAAAATTAACCTTTATATGGATTTTTCTACATATGCTACCGATGCTAAAGATTCGAGTTCACAAAATGTTGTTTCTGTTCTCTTGAAGTCGCACTTTAAACTACATGTTGCAGTTTCCAATCTTTTAACCTTGTTGGACAGAACAACAGGGTTCGTTAGCTAGGGTTCTAAAATCTCATACTATTGATACACGTTGCGTCTCCAAAACATGAATACGGGACCCTATCATGTTCATACATCTGACCTTACCTAGCTAGTGTATAGAGCCAACACAATATACTTTCTCTGTATCTGGATATGTGGCATCAACTCGTGATATCGCGAGCGTAGGTATAGCATTAAGTTTTAAAGCTGGACAGCCACTTGACTAAATTTTTTTCGATAGCGTCTTATGTTCTGTCCGTCTCAATGGCGCAGGATTATGTTGCTTTTCGTCGTATCTGTATACATCCACTGATTGCAGTTCAAACGAAGTAAAAGTTGAGCTTTGTAGGATACTTTCCATCCTCAAAAAGTTAACCGCTCAAATGTAGCATTAGTGATGGGTGATTTTAATGTCTAAGTAATTCAAGCCAAACTGAAAAACAGATGAGTCTTCTGGCGTCCTAGCACAATGAATAGATAATGGCAACAGTCTTCTGTAATTGTGCCTAAATAACTGATCATTCTTGACAAGCGCCAACTTTGAGCATAAGGAAAAACATCTGACACGAAAACTACCGGAATTAACTCGATAGACCCTAATAAACCATATCAGTATCAGTCGTCGTTAGAGAGGCTCGGTAAAAGACTGAAGTACATGTCTAGACTTTGATCATGCTCTGGTGTAAGCACGTGTTCGCATGTAGCTTCCTGGATGCAGAGAATCCAAGCCAAGGGAGAATGGTGAAAGACTAGTAGATATGTTTACTTTGAGTCGTGCTCATAGGTGGCGGCATTCTTCCCACAAATGCATGCACAGAACTACGTGGGTTTCACATAGCCATACTACTGAGAACCAGATCGATCACATGCACAAGTAGACGATTTGGAAGTTCTATGGAAGATGTAAGAACATGGTGAGGAGCGGATGTGCCGTTAGATTACCATCCACGGGTGGCGAAGCTAAAACTGAAGCTAATGAAGCATTACACAACTGGACTAGCAACACACTTCCTTGTGTGGCGCATAGATATTTGGCGCACTCCTGTACCAATATATATGTGTTCAAATAAATAAATAAATTATCAAACACTTCCTTGGAGATGCTAACAAGATCAGTTATTTCAAGATAGCTCTCAACAGCGAGCTCTAAGTCATAAAATCTACTAGATAAAGCGGAAACCACAAAATCGGAAAAGGATAAGGCATAGGTTGGACATAAAGCAGCAAAAAAACCGTGAAAAGGAGCGTTAGCACTATGTTTGAGATCTGGCAGCTGCAACGAAAAAGGCTACAAGAGAGACAAACATAAAGGAACTATATAATGCAGGCAGATTGCAGGAAAATATAGTTGACACGAGGGACCAATCAGGAACAAAGAGTCAGAATAGATTACTGAAGTTCAAGAGCAGTAGGACAGGTGGGTAGGAAGTTTTGAGGAGTAACAATTGTGGAAGAGGCTCTAGAACTGCTATTTGGAGATTCATTGTTGGCGGTGTATGCCCCAATAGGAGTAACAGGCTTAAGGAAGGTATAATGTATTACACGATTTAGCGCTAACATCATGTCCTAAATCATACTTAATCACCATTGGTTTGAGATCAGAGTTTTCCAAACCCCCGTATCCACCAACTCAGTTTAGGCACCTAACATTTACTTCTTATCCTCTTACTTTCGTAACCAATACCCTCACCATCAGATAATGAGCAGGACTTTCCTGGGAGCGGTTGTAAACATTGCTATATGAAAAAAGAGCAGACAACCCATTATCGGTCCATCCACTAACTAGGGGAGTGTTCTAGTTTCTTATATAATGTGTATGTTTTATTTGTATTTCTGAAGTCACTTTGGTAATTTATCGGGGTGGTGGTAAATGTTTCATGCTTCGTGATCACTCTATGCATAAAATGCTTTTTTGTGGGTACATACTCAGGGCAGATGTTTTGGGTTTGACTGTTTGAAAGGTCATTATAATATAACATGTTTAGGAATTGTTGGATGTAATTTGAACAACATATAAGCGGACAGTATTGTTTTCAGACTTAACTCCAACAGACATCAATATTTATATGGATATATAGAAATATTAAATCAATGAAGGCAGTCTATGAGTCAGCGATAACAGTGAAATAGATCACACAAGTAAACAACAAGTAAAAATGCAAATTGATAATGTGATGATAATGTACTAGTTGTAATAAGAAAAATAAAGTCTTGAATTAATTTAGTGAAAAGTAGGTTAACGACTCGTTAACTTCATCTCGTACAATGTAGTATGGTAATTTAGGCCAACTCACATTTGTCTCCAGCTTCGGTTTGGGCACTCGGGCAGAGTATCCCAGCCCTCACATAAATCGAATGATTTATGTGGCGCATATCTATTTGGTGCCTCCTTGTACATGTTGATTATTGGTTTGGTTTTTCATTTTTACGAACTGATATACTTATATAAGCTCCTATCTTAATGGGATTTTTAATTCGTTTTTCTTGAACTTTTAATATACTCATGTAGGCAGATACACGGTTTACGTGGAATAAATCTCTGTTGACCGAATGGGAATCTATGCTTAATTCTACATCATCCTTCAAACATAAGCAAACAACCAGTTGGAATCGCTTCGATTACTGTGTACCTATCATTCAAGGATATGTTGGGATAATATCATATCCAGAAAATTTGTCTGACACTATTAAGGGAAACCTCGTGTATTCCCTCATCTCTCGTCGTAGTATACATCGAACTGGAACAAGGTTCAACGCACGTGGAGTTGACGGGGAAGGAAACTGTGCGAATACTGTAGAAACAGAACAATTGGTCGATATTTCGGGGCATAGATTTTCTTTTGTTCAGGTTTGTAGGATTTGGTAATAATCTATTTACCGTATGTTTTGGCCTTTCATGTTGTTAAAACATGAAAGAAAAACTGGGATTCATTTTTATTGATCAATCGTTTTCACCATTAGTATGTTATAACTTCATAACATTTTGTGATATAGTAGGATCAAGTGGCGATGGTAAACCAGCCAGCCCTACCATGGAGGCACTAAAGATGTACCACGTTGAGATAAGCCACTCTGGTTTCCACTATACGCCACCGTCAGCACTCACACAACAATCCAAATGCACAGACTTTTCGATTACTTCTAATGACTCACTACATAGAGTAGATTCAGATACAGACTCATCCAAGTTTCGTAAAAGTACATTGCGTTTAGAAGATAAAAGTATGTGCCGTACCTTACAAACACAGAGTGTCGACTGATTAGGTGTTAGTTGGTATAGCTTGAGTATCATCATACAGTATGAAAATATCATGTGCATACCCAAGGCCTAAGAGCTTTTCCCCAAGTCACAGATCTTGGTCTGGTCAGTACAAGCGCTTTTACAAAGTACTTCTAACATGGCAAATACAGGACTTCAGAACAAGTGACGAGGTATGTGTGGAACATGCTCCAACCAGCTCAGTTGCCGAGGTCCCACAGACCAATCAACGAACATACTATCTCTTCATGGTGACCTACACATCACTTCATCATTGTTTACATAATAGGTCTGCCGTACGCAAACAACTCTTAAGATTCTAGCGACCATACAGAAAATAACCCAAAAGAGACGATAGTGGAGAGTCTTCTTTCTCTCTGGTAACGCTCTTAAATGGTCATGTGTTTCTAGATATACCTCTAGGGAAAGTAATGTAATTTTGTCTCGACGTTCATAAGCACAAAAACTGTACGGTAACTTAATTTCTACATAAAACATTGTTTTTAGTTTGAGTGACGTACGATTATCACTCTCTCTTAATAATTGAGATGGCTTAGTGTCAGTATTTTATGTTGATATTTTAAAATTAATTATACTGAGTTTTAAATTAAACTATCGTCAAGTGCAGATTTTTTTAAAGCACATTATAGCCTCCATGACTACTGCTTGATTATAATTTACCGACATTACTAATAAGCTTTTACTGTGTTAAATGAGTTTGATTCTGTAATCGAATTTCGGTAGGCTTATTCACAAAAAGTGGTTAAAATCTCAGAAATTAACTAAGACTTTCCTCATTGTAGCTTAGCATATTGGTCTGTAGAGTTCAAATAGGGTTACTACCGTTTTAATTCCTATTACTAAGAATAGAAGTTCAACTTTTTAGTATATTGTTACGTCTTTGATCTGTCTACCCATTTTGTGCAGAGGATAACTTGTTTAATCTAGGTTAAGACCTTGACGCGATAGGCTGAGTGGCTTAAACTTGAGGCTAGTATGCGTGAGTTCGAAATGGGTGAGAGAGACGAAAACTAGTCTATCACCTGATTGATTGACTGACAAGCACGCGAGTGAGAGAAGATAAGTCGACTGGAACACTACTCGATCTATTCCCGATTTCAGATCAGTGTTAGAAGGTACATGAATAAATGGATGACTAATCCGACCACAACGTACAATAATTAGGAAAATACAAAAACTGGGGATTAGCGTAGAAAATAGAGTACAAAATAATAAGTTTAAATTACAATAGCTTTAGAACAAAAAGGGCTACGGCAGTGAATCATACATCAAACGAAAGCGTATGGTCTGTAGAATAGACTATGGACAAAAATAAATGTTAATGTTTTACAAGCCTTGAATTAACTAAAATAACGTCCCGATAAATAGTTTTCGTAATTTGTCAAGGCTGCTTGTTTCTCTGTTCACATCATATATGAATACTACTATTATTACGGCGAATCGATTCTGCCTTATTGTATTACTTATATGTTTTATATTTTCACACGCTTATTTATCTTTTCCATCCATCATAATTTAAAATAACCAAACCGAAGCTTCGTGGTTCTGTGCCAATATATTGGAGTCAACGACCGAACTTAAGATATAAACCAGCTGTTTTACTAGGTGGTAGTCAACTAACTTCCAGTATAACACACTCGGATAACCTAACCGTTAATGAGACTGAGAAGAATTTGGAGGCAATTCAAGCTAATATTGCACGTCAACATTTTCATAGTTTAATATACGATTATGGTTACGGACGACAAACAATAATAAATTTATTAGATCAGAAAGGGATGGAACGTAATTTAGGACATGCTTATGCTATGGCCGTCTCAGCTTTAGATGAAAAAGAAGTCAAGTAAGAATAACTTGTATGCAATTATTCATGTTTAAATTTTCCAAAACAGTCTTCGTCACGAACTGAAGTCTGTTGTGGAGAAACTCTGTCTGAGTTTCTTTTGAGTTTGGTATCAGTCTGTTGTACACATTCCTAACATTATCGACCGTTTTTATTGAGTAGATTGGTCGTTAAGCCAGAATTTAGTGATCGTTATTTTTTAAATCTAACCTAATCAAATGTTATTTTGGCAGCACCAATCCAAACCTGATTAGCCTCATGAATAATTACTTCTCTTTAGAACTACAGAGAATTGTTTGTGAATACATTCAGTAACAAATAGCAATAGTGCTGTGATGTATGTCACTAAAATAAGTAAACATTTAACAAATCCGATATAGTTTGATATACTAATGATGTTAATCCGTTTTATTTTGAATCAACTATTCTGCTTTAATCAACAATGTGCATGCCAATTTACATTACAGTTTCTTGTTTATTCATTGTGCAACTGATAATATATATTTAAGACAATTATCCCCTTTGATAAATTTGTATAATGTGACAATTTACTTATCGAAAATCTCAAACTAGTAAATCAATACTAGCCATTTCTTAATCAATTCGACCGCTTTCGAGCCCTGGTATTAAATAAATAAATCCAACTATTTAATTTTCTAAATGCCTTTTGAACTTAAACCACTCGAATAAATATTATTTATCTGAAATTCCTCTTGGTAAGTGCAAACAATAACATACATGCATAAACATACTTAATTACTTACTTCACTTGCTCTGGTTGTCTTCATATGTATAGTTTTTTGTTAGAATGAAGCCGGTTGTGTTTATTATCTTTGTTAGGTATGTAATAACTATCTTTTACTCTTCACAGCTGGTAAGTCCGTGGTGTGAAGCAACCAGTGCTGTCGGGTTGGCATTAATAATAATAATAATAATAATAGTAATAATAATAATAATAATTCGAATCTTTATGGTTGTGGAAAAATGACTTTCGTGGGTGGGAGGTCGTTGGTAGTAGGTTGATATTATTTGTTCATAGGGATCGTCAAACCATACGTGGCGCTTTCTGTATTTTATTGAATATGCATGATCGAAAAATACAATACTGTTCACTAAGTCAACTAGTTTTGTGCTAAATTACTTTTAGTTTGTTGTCTGTCCGAGACCCGTATTCAAGACTCTGGCGAAGTACTACAAATTCGCTCTCCATCTGTCGCTTCGAATAGCTTGTTTTACGTGCGCTTATCCGAGGAACCTGTGGCATCTTCGTCTGGTCTTGCTGGCGTTGGTGTCGCACTAAGCGCTAGAGCTGAGGCAGCACTAGTCGATTGGATCCCCATTAACAGTCGGTTATGTGCTGTTAGATTAGAAAGTTCCATCAAAGTGAGAAGAAATCGGCGTGAGAAACGATGTCTTTTCGTCATCTCCGCCTATGCCCCAACAGATTGCAGCCCGGATGGAATCAAGGATGAGTTTTACCACCAGTTATCTGTTCTTCTCCAGAAAGTGCGTTCGACAGATATTGTAGTACTAGCCGGAGACTTGAATGCTCAGGTCGGGCGTCTAGGCACAGAAGAGAGTCGTTTAGGTGGGCGATGGGGACTCGTTGGTCGCAGGTCAGATAACGGGGACCGTCTACTGCAACTTTGCACAGACCACAACCTGTTTCTGGTTAGCACTAACTTTCGGCACAGTGATCGCCGATGTGCCACCTGGCGTCCTCCCTCTTCATCCCAAGCCTGGACTCAGATTGATCACATCGCGATCAGCTACCGCTGGCGTGGTTGTTTACAAGACTGTCGCTCCTTTTGGAGTACTTATCTGGACTCTGACCATGCTTTGGTCTGCGCCAATCTTGCTTTACTTTTCAGTGGACAACGAAGTGACCGCCATCAAAGGATTGATATTAGCAAGCTGGTTGCAACTTCTGTTGCTAGTAAGTATCGAACTGAGCTAGCCTCTAGGCTAGCTACCACTCCACCGAAAAGTATAGATGAGCATTGGTTGCAATTGCATGATGCCATGAAAATGGCGGGAACAGTCAGTTGTGGGTTTGCGAAACGCCCAGCTTATAAGCACTGGGTTTCTTTATGCTCCTTACTACTCATTGAAGCCCGTTGGTCTGCTCCGGGTGACCGTGAGTTTGACCATAAACGAAGGGTGTTGCGTAAGGAAATTGGGCAAAGCTTGCGTAAGGACCGAGAAGCCTGGTGGTCGGAGCGTGCTAATGAGCTGGAAGCAGCAGCTGAATCTGGTAATTACCGGAAGCTCTTCCAGCTCATCCGAGCCACTGGCAGCAAGAAGTCTGTTGTGAGTGAAACAATCTGCGAAGATGATGGGATGGCAATCACTAACATCCATCGACGTCTTGGACGATGGGGAGAATTTTTCGAAGGGCAGTTCAACTGGCCTGCTGCTCCGACAACCTCGGTCAGACTGTCCTGCCCTCCATGGCCGGTGACGACTGATCCACCAAACGAGGTGGAAGTCCGCAATGAACTTCAACTCTTGAAGCGTTACAAATCACCTGGCCCAGATGACTTACCTCCGGCTCATTTTAAAGATGGTGGTGACTTTCTGGTTAAGGAACTGACTACGTTGTTTACAAATGTTTGGAAACTAGAGAGTGTACAAACGTCATGGAATGAGTCGATAGTTGTCCCTATCTCTAAAAAGGGTTCACGTCGTTCCTGTAACAAGTATTGGGGGGATAAGTCTACTTCCGATTGCGTCCAAGCTATTGGCTTCCGTCATACTTCGTAGGTTGTTCAAAACCCAAGAAAGATTGACTCGTGAGTAGCAGGCTGGTTTTCGTTCTGGTCGAGGATGTATTGATCATATCTTCACCCTCCGCAAAATGTTAGAACACAGTCATACTTATCAAAGGCCAACAATCTTAGTGTTTTTTGACATCAGGGCTGCCTTCGATTCGTTGGATTGGATTGTTCTCTAGGATAGTCTATTGGAGAAGGGTGTGCCTGAGAAGTTTATTAACATCCTAAAAGCCCTATATACAATCACCTCAGGTAGAGTCAGGGCATACAACCACCTTTCTCCATTGTTCCATTCGAGCAGTGGGGTTAGGCAGGGTTGTCCAATCTCACCATTCCTCTTCATTTTTGCCATCGATGACATTCTGGAAACAGCTCTGATGGATGTGTATAAGTGGTGTTGTGGATCTGTTTCCTGGAGAAAGACTTCTCGACCTTGTGTATGCGGACGATATTGTCTTACTGTGCGATAATGCCTAAGGCATACAATCCGCAATTAATCAGTTGGCAATCAGTGTCCGTAGGTATGGTATGTGCTTTGCACCTTCGAAGTGCAAAGTACTTCTACAAAACTGGCAGGATTCCAATTCTGCACTCACCCTGGATGGTGATCAGATAGACGTAGTCGAGAAGTTCGTGTATCTGGGTAGCTGCATAAGTGCTGGTGGGGGTGTGAGTGATGAGATCAGTGCACGTATAGTGAAAGCCAGAGCGGCTTATGCCAATCTGAGCCACCTTTGGCGCCTTCGTGATGTCAGTCTGGTTGTAAAAGGTCAGATCTACAATGCGTCGGTGAGAGCAGTTTTGCTCTATGCTTATGAAACTTGGCCTCCCCGAGTTGAGGATGTTAGACGACTCTCTGTGTTCGACCATCGCTGTCTCCGAAGGATTGCTGACATTCAGTGGCAACACCACGTCAGTAATGCAGAGGTTCGGCATCATGTGTTCGGGCACAGAGAAGATAATGCAATTGGCGTCACCATCTTGAAACACCGACTTCGGTGGCTTGGACATGTTCTACGAACGACATTCCGGATAATTCCTCGTCGTGCAATATTTGCCTACGTTGGAACTGGTTGGAAAAATCGGAGAGGTAGTCAGTGCATGACATGGTGTCGTGGCATGAAAGAAAGCTGCAAAGGGCTGGCTTGTGTCGGTCCTTCACAACTCCCTGGTTGGGGTCTGAGAGATGGTGCTACACAGTGGCTAGAGACGTTATCAGATATGGCTCAGAATAGAAGCCAGTGGCGATCCTGCTGTAACCTTCTTTTACGTCCTTCATAAAAAGTGGTTGTGTCTCCCTTACTTGAAGGATTTCTGATTTTACCTTTCCGTCCCCTCGTTACTACCACGCTACCTTACACCAATCTCTTCGTTATTGTTCTCTTTTTTTTGCGCTCCTTAGCTTTTTTTCTATTTCTCTTCGAATTCTCATTGTTTTGTGTGGCGCATATATATTGGCGCTCTCTTGTACCAATATTCATGTGTTCAAATAAATAAATAAATAAAACTTTTAGTTTGACTAGACTACCAAATCCTTTTGTCCAAAATATTTAGACATAATATCTGTTAATTTACAAGCGTTTTTATAAATTGGTAATATTTATAACTTGTGTCGACTCTTTCATTATGAATCATGAGAAAATGATCATATTTGAAACTTATAGCCATCAACTGATGTATTGGAATTCATTTTCCTGCAATATTTTATAGTTTGTTTTTTATTCTTTTTACTACGAAAGATATGAAAGTTTTGATTTTCATCATGAATGTGGTTCAACTCGTTGGGATCGACTGGGTATCTTGTTAGAACACCTTATACCAGAATTACTGAGATCAAAGTGAGTCATTGTTTGCTCCTTTTTACTTTCAAAATCACTTTGTGTATTTAGTTCCTCACTGTTAAGTTATCAACCAAAATTATATTTCATATATCCACCCTCAATGGTTTGATTAGTGTTGTTAGATGTATTATTCTTAAACAGTACTTTATTGCCCCTTTATACAAATATTTACCGAGGTATTAATTTGCCTTTCCTATCCTGTAGATTTTTCTCGTATCCTTATTGACATCTAGTCGTTAAAATGTATGTAGGTTAAAAGATCTATCATGTGGCGGTTTCACAGTATTGTGGTTTTATTATCTCACTAAGAGAGGCTGCTCAGAAAAGAACAGGTGATAGATAAATCGGTTCACAATAGTAAGGGAGCAAGCAAAATGGCAACCATTGAAAAGGCTCATATTAACAAAGGTAAACATTGAAGAGTGGAATTACATTATCAAATGTGTAAAATATGTTCGATTCACCCTTTGTTGTGGAAGGCCTTCCTAAAACGAACGATCTGGTGGTGAGGTGCCAACTTATTCATAACGGTTATCCAGGTAAGTGGAAATTTGTTGACGCTCTGAAAAATAATAACAGTGTAAATGGATTAAAAATTGAACAGCCTGTTGCAGAAATCCATTAATAGTAATGGTCGTTAAATATTAAGAAAAAGGATCGATACTAGACTATTTATGTGTAGTAGCACATCATTTGAATATGAATATCCAAACGTGGTAAACTTTTTTACGAAAATTTAACGTATGTAACATTTACAGCTATATTACATTGATCTTACCCCCTTTTGGTGTATTATACACAGTCTATTAGTATATTGCTGAGATTATTCAATTGTAATAGGTCGCCTTTGTATGCTAAGTTGTTAATGTGTTGTGATGTCGTGCTCCGAATTTTAAATGTCTATGTCGCTTGCTTACGTACGCCTATTACCACTCTTAGTCTGTCGAAGAATATAGAGAATAATAAACAATTTCACGGATTGACATGAGATAGCGTAACGACTTAGAAGTAGAACAAAAGATAAAACCAAATATGTGAAAGATAGTTATCTACTTAAAGAGCATGAGCAAGATGAGGAATAAATTTGAAACGTGAATATAGTTGTAACGATACAAACACCACTGGTGGAGGGGGGTCATACGATCACCTCTCTCCATTGTTCTCTCGAACTGACTGGAGAGGCAATTGGTTTATGACATGATCTCGAGGTATGAAACAAATCTGTACAGGAATGGATTTTCTTGGTTCCTTACGACTATCTTGTTGGGGTCCCCGAGATGGTGCAACATATAGGGCTGGAACATTATCAGAAATAGCTCAGAATCGAAGATAGTGGCGATCCTGCTGTAACTTTGGCTTCCTTCATAAAAGTGGGAGCAACTTCTTTAACTGAAAAATATCCCTTAACTGAACTGAACTATAGTTGTCACCAATTTGAAGTTTTGTTCATTTATAGACTCAGGTTATATGACCATCTTGCCTGAAAGACTGTTGACTAAGAGTATTTTGAAAACTATATAGATCAGCGCTATCGGTTTTTGTAATTTTAGTGATGAAACGATACTGTTTATCACTTCCATTTTTTAGACAACTACATATAGATATGAATAACTCTGCAACAATTATTACTCGTCAAACTGGAACATTTCGTTCAAACTGTATTGATTGCTTGGACAGAACGAATGTGATTCAATCTATGCTTAGTTGGTGTGCATTAGAACAAGCAATGATTGAAATTGGTATATTACAAGGTACAGTTTCTCGAACAGCCGATGCTAGTACTACATCACCTCTATCTCATTTGTGGCCAGGTTTTGGATTTCGTTTTAAATCGATTTGGGCTAACAATGCAGATTACTGTTCTCTTCAATATGCAGGTACACCAGCCTTGAAAACAGATTTCACTAGAACAGGTAAATTTTGTTTTAGAGCAAATAAGACTTACAAGGTTTGAATTCATATTGACTTTGAAGTAAGTGTTCATTCAAGTAATATATGGGTACTTATGTATTTTAAAAGTGTTTTTTATTTTTAACTGATGTGTTGAAGAACAATTAGTGGTTATAGCTTACGAAACAGTTGTTTTTAGTGCTACTATGTACCCAGTGGTTTCTCAGTAGAAGAGGTTGTCTAGTGGTTAAAACACACTTTCACTATTAATTAAAAATGGAGTGAGATGTTGAACATCTTCATCTCAATGAAGTTGATTTTCACAGCCACACCATAGTACTTTAACTAAACTCATCTAACATTTGTACCAAGTATAACCCGAATACGAATACATTACTCTGACTTTAGGTAAGGAATACATTTCTTAGAGATCTCTTTTTAAAACATCTTCGATGGCAAATATAGAGGGAAATGGCGACTTTGAGCAACGCTATTTAACAATTACTAGTTTGAAACAAAGGTTATAAGTGGTTCCGTGCCCGTATTCAACCTTAGGTGTTTCATGTTCTCCATCCAAGATGCTAGTAAGCTTCTGGGAATGCTTCCCTCTAATACAAAATTGCAGAAAACACTCCTATCCAATAAATCGAAGATAGACTTAGTGTTAAAGACTATTATCACTGTTGGTCAGTGTTCAGGCAGCTGGCGCAATGTAAGGATGCTACTAGGACATCTACAACCTATGCACTAACCTATCTGGTGCTTACGAGTCAGTTCCATGCAAGAATTGCTTCATTACAGATTGATGAAACCTGCAATTTGTCATTGTTTTTAAACAACGTACTAAAATGTAATCCTCATCCTTAAAATTGTGAGTTTGAGTCTACTTAACTGAAGGTTTTGTAACTATAGTAAATAAAATTCCTTTCGTACTTCTGCTTCTTTAATTATATCATATTAAGCTAAACAAATGATGTAACAACAGAATAAATGGCGATTGAACTTCACATCAATTAGTCAGTGAGTAATCACTGATTTCATGGCTAATCTATAGTGCTGGTCGAATTATTTGAGTCAAGTTCGGATGAGGCGATCATCTGAATAGTTCAGTAATAAGATTTTCGACTGTGATACCGAGCGACATGATTCCAATCCTATAAAGGATTATCAGTTCTCTCAATATTTTTTTGTATTTAAGTTCTACTTTGCACAAAAAGTAGGTCAATGACTAGCTACTATTTGTCTCCAGTCATATAATATTAATATCTATAAAATTTATTTGCTATTTAAAATTTTTTCTTTATTAAAAAAATAGGTAAAAGAACATTCTATGGTATACTGATGGATGGTTATTATTCAATAATTCGTTATTATTTAAATAATTTCAACGATGGCTTCCGGCAAGATTCAATGCATTTACTTCTTGGCCAATATAAAGTGATGGATGTTAATGGGAATCTTAAGCCATTACGTGGACCAGGTGGACCTCCTAGACGTCGCCTAAAAAATTCTGATTCTGAATGGTTTACACAGTTTCTACCACTAGTATTTAGTTTTACCTTAGCTATGTCTGTATTGTGTTGTATCTTTCCTACAGGTAGGCGTTTAACATACTCTGTATTTGATAATTATAATAATTTTGGGTTAAACTATAATTTACGGACGACCTTTGAGCTATGCTTAAGTAACCCCGATAGTGTCCACCTACTTGAGTTTAATGAGGGTTGTGAATTGATGTGAGGAATTAGGATTCACAGTTGGGCGTTAGGATTAGTCTTCATCACGAACTGGAATCATATATAATGCCAAGATGCTATTTAGCCATATGAACGAGTGAATTTCGCGCCAAAATCCAAGATCTGCTGTCTTAAACCTGATTGGTCCATCCGTAAATTACAGTCTCGCCTAATTTTGCTGTGTAACTGGTTGGAATTTCACACTACATTAAATGTTATCCATACAGTGACATAACAAGAGAACTGTATAGTTGAGTAATTACAAAACCAACTTTTAAGATTTTTCTGCACTAGTTATTTTCAACAGTCAAGTTCAATTTCTCATGCACTGACCATAGTAAGTTAACAGAATGTTAAGACAAAACTTCATAAGATATTACTGCCTAATACCAGATGAATTGACTTATAGTATGTAGGTAGATAGGTTGACCATGAGATGGACGTACGAATGATGACTGTGGCTAGGTGAATAATGCCCTTACTGATTGAGTCATTGTATTTGACTTATCATTCAGCCTTAATATATAATGTGACCTGGTTTCCTTGCTTAATCAATACTGTGTTCAAATTTCTGTGGTAACAATGACCTTTTAATAAATCGTAACTTCCGATTGATAAATTCCATACTTGGAAAGAAACTTTATTACTCCCTACATCCCGTTTTATCCAAGGTCTAGATCAGTGCAGTTATGGCGATGACTGGGCACCCTTTCATCTGTTGAACTACAGGTTGATAATATTTCACAGCACTTCTAGCTGTTCACACTCTGTAGATATTCTCAGGTTTACAATTTCATATGTTTATTTAAATAATTTTAAAAATCATCGGTGTATTTAAAAGCAGAGGTCTGAATTATTGTAAGCGGCGTGATATATTGTGAATATTAGGTGGGATAGTTAAGAACCAATTTGTTTAAATAGTTTACCGTTTTTTAACTTTTGTCAATTATTAAAACATGTTTAGCTCCTCATTGCAGTTAACAATAGCCCTAATGAGTTGGTTAATTTCAGCTTTCTTTGTGTACATATATGAGGTATAGCAACGTAAACCTATGCATACTCACTTCAGGTCTTGTATTGCCTGTGATGGACTATCTAACCCAAAACAATGTTAATTCTGTAAAGGTTGTATTTCGTACAAAATTTTCGAAAAAAATCCATTCTATAGTTCCTTATTTGGTTTATATCTATTTTCAGCTCATTGGACAGAGAAAGCAACTTACGTACTATTCTGGGGTGGAGCTTCAGTTCTTTCTGCTTTAGCAATATTTGCCTACGGTGATGATTTTGTTGACCATCCTCGATTTTGTCCAGACTAAAGAGGATTTTCCAAATCAATTCTTACGATAAAACCCATGAATCCGTAATAATTTCATTAATTGAAGAATGTAATGCTTGCTCGATAAAACTACATATTGACAAATATCTTTGTATTTTAATAGGAATATATATGTTCGGTTGGTCGACTAACAAGGACATATCTTTTCTGTCTTCTTTCTTTCTTGTGCTAAAAAGGAATCTTTTTATAACTGTGACAACTTTGCTCATTATATTAGTAGTGATTACAATGTCTTTCTTCTGGGTGTTTTCTTTTTCTCTTCATATTTCGAGTTAAGTTTGATCTCGTGAAATATTTCGAACTAATCAAATCATTGCCATCTGAACCTGAATAAATCAATCCACCTTTAAAATGTCACTGCCTAGAAAATTGTACAAAATTTTCGTTACTTTTTCAGCGGATGTTTCAGTACGTAAGTGTGAAAACCTGCCTCGATCAACAATCATCATAAAAATTAATGAATAGCAGACTTTTCACTGTCTAAATAATTGATTCCAGTGTACCATTGCAACTTCTTTGTAGTTAAATGAAGAAGTAAGATAGTCTTTCTACTGGAACCGGTAAAAAACATCTCGGTTGTCCGTAGCTCTTTAGTATAGCATCAAGATCATGAGATATAAACCGTGTCTGCAATCCTACCTGGAGAACTGTTCGTAATGTCTAGAATAACACCTAAATCGTAGATCTCAATAGTAGTTAAACAAGTAGTGTAACTTGTGTTTAATATTGCTTACTCTAAATTGGATATCCCGAAGCTCTTTGGAAGCTAGTGTTAAAGAATTCGATAAGAAGCAGTTACCCAAATATAACTCCAGTAGGTTGCACTGTAGAATGAATTGGATGCAGTCAGATTATGAACTGATGGATGGTTCGTACCAGCTACCGATCTTAAGCAAAATGCCATAGATCGCCAGTGCATACTTCTAAGGAGTACCGAAGCAGTTCGAAAAATCTAATGCATTCGCTTTAAAAGTTCTTTGACTGAGACCAACCTATGATAAGCTGCACAATCGTGAGCTCATTGTTGACAATATATATAAATAGGCTGTATTCATAAAAAGTATGCGATATGACCTCGCTTGGTGACCATTGAAATACTAATTATCCATACTAGTTGGTCCGTATCATTCTCATTAGATTCGCTTACCGAATTATGGGTTTGTATAATAGGCTTTGAGTTATACTGTTTGTGTGAAAGCTAAACAGCTTAAACGTTAACCGATCACCTCCACATAGACAATAATATTTGAAAGGTTGCACAATAACTGTATTTGATGACAGTGCTCATTTTATTTGTTTATATATACCGAAATAAGTTATATGAATCAAAAATATCCATATATTCACAATTATATATTGATTTCATGTAAGAAATTACTTTCCGGATTCGTAAAAATAATCAAATTAGGTAAAGAATTTCATATTCGAAAAAAGGGAAATATGCAACATTGAAATCCTTTTAATTATGATAGACACAAAGTGTAGTTGAAAAAAATGAATGAAGCTAATAATGTTAATATTTTTCAGAACCGAACAACTTGCACTTCTTAATCGAATTACAGAGTGAATAAATTGTTTTGAAATTCCTAGTCCCAACTGCACCAACGACAATTACTACTAATTGACTGAATTATCTGTGTGATTTTTTAATAGAGGATAATTGATGATAAAAGGGAATATTTTTCATTTTACAAAATAATAATTGATGATTTTTTTCTTATTCAGAAAAAAATTACGCAGAAAGAGAGAGAGAGAGAGGTAATAACAGAATTATTCTTAACACAAATCTTAATCAAAAAAAATAAATCAGGATATTAACAATTTGAAATGAACAAACCAAATGTTTAGAATAAAATATTACATAAGAAATAGAAGAGAATGAGAAAATCAAACATAAATCATTGTTATCATTTAATTTATATTTATATGAACCTGTTTGTTTAAATAGATATATCATTGTATATTTACTTCTGTTGTTATTGACAGTGTTAAAGGCATGCTGTAAAACAAGAGGATATAAATAAATATATATACTGATACTGACAAATGATTGTTGATGTTTATGGACGAAGTCGAACTCATGTCTACAAAATAAGTCCTCATAAGCAGACCAGTAACTAACGTGTAATTCATTTAGTTTTATTGACAATTCAACCTTTTAAGAGCTATTATTATGATTTATGTGATATTTTACAAGCTAATCATTCAATGGAATTTACCAACTAGATGTAGTTGTGCAATCGATTAGAAATTTTAACATCGAAGTACCAGACCATCTAAATTCAATTCATCAACTAAAAATAACCGTATAAGCTCGTATAAATGTGTGTAGACATCGTTCTTTCTTTTCACAGTTGATGAATCCTTCGAGTAATAGATCATAATGTCAATACAAAAAGATCTCATTGGGAACCAATGTTTAACCGTCTTTGTATGGTGGAAATAGTAGTAATGGTAACCAGTGTTCATTACTTCTCAGTACCACTTCTATATTCACATTTCGATTGTTGTATTAGTGCATATTGCTAATAATCGGTATTATCCATAATTAAAAAAGGATATATCTGTGTTTAAAATATTAACTAACCTTTGTTATTCATAATCCCATTGTTATTATAGGCATATTGATTATTCTGAATAGAAAATTTACGATTTATATTCATTAATGGACGATTGCACATAACGCCATCATCGTCAGGTGGCGGTGTTGAAAGTGATGATACCGATTCAACACATGATGAATGTTGTCCATTATTTTTGTTGGTAGTAGTACTAGCATTTTCACATATCACGTGGATCGCATCATCTACAAACAGATTTTTATTGGGCAAGCGATGTATGACATCATCGCTTGGTTCAAGAGACAATTCATAGCGGTGATTATGTAATGATGGTGAATTTGGATGTAGCTCCTCATCTGAATGATGGTGCCCAACTCCTCCATTTTGTTGGAATTTACTCACTACTTTTGAATGAATAAAATTAGAGCATCAAAAAGCAGAAAATAAATCATAACACGTGAAAATAAGGTTCACATAATAAATGACTAATTTCCACGTGCGATAAACTATAATCTAGCAGCATATGTGTAGACTATATAAAGTCAATAAAAGAACTAATAGTAGTCAAGAATAACTTGTAATTGAAATTTTCTTAATATATCGTTATTGAGAACTCAAATGCATATTCGTGTACATGACTTAAAGCTAAACACGTTTAAAAAGAAGCCCGGTTATTCAAAATAAATTTCATGAACTTGATTTCTCATTTTCAACAACGTAATGAAAAATCGGGTGCCATGAATCAGATACACAAAAATGAAGTTGTATTTTGTCAGTTTCTTAAATTGTAATAATTTATAATCTATTACTAAATACATAATTGATAAAATGCGGGTAAGGTGGGTCAAATAAGTAGAAACGAAAACATTTTTTTGTGAATGACCCAGTATATTTTGACTCAATACAATCGATACACAGAAAGTAGGTGACAATCATTACAATAAAATACATTTCATTATATAACTCTTACATATACTAACCCTACAATTGACCAAAGTCATTAAAAGTACACGAATTTTCGACCAATGAGTCTAATGACCCACCATATATTAATAAGATGCAGAAAATGAAGATTCAGTATACTTGAGCAGTCGGAAAAATTAAGAAGCAACAACTTGCATTATATGTTTCAATTAAGTCTCATCAATACTTTCAAAAGACACCAAGTAGCGTTAGTCGATCGGAAAGATTCAAATCTGAAAATTACATAACCACTTGTTGTTTATTGCTGTGAGTGTTGTCTGGATATCTGGAAGCACAATTTTTAGCTAGTCTGGCAGTAGCTAAAAATCAAAGAGATTTGTGTATAAGCTTCCAGATGCAAACATTACTGACAAACAGATAAAATAAAATTAGAACAGTCTCAATGTCCAAAATATTACACGTCACAGATCATCATAGTTTAGCAAGAAATCAACGAGAGTGAAGGAGTAACAAAATCGGTATCAACAGCAAAGAGAAGAACAACTCAAGATGAAGAGTAGATTAATGTGCAGGTTCCCTACTCGAACATCATTGGTTAAGTCAAAGGTAAACTTTAATCAGAATTGCCAACATTAAGTGGTGTTTACTAAGGTTGCTCACCACCCCCTTTTTCAGTTAAATTAGTAATAAATGACCTCATAGAAATAACACTCCAACAAATTTTCCCAAGGCTGATCGTCTATTAGGTCCACAAATGGACCATAGATATGTCGAAATAGAGATTTCTGATCGCCTTGAGCAACCATGAATGTATGTTAGTGTCAGAATGAGTTTCTTCCCCTCGGAATTATAGATTTTGCTGCATGATTGGTTTGTATTAACACAACCTAATGATAGTGAGTAAAGTAGCTAAGTATGTTGACCAATTCACTCATCTTGAAAGTTTCATTAACCCTGATGGACTGACGTCTGGCGAAATCTGTGCATAGATTCAGAAAGCTCAGTTGGTCTTTGCCGACGTGCGTTAAAGATATCTGTACGCTAACACAAGTCCAATCGGCTTTCCATTACTGTATAACTGTGAAACAGTTTATAAAATTAGAAGATAAACGTATACTGAAGATTTTGACAATAGAGTCACGAGAACAAACTGAAGCTCGTGGAATAGCTTACTTCTATATAAGGTGATGTTGGGAATGACAATGAAAGCGTGTCAATCAAACAATTTACATTAGAGAATTGGACGCCACCAAAAGCATTTATCTGAGCTTGAAACTTTCTCCGTCATTTAAAACTCAAATATTTTAACGAGCAAAATCATTAAAATAAAATACTGAAATAGAACTTACTGGGTGATTTGGATTCGAATGGTAAAGGTGTAGTAGTATCAGATAACACGTGATTTTTCGGATTTCCCATATCAATACTACTAATGCTATGTTGACAATTAGAAGTATTACCATTGGTTAGATGTAAATTTGTTAGAGATTCAGTAAGTTGTGCATTATTTTCTAGGTTTTTATTTGAATTCTTTTCTTCAATTTTAGAATCATTTTCTTGTTTACCAAGTGGTAAACTATGATAACTAATAATTGTTAAACAACAGGGATTTTGTTCGTAAGTCAATTGAGAATTTATTGAACGTGTAATCCAATCATTTTCAATTGTGCATAGTATATCATCAGCAGAATGATTATCTTGACGTAAAGAAAGTAACAGTTTATCATCTAGACCCAGAATACGATCACCAATTTGAATATCGGTTCTAGAAGCACATGAATTCGGCTCAATACGAACAACAACTGGTCCACTAACACCCGGGCCACTAACTAAACGTAAACCTAAATGAATATTTGATATATGACTAGAATTGGTGTTATTGTTAGTATTAACTGGTGCAGCTGGTAAATAAATCTGTCGTACAAAAAATCCTCCACTGCCTCTCCCAGCTAATTCTAAAGCCTTTTCAATTTCTTCTTCATTTAAAGGTGTCATATTCAACATTGAATCAATTTGGTCTTGTTGATTGCTTGAATTAATTGCACAATAAGTAGATTCAGGTAACCGATAATGATTATCATTCTCACGATGTCCAAATTTAATTTTATTATTCTTACTTTCATCATCTTCATCTTGTAGTTCAGGTAAAGTGCACATATCTCTTAAAAAGCTTGGTGTTTCAATACATGGCATAATACCACCAAATAATGTCGGTAGTTCTAGTGACGGAGGTGGATAAGGTGGGAACATATCATGTTCATCTTGTTGAATTCGATGAGATGGAGATAATGACGAAGTGACCGGTGGTGGAGAAGGCTTAAAACACTTATCTGATATAGCATTATTGTTAGCAGATAATGGTGCGTTGAAATACGGTAAACGACCTAATTCAATTGTACAATACAGTAGATTAGCTAATAGCTGGACCACTTCGGTTGGATTCAACCAATCTACCGGTTCACGATCTATACTTAACAGGCGATCACCCGGCTAGATAAGCAAAAGAAAAGATTAATAAGCATTTGGGAACTCCACGGTATGGAATAAAATGTTTTCGTGGCAGGAAGTATCTGTAAAATTGGGATATTTTCGTCAATTCCTTCAAGTTGAAATATCTCTTTGCTTTACCACTTATTTCAACATACTAAAATTGTCACTATTTCTATCAATATGAGTATGACTAGAATTCCCAGTATTAAAATGATTAGCCTCCAAGACTTATAAAAACAAAACAGAAATCTAATTGATAATAACACTATTTGCTTGTCTCAGATGATAACGAGATATATACCTGAGTTTCCTTATGATGCTGACTCAGTCGTAATAAGTTTATTAGAATACTTACTTCTTGAAGTCCTACTTTTGTCAGTGAGGTCGGTTACATATCTATTTGCTAGCGCGACATAGATTAAAACATGTTCCGTGCACGATTGTGTCGGTGCATGCTAACTGGCTAAATTTATCCAATCAGCGCTAGTCCATAGTTGGAGAACACTCTAGAATCTTCGCATGTAAAAACTATAGATATACTAACGTTTTTTTTTATTGTGCTTCTTACTTCCATCTACCCTTGTTATTTGGAATACAATTTCCTTCCTGTTCAATCGTGTTCTGATTTGGGGACTTGTCGAGTGAATTGGTGTCCAAGAATACTAAGCAATAGGAATAGCTGGGTTGTAATCAGAAAAAAATTATAACACTATTAAACTTAAAGTAATTACTGTTACTATGTAAACAATTCACAGTCCAGAGGTGAAGTTGTACTGTTAGTTGAACAGGAAAGTAACGACTATAAAGTATTACTATTATTAGGATCAGACTGTTAAACAATAGCAGTTTGATACTTCGAATTATCCAACGGTTTCTTTATGATGCAATACCTATTTATTCGACAATGTATATCTTAAAAAATAACTATGAATACAATTGTACAGTTTTAACAAACGACATTGACGACCTGTTCAAAGTTCTCTGGAAGATTTACTGCAGTCAAATATATGATATTGAATAAAGCGATTAATATCATCAAAATTATTTAAAACAGTATTTTTTTAACCTTCTTAGTCCTAATGTACATTAGTAAAACAGAAGAAAAGCAAGGAACTACTACTTACCATTATCATTCCTAATCGATCTGCTGGACTGTCATGTTGAATACTATCTACGATTAGTCGAATGTGTGAGTCCCATAATTCTTGTGAACTCGCATAACGAATACGCAAACCAAATGCAGCTGAAGCAATTTCATCATTGTTATTATTACCGTCATCATCACTAATCTTCTGATTGTTGTTTACGGTAATACAGTTGGTTGATGATTTTAAATCGTGTAATTCATTTTCATCAGTTTTTTGACAGACAGAATCAACAAGAATATCAGGATCATTGGAATAAGGTTTTCCCGCCTGAGGACGATCATTACAGAAGCCAAATTGACGACGTTCAAGTACAACCACATAGACATTTAATCGATTTCGAGGATAGGCTATGAGATAAAATGCAGATATATGGATATACTCATATTTCTCGTTATGGGATCATCGTATACAGGATGCAAATACAACGGTATTATAATGAGATTTTAAAAACAACGAGTGCTGAGCGCATTCACACATGCTCTAAACAATGCGACGACTCATATCTACCGTAACACAAACGTCTAAACAACAATTTAGAAATTTCAAACAAATACACGTCAGCAAAACTATTTAGTAATACATGTATATACATACGTGAATCAGTACATAGTTTAGAAATTATATTAAAGTATAAGTGATTAAAAGAACAGGAGAAAAAGATTTCCAGTACAATCATATAGAAACATTTGTACATTATTGCATCACATATCAGTTAAAATTTTTAGATAAGTTGGTAACAATACTTGTGATTACATAAGAGAGATTAGGAAAGTTAAAGAAAACTTGAGAAAAGAATCGTCCACAGTAAATTTTATAAAATAACAAATATAACACATGAACATTTCATTAGGAACAAATGAGTGGGGGCATAAATGTTAACTGCAAAAATAAAATTTCGTACTACATGCGCAGAAAAACAAAGTCAATCGCACTATTTGAATATTGTGCGTATATAACTATCGTTTATGATTTAGATTATGTGGTTCAATTGTAAAAAAAATTTATATAGTTTTCATCATTTTTATTCCTCCCTAATATGTTAACTATTCATTCAATTCTCCATTTGCTTCTGTGAGGCATATGTCCATTTGTTTTTTGTAAAGATTATTTTACATCAAATGATTAACTATATACAATGAAATAAGTGGGGACTGGATAAGTAGTCAGACAAATAAGCTAAAACTAACGGCCTACATATAGCGACAATAAATGACAATGAGGAACACATATGGAGAGGAAAAACATTAAATTGGATGATAGTAACGAGAACAACAACAATGCATTTCATAGAATAAAATATGCAAACAGATGCATTGGATAGTATGGTGCAGAAAGAATAAACACAAAGGTCCGATCAAAGGGATAACGAAATGAAGCAAGAGAAATATGCAGATTATATGTAATACGTTGTGGTTATCATCACAAACGACAACAATACCGAAAACAACAAAAATAATAATTTCGACAATGATGAGCAACGCAACAGCAGTTCGAGAAAAAAATAAATAAAACAAGAGAGGGGATAAAACAATTTTTGTTTGCTAGCAGTAGACAATTATAATAAAAAGCGAAATAATTATTCAGATAAATGTGAGACGTAGTGAACTTTAGTGTTTACTAGTAAAGTCACAGGTTAGAAAAAGCCTAGCGAGTGTTGTCAGATAATCAAGTTATTCACCGTTAGACTAACAGTGTTGGGAAGTGAGAGATTCTTGATTGGTACGTGTGTGGTAATCATCAGGTAACATGTTTAATAACCATTTGTAGAGGAACAGAAGTATTCTTAAGTTATAATATATAACTTTCCACAACTATAAGTCTTATAATTTCGCTTCTTTACTTTCCAACTTCATAAATTCATCTTTCTGTATCATCAATAACAAAAATATTTATAACCGTAAGGCAAAACGATGTTGATCATTGATGAAAGTGTTTTAAAAAAATCAACCAACGATCCAGATAACTCGAGCTTAAATGGAAGCATACAATTGGTTGAAGGTGTAAAGATTACAATTCCTAACACCTTTACAATAATGCTTTCACAACCATCAACTTTAGAAATGAAATGACGTTTAGAAGAAGAATAATCATATAGCTTTCATTTCTATTCATAATTACTTAATGATCATCTATAAAGTTGATTATTGATTACCGATCACGTCCAAACAAGTACAAAAGGTAGAGGTTTGTTTATAAATAAGTCCAAATATACGAACAAAACAAAAACACAAGTGTATTATTATATGAACATACCATGCATTGATGGCCCAGTTTTGTAACGTCCAATCAATAATTTCACGTCGCTATGTGCATTCTATGTGCAAAAAAAAATAATAAACACGTAACCATGAATGAATATAACCATTGGTTTATGTAATGACAAATAGATTATGTTTATCAAGATTTCAAACATTAATTGGAAACTGTAATTCATATTTTATAAAACTGTAAAATTTAATTAAAACTAATGTCTTGTATATATATATAATGGTGGATTAACTGTCACTAATTAAAAAATATGCTATGGTAATTTATCTGTTATTTGTAATTCTAATGGTTTTGAAAAGAATAATTGTTGGATATTCACTACAAATAAACCGTACAAAAATGATATATGCGGTATATTAGATAGATTTTTGTCTTATTCAATAAATTCTGGCTCTCAATCACATTTGATTATTCGCCCCGAAAGTATATTACTGAGTAGTTCCATATTATCACACACTTATGACTAAGCAAATAAAAGTTCGACCTTATGAAGCAATCGACATATTGTCAAGACACCTGCAGACATTAAATCTAGGACAAGAAATTTAAACATTTTAATAATAAGTAGTATGCTTGTAACTAAATTTATATTGTTGTACATCTACTTAACCTACAATCTAGAACCTACATTCACTAAGAAAACAACACTAACTAACCTTTAATAAATTGACTACTTCATCTGATTTAGCCAAACGCATATCCCAACCATTAATTTCTAAAATTATATCACCAACTTCCAAAAGATTTGAACGAGCAGCTGGACTATTCTCTATCTGGTTACAAAAAAGGAGAAAACAAATCATCGAACAGAAAAAAGTGTGAGATATTATAGTTATATTTCGATGGGAAATAGCTGAAACGTACATTAAACTCAACAAGAATCACAAATTGATCCAAATCACTCTGTTGACCAATAAAATTAAACGTTGTAAAATAAAGAATTGAAGTAATCGAAATTTTCTATGGATCATTGTGAATATAAGGCAGGCGATAAATTGAATGATGGGGAATTAATTGAGTAAAGGTAACAAAAAAACAAAGTTCTACACTCCATGCATATTCAAAGGGAAGATGTGTTGTTAAATTTAAATGGTTGTTATTTTATATTGAATAAAGTTTGAATTAATGGTGATCATAGGAACACTATTTTGTGAGAAACTATCAATCACAAATATACGAAGCTGACCATAAACTCATGGTCAGCTTTGATTTATAGTAAGTTAACTAACTACTGTGAGACGCAGCTATTTGAGTACTATGAAATTTTAAGAACATTCAGTTTTACCAAATATCAGAAAAATAATGGAAGAAACCCACTAATTTACTGAATACAGAAGGAAATCCAGAGAAAATGTTCTCTTCAACGATATCATTTACTAAATTTGTACAATCGTATTTATGGTGGTTCGATCAATATACAAGTCTAAACAAGAATAGAAAGAAACCAAATTATAAAGACCTCAAGATTTCAAGTAACAAATGGTTGCGTAAAAGTCTCGAAGTTGAAGAAAAGTAGGAAAATGGAAATAATTTAAGGACCATACATTTAGGAAATAATCGTCCACATGACAGATATAAAGAAAAGACGAAAAATATATAGGTAATAATGACAATTGAATAATAATTGATATATATATATATATATATATATATATATATATATATATATATATATATATATATATATATATATATATATATATATATATATATATATATATATATATATATATATACTTACAATGCCTCCAATAGCTGTTCCAGTCGAATAATGAGGTCGACCAATCAATGACAGACCAAAACTTTGTCCAGGCATGTCACGTTTCAAGTGAACATTATGACATTCGAATACACCTTGATTTATATATTGTGGTTCAGGATCTCTGTACACAACCAATTGGATACAGTCATCAGCTGTTCGTATAATCTGGTAATTGAAGTAAATATAAATGAAAAGTTGAACAGAACTAGAATTGGAAGTTAAATTTTACGGAGACAATGTGTGGAATTCCTAGCAGGAATCACTGGTAAAAAGAAGTCATGAGAACAAAACAAAATACCTTTGTGGCATCTTTTTGGGTAGCTTCACGAAGATCGATCCCATTGACAGCTAACAAGCGGTCACCAACTTGAAGCCGACCATCACGTGCAGCAGCTCCACCAGAGTGTACTTCATGAACCAAAATGTTACTCTTTAAAGAAACAAATAAAAAGGAGCAGTGATTCACTGATAGTCAATCTAATATGCTTGGATGAATTATGTATGTGAAAGACTATCTTTCGATAGGAAACTTAGTAGGATCGTTCAGTACGCAGTCCATATTACGGAGACATCCTCACGACGAGGCCCAATAGTTCCGTGTTCGACCTTAACTTGAGTTGTGCATAAAACCTCTTAAGGAGCTATATGCTAAGACGAAACAGCTCGTCAATGTTCCCCATAGTTCAATGTTCGTCAAAGTAAAATCAGTCAATCATGTAAACTACAAATCTAGCTCATATCCCACATGATGTGAAATTGTAGCAAGTTAACATCTACCTCTACCACTACGGGATTTGAATCGACCACTGCATCTCTGTGCTAATGTGGTGTGGCAACTCGAACTGATGTACGCACGTACGAAGTTCTACGTTGTTACTGACTGACTGAACATCTAGTAAAGAGTAGAAAAAGGGTAATTATTTCCATATAATCAGGCATATCATATTATATACGTAAAATCAATAAATAGGACTGAGCAAGAAGAAAGATTGGTCCAGAATAATATGAATTCATTTTATTTCGTTAGGTTCTCATCAGCTGCTTACAACCTATAATATTTTAAAATCAAAGTTATTATACTATATATATACTTATAAATACGAGGGTGATTAAAGATGAATATATGTATCATGATGTAGCGAAGATTTTAATAGAGTTAATAAGGTCATAAGTCCTTTTGTTTCGGATGAATAAAGTCTGAGAAGGAAAGTATCCAGAACATTGAAATAATGATTAGAGTTAACAAACATTAGATGATAGTGCAATCAAGCAACTAAAAACAGATTAATGTTAATAAAGAAAGGTAAGAATTGAAATCAGTTAGCTATGAATTGAAGAAAAATGACAATGATGTAATTAAACTTCAGAAAAAGTTGAAATAATCATCATTTATATTTAACCAAATAGCACATACCAAAACTGTGTCACTTCCACCGACAATCGAGAATCCGAGACCTCCGTCAGTCTTGTACAGAGTAACTGTAGCAGGAATCCCAGGTATAATGGATAATTTATGATGCTTTGTATCATTATCTGGATTATCCCCTGTTGTAGTTACATATCCAAATTGTAGCATTTGTTGTGAGTCACTGTGACAAGGTATTTGTCTACCGATGGTTAGGCGTACAGATTTTCTTGATTTTTGCAACAATTCCAGTGTACTTTCATAATCACATTGAAGTTGACCATCAATAGCTAGTATACGATCATGAGGTCTAAGAACTCCTTGCTGCAAAAAAAATCGATGTAGAATGCATTTTACGACATCCAAGGAACATTTATAAGCATTACATTGAAAAAATAAAGGAAACCTATAAGCAATCCAGATCAAGACATGAAATCAGCACATAAAGTGATGGACTGAGCAGCGTGTTTAGACAGTTGAGGTTCTGTTGGGGCTGCTAGATCCCAAGAGATCACTTAGCAAAAATCTTATTTTTGTAATTTCATTTTGGGAATTTGAATTTCTTGTTTTCGCGCCAGAAGCGCCCATTTTTACCTTCAGCTTGTATTTTCAATTGGAAAGGACCCTAAATGCCATTGGTTCGTCCCCTATTTGAGTACACTTTTTGTGACGTTTCCCAGGGACATTTTTATGCCGTATATATACACTTGAGTTATGTGCTTGTGGAATACACCTTTCCTTCATTTGAACTAGATCTTCTCCCACTAGTTAGCAGGACTGGGACGCATCAGGATAGATTAGCTTGTATTGTCGTTTTTTTAAATTCTATTCGCCGATTTAAGTGATCTCGTAATCTCTTCAAATATAACACGTTAGTGAGAAAATGGCAATCGATGATTAAGGGTTTCAACTGAACTCGTTGAAAATCAGTAACAGTGGCCTAACCGCATGGACAGCTTGTCCTGCTTCGGTCTGGGCACCCGGGCAGTATTACAGCCTACACACACACACACACAAATATGGTGTGGCGCATATATATTTGGTGCCCTCTTGTATTAATATTTATGTGTTGAAATAAAAATAAAATAAATAAAATGGACAGCTTGTACTCATTTACATCTTTATTTTTACACTACCACATATATTAGTGCTCATACATTGAAAATCTGCTCTCCTTCTAACTGTGTTGGTGCGAAAGGTGAGAACCAATGTACGTTTATTGCAGATTCCAAAGCTATTAACGATCATCTAATTGAACGAAATTTTAGAAAATTAGATGAACTTTAGTCCAACACTGACTTATTTTATTACAAAATATAGTACTGGATGTTATTCGCACTTTCATTTCCTAGCAATTTTAAAAACATATCTAAATAACAGAATAATTTCATGTTTGCGTATAACTTTAATAGTTAGTTAACTCTAAACTAATCCCATAAGTTTTTGAGCCTATCAAAAACAGTACACTTTTATAGTCATACAGTTTTGTTGCTCCCGATGAGGATAGCCAGTTCTTCCGCCACTAATACTTAGAAGTAATTAGTATAAAAGTAATGAAAATATGATTCAGAAGCACTGAATTACATACTGTGAGATCCACTTACTAGTTGTGCTGGGCTGTTTGGACGGATTTCGCTGACGAATACACCAGGTTCATTGTTTGGACTCAAATTAACGATGAAAATACCGAAACCGTCTGAACCCTATGAACAAAGAAGGTTGAAATTAATAAACAGTTGAATATTGAGAAGGATTTAACACAAAAGGATCAATACTCCCTTAACGCATCTGGATATTCAGGATTCGGTGAGTATACTCCTAAAGATAATCTACAACTATTCAACATTTAAACACAAGGAAACATTGTGCTACAGATAATCAACTTGGATTATTCTCAATGATCACGTGAAGAAAAATACAATTCGCTTCGATTTTAATAGGACAGTATGAGAGTGGAGGTGTATAATAAGATATTTATCATTTATAAGTAACATAGATTGGACAAAAAAATGATAAACTTATTTATTCGCGTGATACAGATAATACATTAACAAGAAGTCCTTTCATTCAGTACACACTATAAGATTTACGCGGTCACTACTCCGCAGTTTTCTTTTAAAAAATGATTTGAGTGGTAGCTTTACCATCTGATTACTACAACAATAATACTTTCTAAAAGTCATGCTTAGCGAGTTTATTTTCGATAACATGGGATAAAGGTCAGATTACGTTTTTTCTAATGTTAATATTTTGTTCGGCATGATGTCGGTTGCATTTTTCAAGTAACACTTATTCAGATGTGTACTTTGAGTATTTTTGAAGTAACATCAGTTTATTTACCATACGTAATATTTATTAACTAAGATGTGTAAAGTTCCATATAAATGAGTGAATTTTAAATTAACGGCGACGTGTTTGAAGAGCCGATAAGATTTCTATTACCACTAGTTAGCGTAGTGGAAATCGCAGTGGATCCTCGATTCCAGTATTAACAGTAGGACCTCGGTCATTACAGTTTTACTAATTAACATAACCATACTATTCATATTTTATGTAACACTATTTAATTTAAAAATGAACAAATGCGTTTTCTAGTTGAATAAATCTATTAGTAAAATTAACTAGGAAACCAAATGAGAACAAAAATAAAATGACAAGGCATATTGTTTATGATTTGTATAGTGCAGTAACAGATAAACAATTGATGCTTTTTAGTAGTTATGTGCAAGTTCACGAACAGGACACAGGAACGTAATAAGTAGTTGTTTGAAAACAAAAAAAATGAGCTGGTACTCAAACCGGTTTTGGAAATACCAAGGTTTGTTTCAGTACTGATTTTGAGAGAAAACGTCGACGCAGTTAAAGGGTATAGAGGACTTTTAATCCTACAATAATTAAGCATGTTACTCGAAAAGTGCTACTTTTTACACCGAGAATTCTATATTTGTTTAGGAGATCCAAAATATTCCTCGAAATCGACCAGAAACGCTAGGAAACATTTTATCCATTTAGTATTGAATAGAAGTTTCTCAGAAACATCTAGCTATATGTTTAGTAAGGTTCCAGAAGCCCAAATCCACATGAAATGTTATAAATACTCTCAGCTTTCTGTGCATGAACGAACCTTGGAGTAAAGCGTTATTTCCATATTCCGCTCCTTTTCTCTTGTGTTCAAGTTGTTGTGTAGATTTAGCCTGGAGTTACTAGAAGAGCTTAGGAAACCGATTCAAGCATTAAATCAAATTTTTTAATATTGTACTAAAGATATAACAGTGAATGAATTCATTATCAATAACAATATTTATTATCATATAAAGCAATATTCGAGAGAATTCAGAATAAACATGAAGAAAATAGATTGAAAATCACAACCAACCGTGTGTTGAAAATGCTCTACTATAGATAGTGCGATTAGACTATCACATTTATTAGCCTCAATCACACGAGCTAGTCGATTTATTAAAATAATATCAAGAGTAAAAACGAGATCAATGCTTAAAATATATGTTCTTAGTCCTATTTGTACATTCACACATTACATTTAATGGGACTATGATGCACAGGATTATTCGGGATAAAGTAATTTTAATGAAGAGATTTATTATTATTATTATTATTATTATTATTATTATTATTATCATATCTATTTTCTTAACAATGCATATGACGTTGTTACTACATTATTTCAAATGAAAAGTGATGTGGTTCTGTGATAAAGGTAATCAACCTTCAACTATTAAGTCGGTATCAATGCCAAAGTTGAACTTAATATTTTCAAATAAATTAAACATTGGGTAGAAAGTTAGTAATAAATATATTTTTTGTTATATCCCAATGAGTAGAATAATTATATTTCTGAATATCTCTAATATGGCTGGCATCTTTACACTACAATAAACCAAATAAAGACGAAACATTGTGTGAAACGATTCTGGCCAAACAAATATAATTATTAGGACAATATAAGATAATTATAAAAATATTTATATTTCATTCGTCTTCGATAAACACAACAAAAAAGTTTATAGATACTTTTCATCACAAAAAAGTATATTCTTTCTACTTACTCTCTCCAATATAATGTCGAATAATTGAAATTTCCAAAAATCTTCATTTAATTCAACCATGATCTCTTTTAGAAATGTATGTGGAATTGGCTTTGAACCAGTTGGTAATGGATTAGGTGATGATGACGATAACGCTTTTGAACAGGTGCTCTACAAAAAAAAAGATACGTTTAACATAAAGGAACAGTACTAAAATAGACTAAAAACTATTAGTATGGAAATAAATTATCATTGATAATGCTTTAAAATATGAGACATTTTTTATAAAGATAAGCGAAAATATCAAGCTTCATTCAATCAATTATATTATTTGAAAAATGTATATATTCCCAATAGTCACATGAATTCTAGTGAAGGTAAGAATGATGTATAACGTGTACTAGTAAATATAACAGTTTCAGTACATAAAATACTTCCTTTTTAGAAAACTTATTCTCTCTGGCCTGAATTCATTCAGTAGTAGTTTTGTGTTCAGTCAAAATTCGATTTAAAAGAGATGGTATCCGATCAAAACCTTATGTAAATTATTATGTTTGTATATCAATTCATAACTCCGCCTGTAGCTCTTCTAGAGTTACTGCCGGTTCCAAGCCCGGGTAAAGGAGGAGGGTTGGGCACGGGGTTAGCGTCCCCATCACGTAGAAAACCAACTCGCTAAAAAACGCTTACCAGAAAAAATAATTCAAACCATTTTAACTCTGCCCTGAAAGTTAGAAGGTCTTCATTTAGAAGAATTATGACGATTCATGGTGAAAGCCGAGTTCCTTCGGAAGCCACGAGGCCGAAGCCCCTTCTAACAACCAGAGCGAAAATTCTTGTAGGTACATGGAACGTTCGAACAATGCGAGAGACAGGGAAGATCAGTCAAATAGCAACGGAAATGAGGAGATACAATTTGGCAATACTGGGAATCAGTCAGTCAGTCAGCTACAACGTAGGACCAGGCACATATGTGCATCGGTCCAGGTTGCCATACCGCATCAGCACAACAAGATGAACACCGGATTCATAACAGTGGTTAGGTAAAAGGTGGTAATATATAAGAGAAAGATTGCATATAGAGATATAGTACGAGAAGAAAGAATTGGTTCGTAGAAAGAAAGATATAAAGCGATTTTAATCTCTTAGTTTAAGGGAAGACAGGGAGTGTATACACCGACGCCATTGTGATCGATTCTGAGCCATGTCACCAAGAGTCTCCAACCATTGGTTACGATAGTCACGTGGACCCCAACCAAGTAGTCTGCATCTACCAACATGGCTCAGACTAGAAGTTAGTGACTTCAAGCACTGATGCCACGTTTTGGTTTGGCCGCCCCTAACTTTCTTCCAACCATCCCCTACACCGGTTAGCATTGCACGTCGTGGTAATCGGTGTTCAGGCATACGTAACACGTGGCCCAACCATCTCAGTCGATGAAGATTCATAACCTCATCAACTGATTTACCATCCTTTCCTAATACCCTGCGTCTAACCTCGCTATTACTTACCCGGTTATCCCAGCAGGCGCCAGCAATATTTCTAAGGCATCTGTGGTCAAATACTAGTAGCTTACGAGTGTCTTCTACTCTTAATGGCCATGTTTCGCTGCCGTAAATTAAAACAGAACGGACTGCCGCGCAGTATACTCGTCCTTTTATTGATAGACGGATATCTCGCCTTCGCCATAGGTGACGTAAGTTGGCAAAAGCCAAACGAGCTTATCGAATCCGTGCTGAGATTTCGTCCGATACCAACCCATTAGGGCTGATCAGACTTCCAAGATAAGTAAAGTTGTCAACGCGTTCGACTACTGCACTCCCTATCCTTAGTTCAGGTGTTAACGCAGACCAGTCCTGAAGCAACAACTTGCATTTAGAGGGAGAGAAGCGCATTCCAAACATTCTGGCATTGTTGCTCAGTGCTACCAGAAGACTGCATTTTGTCCCCGTCTTCACCAAACAGGACTATGTCATCTGCGTATTCTAAGTCGATAAGTGGACCTCCTGGATGGAGATCAATACCCGAGAACTCAGTCGACGAGAAGGTTATTTCCATCAGTAGATCTATGATGAAGTTAAACAAAAATGGGGAAAGTGGACATCCTTGACGGACACCACTTGAGGTTGCAAAAGTAGATGACAGTTCGCCATAAGCTCTCACTCGACTAATAGTGTTCGAGTAAAGAGCCTTTACAAGGATTATGTACTTCGGGGGTACGCCTTTCAATGACAGACACTGCCACAGAATCTCTGGGAGTCAGCGAAACGCATTGGACCCAAGCTGGACAGAAAAGGCTAGCTACGGGAGAGATGCTGTTATACTCCGGTCACGAAATGGAAAATGCTCCACACACTCAGGAAGTCGCTCTAATGCTGTCCAAAGTAGCACAAAATGCACTTGTAGGATGGGAATCTCACGGATCCAAAATCATCAAAGCATCGTTCAAAACAAAGGAGATTTTAATGAATATTATCCAATGTTATGAACCCACCAATGATAGCAACGAGCGGCTGCAGTCAATCATAGAGAAATGTCCAAGAAAGGACCTCACCATTCTGATGGGAGATCTAGATGCCAAAGTCGAAATAGACAACACCGGATATGAAGATATCATGGGACGACATGGACTGGGACAGAGAAACGAAAATGAAGAAAGATTCAACAAATCGGTCATAGAGGCACACAAGCGTATACACAAGGCTATATGGATCTCACCGGACCACACTACAGAGAACCAGATAGATCATATCTGCATCAACAAAAAATTCCGAAGGACAATGGAAGATGTGAGAACCAGGAGAGGAGCTGACATAGCTTCAGATCACCACCTAGTTGTAGCCAATTTAAAACTGAAGCTAAAGAAAAACTGGACAACTGGACAAACAGCAATACAAAGGTTCAATACAGCCTTCCTTCGAGATACTGACAGACTCAATGAATTCAAGATAGCTCTCAATAACAGGTTCCAAGCCTTACAAGATCTACTGAAAGAAGAACAAACTAGTATGGAGGACAACTGGAAAGGCATCAAGGAAGCATTAACTTCAACGTGTCAAGAGGTTCTGTGTCTAAAGAAATACCATCATAAGGAATGGATCTCTACAGAAACACTGGACAAGATCAAAGAAAGGAAGAACAAGAAAGCAGCAATAAACAACAGCCGAACACGAGCAGAGATAGTTCAAGCACAAGCTGAATACATAGAAGCAAACAAACAAGTGAAGAGGAGCATTAGAGCCGACAAGAAGAAATACGTGGATGAACTAGCAACGACGGCAGAAAAAGCTGCTAGAGAAGGAAATATGAAACTGCTTTACAATACAACGAAGAAACTATCAGGGAAATATAGTAAACCAGAGAGGCCGGTCAAAGACAAAGAAGGCAGGCCAATCGCTGAAATTCAACAACAGCGGAACAGATGGGTAGAATACTTCGAGGAACTCATGAATAGGCCGGCTCCAATGAATCCACCGGAAATCGAAGCAGCACACACCGATCTTCCTATAGACGTCAACCCACCAACGAAGGAAGAAATCAGAATGGCTATCAGACAAATCAAGAATGAGAAAGCAGCGGGACCAGACAACATACCAGCTGAAGCACTGAAGTCAGACATCGAATTGACTACAAACATGCTTTACCTTCTATTCAAAAAGATTCGGGAGGAGGAACAAGTGCCGATGGACTGGAAAGAAGGGCACCTCGTCAAGATTCCAAAGAAAGGAGATCTGAGCAAATGTGAAAACTACAGGGGCATTACGCTGCTGTCAATACCAGGGAAGGTCTTCAACAGAGTGTTGCTGAACCGGATGAAAGATGCAGTAGACGCCCAACTTCGAGATCAACAAGCTGGATTCCGTAAGGATCGATCGTGCACAAACCAAATTGCAACACTACGGATCATCGTCGAATAATCAGTTGAGTGGAACTCGTCACTATACATCAACTTCATTGATTATGAAAAGGCATTTGACAGTGTGGATAGGAGGACGTTATGGAAACTTCTTCGACACTACGGAGTTCCTGAGAAGATTGTCAATATTATCCGGAACTCATACGACGGACTACAATGCAAAGTCGTGCATGGAGGACAGCTGACAGATTCTTTCCAAGTAAGGACCGGAGTCAGACAAGGCTGTCTACTCTCTCCCTTTCTCTTTCTTCTGGTGGTCGACTGGATTATGAAGACCTCGACATCTGAAGGAAAACACGGAATACAATAGACAGCTCACAATCAATTAGACGATTTGGACTTCGCAGATGACCTAGCCCTCCTATCGCATACACACGAACAGATGCAGAAAAAGACAGACAGTGTGGCAGCAGTCTCTGCATCAGTAGGCCTCAACATACACAAAGGGAAAACGAAGGTCCTCAAATTCAAAGCGGAAAACAACGATCCAATCACTCTCGATGGCGAAACTCTGGAAAATGTAGAGTCCTTCACATATCTAGGAAGCATCATCGATGAACAAGAAGGCTCAGATGCAGACGTAAAGGCAAGGATTGGCAAAGCAAGGGTCGCATTTCTACAATTGAAGAACATATGGAACTCAAAACAACTTTCAACCAATATCAAAGAGAGAATCTTCAATACCAACGTCAAGGCAGTTCTACTGCATGGAGCTGAAAATTGAAGAACTACAACAACCACCATCAAGAAGGTACAAGTATTTATAAATAGCTGTCTTTGCAAGATACTCAACATCCATTGGCCGGATACCATCAGCAACAGCCTTTTGTGAGGGAGAACAAACCAGCTTCCAGCTGAAGAAATCAGGAAAAGACGATGGAAATGGATAGGACATACATTACACAAATCATCAAACTGCATCACGAGACCTAACTTGGAATCCTGAAGGGAAAGGGAAAAGAGGAAGGCCTAAGAACACATTACGTCGGATAATAGAAGCAGATATGAAAAGGATGAATAGGAACTGGAAGGAGCTGGAAAGGATTGCCCAGGACAGGGTTAGATGGAGAATGCTGGTGAGGAGTAACAGGCTTAAGTAACTAAGTAAGTATATCAATTCATAAAGTGTTTTTGATGCATTTGACAAATTTTATTTTTCTTTCAAGGTCAAGACCTCAATATGAAACTGTTAATGAAATAAGTGGATCTAATGATGACTCTATTAGCTACTGGAATAAACATAAACTAGGTAAACTTTTTATATTGGGAATTATAATTAATTAGTTATATGGGTATTAGTACGTACATAAACAAAAAATCCTAATTCATTATCAATGTGAATTGCCTGAATAATAAATAATAAACACCTCAATTCATTCGATAAAGTGTCCAAGAACAAATCTGACATCACATTATAATACGTTGATTAATTAACACGGCATGCAATTTGAAAAAAGGTCGATAATTGGTGCAGATATTTTGACTTGGTATTCGGGTAGTAAGAGGATTACTTCATTTTGAAAAAAAGGATAACGTACCGAGTCAACCATGTTAAGAGTGAATAGGTTACCTATCGATGGCAATAGATAAACACTATGATAGACTGATGTTGGAAACAGAAGAATGAAATCAAGTATTTTAGGTTAAATGTGTCAGATGAATCACGAAATGTGAAAGTTCTTACGTAAATTAAATGTGGTTTAGATAAATCATTGATAGTGTTTTAAATTAGGACAAAACAGCTGACTAATGCTTTAAAATTTATGAATTGATGGCAGCCTATAGTGGAAACAATCGTCGAATATATTAATAAACTTGATTTTTTTTTCAATATTTGAAATAACTCTCAATAACAGATATGTGTTTTAATTCATTCACAGTCATCATTTCAATTAAGTAACTGAAACATCCAAGTGATACGAGGAAATGAAATAGAGAGGGTTAAAGGAAAAAGTTATATATTATATTAACTATAAAAATTGTCAACTAATTCACAAATTCAAATTTTTATTGATCTTAAAAGTCGAAATCTCGATGTTCCAATCTTGACAAAAGATTAAAGTAAAATCAACAGCCTAATTAAGGGTGGGAACCACGGTACAGATTCTGTCTTATTCGAAATTCACTAGATTTTTGTATTTACATATTGATATTGGTGTTTTTACTAAGACCTGGACCTAGTACACATTGTATTTAACACCAGAGTTATTCACTGAACTCCAGATTAACAACAGCAACCCAAATTATAGAATATTTATTAATTATAAGAACTTTTATACGTACATTATTTCCATACTGTGGGAGACAAATATTTAAGCACAATTTTGTTCAATGACAATACAAATCAAAAAAAGGACAAAATATCATTATTTTAGAATATCAAGCAAATAAGCTTATACCAGTGAGAATTTTTCTTAAAAATCTATCAGTAGAAATGCAGTAGCTGATATAAATTGGAAAAAAAATATTGCAGTGAGATTAACTTACACCAGTCAAATTATCTACACTCAATGGTGAATCATTGCACTCCCGTGAAAATGACATTAATGACAAATTTTTTGGATTTCGTCTTATGATTAGTGTAATGAAAGATTTGATAACTGATTGATCAGAATCACTCACTTTTCCATTATTATCATTACCAATAAAATAATTATTACTTGAGTTATTGATTGAATACTTATTCAACATTAATTCGGTAATTTTTGAATGGATAATGTGTTGAACGGAAATATGATCTAACCCACAGACATTGATGTCTTCAACCTAAATATCGGATATAGACGCACGTAAGCGAACAGTATAAGGCAAATGAAAAAGAAACAAGAAAGAGCCCTTTAAAATAGTACATAAAGACTGTATGATATAAAAGAGATATTAAACCAACTATAAAAAGGCATATGACAGTGTGGATAGGAAAATCTTGTGGAAGCATCTTCGATACTACGGTGTACATGAGAATATTGGATAACTTATGACACTCTTTGAAAAATAACAAGCAAATATAAGCATGTTTAGCACCCGTTAAGTATAGTGTAGCAAACTGCTGAGCAGTAAACTCGTCATTTGTTCGGAAGACGGATATCTCGCCTACGCCACTGTTCATTCAAGTTAGCATAAACCGATCGAGTCTTCTGAGTCTGCCGAAATTTCACCAGACCCTAGATCATCAGTACTGATGAAACTTCCTAGATAAGTGAAGCGATCGACACACTCAATTACCTCACTCCCTATCACTAATTCAGGCGATGACGCAATTCAAACCGCATTCCAAACATGCTTGTATTGTTCTTATGTTGATCAGGAGACCGTATTCTGTCAAAGACTTCACCAAACTGAACTATAACATTTGGGTATTCTAAGTCAAAAACTGAATCTACTGATAGAAAACCAACCTCTGAAAGGTTAGAGAATGAAGGTACTTTCTCTGAGAGCATTTCTTGTAGACCGAAAAACTAGATTTTTAAAGATTAAAGGCACAGCTGACCAATGAGTGACAAATAGCACAAAACGTAGGTCCAAAGTTGTCTGTCGATTATCCACAATCACTTTATATGTAAGACGTGTTTGGGAGCCACGAGTATATATATATATATATATATATATATATATATATATATATATATAATTAAGGTTTTGTTTTGTATATGATTAAAAAATAACTAATAATATTCAGTAAATTAGCTTGAATTTTGTCATGTGACAATGAAGACGAAATCGGAATGTTCATACGTTGTTATCCATTATAACTAACCTGTATAATTTCATCTCCACACTCAAGACCGCCACTAGAATCCGTTTGACAGCTTGCAACAAATGTAGCCATACTCTCGGGATTAGAACAGCTTACAAGATGGAAACCCAAATTTTCCGTTTCTTCGTTAACATTATGGGTGTAGTTTGATGAAGAATTAATTAGTAATGGTAGACGAATAACAAGTATCTCATCTTGACTATCACGTGTGTACAATTTCACAGGACTATAGAAATTTACTAAAATATATTGTATAGTGAACCAATTCAAAAACAAAAAACCAAGATAGAGGGATTACAACAAAAGAAAATTATTATAGTAAACGTTTAATTGTAGAATTGGTTTCAAATGTTCAACCGATATTAATAACATAAATTCAATGCAAACCAGGAGGTAGATAAATTACAACAGATAAATATCGGAACCTATAGATAAGTTGAACAATTTGTAAAAACCATTGAGTCGTCTATGCATTTAAAAATAACCTTCAATGATATTTACTTTTTGCATAACAATATTTTGGATAAGAAAGTTTACTAGCACAATATTTTACAAAATGAATAAATTTCGATGGTCATTTGTTAAGTTTCATAATACCCGTGTGGTTTGTATCTTTTATTTGTTTGCCTGAGAAATCTTAGCTCTTTAATTTAGTACAGATTGATCAATGCGCAATTTTTACGATCTGTAAAGAACATGTCAACCCTATCAGCTTAAGAATCTCACGATAAAACAACTGAGTAAAATCAAAATACTTTTGATGAATGCTGCAACTATCTGTTGTACGATTGTTTTCTTAGAAGCACGGTTCAGTGATAGTGGGTAACACGATATAGAGTTGAGAAATTTCCACGACTGATTACTTCACTAACTTGGAAACACACATTCGCTCAAAACTGTTAGCAGCCGAAAAATCCTAAACCAGGTGTAAAAAATGACCGTCGAGAACCTAGCGCCTGTCAGACATGCATACGTCTATGAAACGTAAGGTGTGTGTACATGTAGGATCCTGATTCTGTATTACTGCACGAATAAGAAGATAATTATCTAGTGAATTGGTGAGAAGTATTTGATATAAAATTCTGAAGCACTTGGATTTCATCCTTCACATCACTAAGGGACTTTCAAAGAAATTAAACAATTACAAATTGTTGTAAATTACACAGAACTAGACATGTGATTCGGATCTATAGTGTACATCGATGACTGCACATAAGATCGAACCTACATTTCTGTTTTACTAGTTGGTAAAAATGAAATTCGAAAACCAATGATTACAATGAATTTCTAAACTTACATTCATTTACATTTGAATCATTAACTACCATAGGTTTTAAATAACCAGTCGCCTCTTGTTCTTTAGATGTTGTAGACAATCGTCTAGAAGGTAGTGGAGGTGGAGGAAATGATGGAGAACTAGAACTACAAACACTGTCACTAACCCAGCCATTTTGTAGTATTGATTTTTTATCGGATTTTTCATACGTTGAAAATATAACATCAGTATTGACAGCGTTATCCTCATCTTTTAAAATAGGCGATGAAAGTTGAGATAATGGACATAGAGTAGTTTTCCTATATGTATTATGCTGTGAATCGGAAGAATTATTCGGATCTGGCGACGGTACTGATCGAGATAAAATATCTACCACATCACGAGACTCCATATCAGTCTATAATGAGAGAGAAATTAGAATAAACGATAACAAAAATAAAATTCTTGATTACTAACAGAATTAACATTCAGAACTCATCTAGCTACACTCTTCTCAAACATAATCGATGTAAAAAATACCGCACGGTTTGTTGAGTTTCACAGCTGTTATGTTTTGTATATAATAAAAAAATTGGAGTCGAGAGGTGGCTCAGTGATTAAGGCAATTGAATTTTAGCAATTAAGTTGTAGTTTCGGTTTGGGCATCTGGAGAGCATCACCAGTCTTTACACTTTTAGCGTAATTCCAACCCAAGTAGACGAATCGGTACCTGTTAAATCAGTTAAAGATTCTATTGTCAGTATGTTATGGATGCTCCAGAACTAGAATAAATCAAAATCATGCTGTCAAACGTGAATTGATGAGTTTTATATATGTATTTGAATAAATAAACATTTGTACAAGTTAAAAATACCAGTTAGTGTTTTGGTATGATGTATAAAACAAAAACAAAATAAACACCTATCCCAGATTTTATATTCTAAACTTCAATCATATAGTAAAGATCATCCTAATACTATCAATTTCGAAATTCTATCTTGGAGAAATTCACTAAAGAAAAGACAGTGTAACACAACTATCAATAAATACTTTTCGTTTAATTTACAATCTGATCAAAGAGTAAAATAATCTCTAGTAAAACATCTCGGATGTCAACATATTTTATAATAGAATATGAACAGTGAAAGCATGAATAAACCCAACTAATAAGTAGACTATCTATAGCACATAATGTAGACACTGTTTATAGGCAAAATATAAATACTTAATGAAAATATGGTACGGTAAATTGATAATCAATATTTTGACTACTTCTAAAACATTACTTATTATTATAAAGCTAAGTGCCCCATATATTAATGATTTCACGACATCTACTTCAATAATATTAGTAGTATATCGTGAAAAAAAATCGTAAGAGTGAATAGGCTTACTACAAGTAATGAAAAAAATATGAAGTCTTGGACATTAGTGATGTAACGACAGAACTGTTTACAAATGTCTGGTAATTAGAGAATGTTCCAACAGCATAGAGTGAGTCGTTAGTTATCCCTATCTTTAATAAGAGTCCACTTCACTCATCTAACAACCATAGGAGGATAAGTTTACTTCTGATAGCATCCAAATTATTGGCTTCCGTCATAATTCGTAGATTGTTCAAAACCCATGAGAGGTCGACTTGCGAGGAGTAGACTGGTTTTCGTTCTGGTCGAGGATGTATTGATCATATCTTCACCCTCTCCCAAATCTTAGAACACCTTCATACTTATTACAAGCCAACAATCGTAGTGTCTCTCGACATCAGGCTCGCATTTGATTCGTTGGACAAGACTGCTCTATGGGATTGTCTATTGAAGAAAGGTGTGTCTAAAAGACCTACATACAAACACCACTGGCGGAGTGAGGGCATACGATCACCTCTCTCCAATGTTCTAAACCAGAAACGGGGCTGGGTAGGGTTGCCAAATCTAACCATTCCTTTTCAACTTTGCCATCAATGACGGTCTAAAATCAACTTTGATAGATGTGGGTGATGGTGGTATCAATCTGTTGTCTGGAGAAAGACTCTTCGACCTTGAGTGTCCGGATGATATTGTCCTACTGTGTGATGGTACCTAAGCGATGCGATCTGCACTTAATCAGCTGGCAACCAGTGTCCGTGGGTATGGCATTTGCTTTGCACCTTGGCAGTGCAAAGTACTTTTACAAGACTCTCAAGATCCTAAACCTGCACTCACTCTTAGTAGTAAGCAAATATGAGTAGTCGAGAAGTTCGTGTATTTGGGTAGCTCAGTGAGCGCTGTTGGTGGCGTGAGTAATGAGATCAACTCACGTATATTGGAAGCTAGAGCGACTTATGCCAATTTAGGCCATCTTTGGCACCTTCGTGACGTTAGTTTCGCTGTAAAAGCTCAGGTCTCTGATGCGTCGGTGAAAGCAGTATTACTATATGTTTTCGCAAAATGGTCTCTGAGTCGGATCATCGTTGTCTACGAATGACTATTGGAATTCAGTGGAAACACCATGTTCTTATTAATGCAGAGGTTTGGCAGCGTGTGTTTGGGCACATTGAAGATAATTCGGTTGCTGTCACCATCTTGAAACACTGACTCTGGTGGCTTGAACATGTGCAAAGAATGTTTTTTCCATAGCGACTTCCACACTGTAATCTTTTTGCTGACTCTCGGACTGACTGGAGAGGTAATTGGTATATGACATGATCTCGAGGTATGAAACAAATCTGTACAGGATCGGATTTTCTTGGTTCCTCGCGACTATCTTGTTGGGGTCCCCGAGATGGTGCAACATATAGGGTTGGAACATTATCAGAAATGGCTCAGAATCGAAGCCAGTGGCGATCCTGCTGTAACTTTGGTGTCCTTCATAAAAGTGGGAGCAACTTCTTTAACTGAAAAATATCCTTTCTGGTTGCATTTTGCTTAACTGAACTACTTCTCCCATTATTATTTCACTCACATACACCAATATCTATACATAGTTTTTCTTGCTTTTGTTATACTCACTTTCCTTCCTCTATCTCTTCACGACCTCATTTTTGTTGTATCGTGCATATATATTTTAGCTTCACTTGTACCAATGTTTAACATTAATACTTAAGTCCATCGACTTCATGTAACGTGTTAAGCTTAAATTTATATCATAAAAACGTAAACAGGTACCATCTTAATAAATATATGGACTTCTAATGACCAAACAGATATTCAAGAAATAATTATATGCGTATAATCTTCAGAATGTATTTTAGTTGCATAAACAATAGTTGACTAATTAATTATAATTTGTACAGTTCTTATCAGTACTACCTTGTAAGTATTTAGAGTTCAACAGTTGGATAGCGTTTAAAGCTATATATGTATGCAATAACAGAAAGTCGAGTAGACAAATATAGACTTGAAGGTGTTATTTATCATAAATTGATCTCATTAGGGGTACTAAATTGTGAATACCGTCTTCAAATAATACTAGTTTCCATATAGGTTGTCAGAAAAATAGTATAATTTTAGTCATCAGAGAAATACGTTTTGATCAGTTCATGAAATCGTAGTGAGAAGTTTTGACCCGTGGAATTCAGATATATGAGAGATCAAAAAATCATCAGCAGTTGTTTTTGGATTGTCGTTGCCCTATATTTCGAATTGATAGAAGTTGGAAATGTGTATCACTGACACATTAAGGGACTTGAAGATTTCCAGTTCAACCTCAGAGCAGGGTTATGGAAGGAGTCCCATACCAGGAAGAAATTGCTGCCTAATGTTTTATGTTCTTTAATGGCACCCAACATAAATTAATCCATGATGAATATCGCCCTCAAATTAAACCGGATTCTACAAAGCCCAATAAAAAGTTCAAAACTTTATACAGTCTTGACACTATCATCTGAATAAATTCGAATGCAATATGAGGTTATGATTTTTAGCGTTTAAAAACGAGACAATCGACAGAACTGAGAGCTTATTAGTTAGCTTGTGATTCACATTTTATGAATGAATGATCCTCTCTCATCTGAAACGATCCTTGAAATTCATAGTTCAAGTGAATTATTCTAGTGCCGAGTTGTTTGAAATATTAAGCTTTTATGTTGTTTTTTAAAACCGAAGTATATCCATAACGATGAAGACTTTTAAATATTGGACACTTCACTACTTTAATCTATATTCGTACATGTGAGTAGTAACAATTTCTGAATATATGAAGTCACTCAAAATACTTGTTCAGTGACCAAAAAGAAGTAAGGAAAAGTAGAAATAAAGTATTGAATTAAACTCCGTATCTCACTCAATTTCAGTAGCACAGTCAGTCAGCTAAAACGTAGGACCACGCACATATATGCATCGGTCCAAGTCGCTATACCTCATTAGCACAGCAAGATGAACACCGGATTCATAGTAGTTCAGTCAATGGTGGTAATATATAAAAGAAAGATTACATATAAGGATATAATACAGGAAGATTTAGTATGTAGAAATAAAGATATGAAGCGGTTTTAATCTCATGGGTAAAGGGAAGACAGATTCTGAGCCATATCACCCAGAGTCTACGACCATTGGTTCCTATAGTCACGCAGACTCCGGACTAAGTAGTCTGGATCTACCAACATGACTCAGACCAGAAGTCAGTGTCTTCAAGCACCGAATTAATAATGTTATCAAATTAACATCATACTTTAACAGTTTGAATGAAAAGAATATAAGCAAAACAACGAAGTGAGAAATAAAAGCATGAAGAAAAATAAACTAACCAGTGGTTCAGGATCTTCCATATCACTGGAACTTGGAGATGTCCCTGGGTGGACAATATGATCACATATTAGTTGACCATTGATAGGTGTGGAGATATTTAAATAGTTGGATAACTGGATCATGGGTTAAAAAAAGGAGAAATTAATGCATTAATTAGAATACCAGTAACAGGGTATGCACAAATTTCCCATGTCCCTCTAAATAAACAAACATATTAAACCACTTAATTTAGACTGAAAAAGTAATAGCTTGACGAAAGAACTAATAACAATTAATTTTCATTAGTTTAGGTTGAGTTTTAAAAGCCCTGGATACGTTTAAATGGATTTATATTGCAAACCGATATCAAAATGGAAAAAAAGCAACGAAAGACAGAGAGCTTTAAACTATTTGAAATTATCTATGAGTACATATATACTATTCTATACATAAGTTACGTATGAACTCACAGATAAAATTATATAAACATCAACCTGTGATCGATTTTGGATCATGTTAAATTATGTTTGCAAACATGCATCACGAATATCACGCGGATCCAGAAGAGGAACCTAATCAATTGAGAACAACTTTACATACGAATAGTATCTTCATTTGACTCCATTAGGTTTTTTATCGATTTTAATTTTAGGTGAGACAACATTACGTTCAGGAATTTATATGCTAATCTACTAATTAGTTTTTTATCTAGTGACAACATATAAATACTACATATAATTAGGTTTGTTTTATCATTCACATCTATGATAAACATTTAGCCCCGGCATAACTGAGGCTGAGGAGAGTCAGCTCTCCCTCTTGAAATGCTCTCATATGGCGACGGGTATACTACCAGGAAAAACCTAATCACTGCCTTCTCGCGGCTGGCATGCTGTTTACGAAATTGAGAGGGAGAAAGGCAAATGTCTGGCACTTTAACCGGATTGGTGAATGTAGAGGATCCACCTATGGGAGTTGAAAAATCCTGATTCTATGGACTGCCGGATCCTGAGGGAATATATGACGTATGAACCTATTGCTGGTCACCGGCTACCATGGGACTGCACCTCATTACGTTTCTCCACTGCCTTGCGGATTAGACCTTTAGGTCAAAGGCTCCAGGAATGGTCGTCGTAGAAAACCACCTACTTAGGTTTGGACGCTCTAGCAGTATCATACGCTTCTTACAAATCAATGATAACCACTACTGGCCTCATTGTTATTGAGTGGTGCATATGTGTTTGATGCCTCCTTGTATCAATATCTATGTGATCAAATAAATAAATAAGTCATAATAATTGCAAATCATAGTAGTCTAAATACTAATAGTATATTGTGAACCAATAAATTCATCTAGAACAGCAGAATATCACGATGATAATTGTTAGTGTAATGTAATGAAAACGTTTTTAATCAACTTACAACAATTTTTTTTAAAAAGTAATAAACAATCAATCCATTCCTTACCTCCATTTTATCAGTAAAATTATTATTAGTAGTAGTAGTAGTACTAGTAGTATAATTGGTAATATTAACTTGATTGCCTGGATTAAACATCTCAGCAACACCACCATTAATAATATGTTTTGTACAGTCATCATTAAAATGGCACACAACTATGTGAATTTCACGTAGACCAGGCTGATCTGACAGATACTGCAGATAAGCATTGACATAATTTGGACCTTTGGTGGAGACATCGATATCTTGAATCTAAAATTGATCAGAAAGACAGACAAACACAAAATTGATGTTTTATAGTATTACTGATCAAATTTAAAGTTTTGGTAAACAAACAATTCTAATTTATTACAAAAAGTTTTTATAGCGTGATTTTTTGATCAGTTGTTGTATGCAAATTCTTAGACATATGAACAGTATGTCATATCTCGATATGGTCAAAAACTTTAATGGTTATATATTTTTATCAAGTAGTAACACTTAGTCGGGTCACATGGTTAGTATTACACAGTGTGCAGTAGACAATTAAAATATAATCAAAATAGAACACAAGGTAAAATTACATAACAAAGAATCTTCTAAATTACGAACCAACACATAACTGACGTTCCCTATACGCCAACACAGTAGTTAAAGTACTCGACTTTTAATCACGACGTGAGTGGTTTGAATACTGCACGAAAACAGTGAAAACTTTAAGGGCAAACATTAAGGTACTTGGTATGTTTTTCTTATTGCCTATCATTTTGAAAAGCAAAAGGTAATTACTAGGAAATTTATGCATCCACATAGCGTGGAATGATAAAAAGATGTCATACCAGCAGAACTAGTTGAGAACCTTTGCTAAAAACTTTACTGCACTCAAACACATGATGTAAAATACAGTAAATATTCTTATTTTTACTGTGATCAGTTTACATTAATATATGACATGAACAAACTTATTAACTAAATATATGTAAAGAAGGATAGTGGATATCAGTGAAATCCAAAACGCGCGTTTCGTCCTATTTGAGACTCATCAGCTGGATGTACCTACACCTCAGAGGTGATGTCTATTCTGGGGCTCGAACTCAGTACCGTTCGTTTCACATATGTCAATAAGAGACTGATCGATTGCAGTTCTAAACATCAAACTTCACCCCATTGCGCAAGCAAGTGGCTAACAGGACTCAGTAGCTAAGTGGATAACGCGGTGTTTGAAGCGAATGGTACAGAGTTCGGGCCCCAGAGTGAACATCAACTCTGAGGTGCAGGCACACCCAGCTGACGAGCCCCAGATAGGACGAAACGCGCGTCCTGGATTCCACTGATGGCCACTATCCATCTTTGCATATAATGCTTGTGAATTAAGGTTATATCGAGGCAATACGCACAGTATGCATATATGGCAATAAGAGGTTGATCAATTGCAGTTTTGAACATTTATGGGAAGATTCAAACAAACAATACCAAGTGAACTTATTAACTAATCAGTAAGGATAGTAGCAAATGTTGTTTTTATCTCTTCTAGGCCCTATTATTTATGGATGACATTAACCTGGAAAAAAACAGGAAGGTGAACTAACAATTGTCTAAACAAAGATTACTGCATGATAAAACAAATCTCTAATAGGTATGAAATCGTTAAAACAATATCCGATATATTACAGTCGATAGCTTAAACCGATATATCGGATTTTAATATACAGGACTTTAAGGTTGAATTTAAAATATATACACAACTTATCCCTAAAATATACAAAATGAATATATGCTCTGAAATCAGATCAGATACTTCAACGATCCATTTTGTTATGGTTATGTAAGCGTTCGCAACATACACTAAGAATTAAAATTGGACATGTGATTAAAACGTACAAACAGTCCTAAAATTATATTGAGGTTTGAGACTCAGGATAATTACAATCAAAACTAGATAACCATCTATCAATCAAACAATCTATTTCTCCTTCCATGCTATTAACATTTTGTGTGGGAAACAGAAAATTGTTCTTACTTAGAAAGAATATCTTTGTAACAAATTATCCGAAATAAAAGTATATATAAACTATAAACTCAGATCTTGCCAGTGAACTTGAGTATACTATGGAACAATATCAGTATAGCGAAAGGCTATCGTTAAACAATCTATTTAACATACTTTTTGTTGGGACCGTTATTTACTATATATAGTGCAATTCGTATGAACCCTGGTGAGTTGAGAGAGGAATTAACCTCTACAAATTAACGGACCTTCGACATGAGTGCAAGAAAGACCTTTTATTAACTTGAACTAAATGTAACGCAGATATGATATTCGTCTGTTTTCGAAGGGAGAGTATGATATTCAATATAATTTGTACTATAACTGATAAATTCATATTTAAGTTGAAAGATTACTTCCTATAATCTTGGATAATATGAGCTTATGAAAATCATGATTTAAAATGTGTGGAGCATAGACTAAATTGTAAGAAATTTATTAACGTTTTCGAATCCTAATTTTTAAAGAACAAGAATAATAGTCTTGACATATAAGAAAACATATGTTTTTTTAATCCCAGTGATACATGCATGAAAGAAAGTTGGTCAATTGAAATAAAACTAATGAACATAAATTAATGAAAAAAAATAAATCATCATGCAACAACGACAATGAACACTGACTTACTTGTAAGATCAATAGACCACGACTAAGCAATTTACAATTTTTTCCTACGCTATTAGGCAATATCTCGGATACAATGCTTGGATTTTCTAAATTCATTGGTGCTGAACAATTCAATTTTGAACAAATATCAGAACCTTTAAAACAACAATTAACAGAAAAGAAAAGTAACATTTTTAATAGTCTATTATTTATTACCAGAAAATAAAGAAAATATCTAGTTACACAATCATATTCGTTTTGTATTACTTCGGAGATTAAGAGTGAGAAGAGTGTACACTGAAATACACATACAAACAGATGTGTCAATCGAAAATTGAAGAATTCGTCACTGTTCATCAAGAATGTAAACAGGATAACCTGGTTTAGTTAAGGAATAGTAATGCACAATATGAAAATTGACATCAACATACAAACATCCACATAAAAATGAGTACAAGAAGTTGGATGTATGTCTTGCATAGTTAAACTGCTATCATAACACAGAATCAATATTTAACTCAAGATTTTGAAGTTCAATAATACAGAAAAGGTTATTTTGAGTTTGTAGACGACTTACGTCAAACATTTACTACAGCTGAAGAACTAAGCAAAATTACGGGACACCGGACAGTCCCTAAGTGCCTTGGTAAGGTCGAATATGGAAAATGTCTACCCTCTTTCTCAAAACGCTTCCATACGGCCACATGGATATAGTTGCTGCTAAGGAATTCCTAATCACCGTCTTCTCACGGCAATGTTGTTTACGAAATTGAGAGGACGAAGAGCGTATGCCCAGAGTTAAACCAGGATTCTGGATACGGAAGAATCACAAAGGGGAGTTGAACAACCCTAATTCCAAGTCAAAAGTGCACTCGGATTCCAGGGTCACCAGCCACTATGTAATAGAATCTCCTGACGTCGTCCCACTGGCAAGTGAGTTAGATATCGAGGAGTGGACTCGCCTATAATAGACTACACTCGTTCATTCATTTTTTTAATCACTGAATTATTTTTTCCTCCATCTTCGCACTGGTTTATCTATTTCATCACAATTCTATTTGCTTCTTTGTGCGGCTCATGTCGATTTTGATGACCTTTGCATGAATATTTATGTATTTACATAAAAATCTAAATAAATCTTAATCTCTATAAACCAAACTTTAATCCTTAGCTCAATAGTGACTAGCTTTGAAATAGAATCATGAATTCTCGGAGAAATGTTGTGGGAAAAAACTTGAGCGGGTCCGTCACTGGCGTTGAATAAATGTTCTGGCTGAAGTAACGCGTTTGCTGTGAAACCTGGATGGTGGATGATTTTGATGGTTTTGTTCTTTGAGCTGGATAGTTTGGACGTGGAGCTTTCATTTTTCTTCTGAACGATGTTCCGGGTTCACCTCCTGACTTTCTTGGATACGTAGGTTTGGGGAGCTTCATGCTCCATCCTCTATTACATCTGATATGACGGATATGAGTTCAACCTAAAAGCCAGGTCTCAATTCACTTGGGAGTGAGCAATCTACAAAACTGATTTCTGCCAATCGTTTATGATACTTATTCATTTTCATTTTTGTTTGATAAAAAACATATTCTTATGTTTAGTGGGCGTACATCAACAATTCGGTTTAGCTAGCAGCTATCCCACGACAACATTGTAAAATTGCATCCCATCTATTAATCACACAGCAATCATTAAATTTAGTTGTTCGAAACCCATTAACTAAATAATCAAAACCTAATTCGTAAAAATAATTTTAACAAGAAATGACCATAATCAGATTTCCAATTATGAGTGGAAAGTGTAAAAACATCAGGTTCAAAACTTACCAACTGATGACCAATCTCCTAAAATTAACCAGAGTATGTGGTAAGCAGATCAACCCAATTTGTGACGTACCAGATTACAAGGCATTCATCACAACATTCACTTCATATTCATAAAAAGACAGGAACCATAAAAAACCTTATAACTCACCAGATACAACCAAACCCCAGGGTTGACTAGTATCTAAACGATGAAGTACAATTGCAACCGGAGGTGACCAATTTATAGGTTGTACAATAGACGAATATGGAAAAGAACTGTGAGCAAAACGATGCAAAGTAATATAAACAAAATATTAGCATAGTAAAGCGAACTAAGTTGACTGAAAGTAAAACATAGAAACGACATTATTTAAAGGTAAATGCGATCAATTTTTAAAGCGGCTATATTTATCACTGAAAATATTATATGAAGAAAAAATAGCCATTTAATAACCCTATAATCACTAAACGTTCCTTAGTTGATACTCTTGATAACTGTCTAAAAACTAAATAATTTCTTTAAAAAGCATCTAAGCTATTATTAATTGAATGAAAACTACTGACGAGAATTTAAATGAAGTCTTCTAAGTTCAAACGACGTGACTTATGGATGCGATCAACTCGATAATGAACTACTGATCATGAACCAAATTACATTGTGAATCGAGTACAATTATATATGACAACATAAACTTTTGCAGCCAGTCTAAAATCACGACGATTTCAACGAATAACCTTATTAGCATAAGAAGCTTTGGGGTTCGTTATGCGTAGATCAATATCACTAGTCACGCCACCACCAGGGTTCATACAACATTCCAAATACATGGACTTTCCGATTACTTCTAACGGCTCACCACAGAGAGGGATTCAGACACAGGTTCATTCAAGTTTTATAAAAGTGCATTGCGTTCAGAAGATACAAAGTACGTGACATACCTTACAGATACTGATTGCCAACTGATTAAGTGTTAGTTTGCATAGTATGCAAATATGATCAGCATACTCAAGATCGAAGAATTTTTCTAAAAGTCACAGATCTATACCATAATCATCACCACCTATTCCCATCTAAGCTTTCTTTCATAATCTCACAGATAGCTAAGTTGGAAAGAAAGGGTAACATTGGCCAACCTTGCCTAACCCCACTGTTGGGTCGGAACAGTAGAGTGAGATGGTTGCATGCCCTCAATCTGCCTGAGGTGTTTGTATACAGAACACTCACGATTTCAATAAATTGCTCACTCATAGCCTACTTTAACAGAATTCAAGAGTACAGTTCTGTCCGATGAATTGAAGGCTGTCCTGGAATCAAGAAACACGATTGTTGACCTGCAATAAGTATGGTGGCATTTCAACGTTCGACGTGAAGTGGAAATATGGTCGATGTATCCATAACCTTATTGAAGATTGTCAGCTCCTTGCTAGTCAGTACTTCACAGCTTGCGAAGTATGATGGAAGCTATTAGTCTGAGCGCAACCAGGAATAGACTTACCCCTCTCTAGAGTTTGGCGTAAAAATATTTTAAATATGGAGAGGCGACGGTCGATTCATCTCAGGATGTTGGAAAACCCTCTAGTTCGCAAGCTTATCTAAACAACTCAAATAGTTCCCCACCTACTTCAAAAAAGGCCAGGGGCAAATCGTCTGAGTCTAGTGATATATATTTGACATTGTCCGTTTACCTATAAGGATCTTCAAGATAACTCCTGTTGTACAACAGGAGAAAAAAACATTGAAAATAGTTGATTTAAATAGTTTTTACTCCTCAATATCATTTTGAATTCAGCCTATTTACTTGTTATTCAGATCAAGATCCTTTTTCATGTAACTAATGAGTTAGACTGGATAAAAAATTCGAGCGCAGAGAACTAGGTTATTGGATATTATTACGTTTTCGTACTGTTACTAAAAAAAAATTAATGGAACCTACCTTCTCTGTAAAGGATTTTCACTCGTTTGATTCAATGTTTTAGATAAACATTTAATTCGATGAGATTCAATAACGGAAGCAGGAAAATACGTTATGCTGAAGAGAACACAATATAACAGAACTGTCACAATAAACTGCACTGTACAAGTCACACTTTAAGGTAATAACAAATTATTAAATAGCCACTTAGTCTTTAGTTTTTTTTTATCATAATGTAAAGAAGACAACAATGAAGTGTGTTTTATTTAATTGGACAATAAGAAATCAAACATTCGCATAGATAGGTCGTTTAAAAGAAACTTTGTAGTTGGTAGAATTGTTTAGTCTAAGTGATTCACGAATCCACAAAATCGGTGGAACACATACAGAATGAACCTACAAGCCTGACAATAATTAAACCATCGCATATAGATATTTATACAAAATTTACGCTTTAACGTCGCAGCACCATAAAGCTGTGCTTTAATAATAAATTATGTTATATACATTCAACATATCAGGCAAAAAGTATTTTTTTTAAAGGGTCATTTGTGGTTTATGGCATTATTCAGTTAAAAGGAAGTTTCACTTATGTGAAACATTTAATCTAAAATACAATGTCCGACTAATAATCTTTAGTTCTAAATAGTTAAAATTAGTCAATAGAAGAAAAAAAGGAGTAGCATTACTTAAATATTTTTACTCATAGTTGTGTTTGTAATTATTACTCTTAATGTAAATATAGTCGATTAGCTTAAATACTTAAATAACAGAAGAAATATTCAGTCAAACAAAGGGTAATATTATTACAAAGTATTTATTTAATAACTAAGTCTTTACAGTTCAAAAGAAAATAACTTTGTGTTATTTAATAATAATTGCTTCAACAAACATGGGAAATTGATGAATGAATTAATCCACTATAAATTGGAAAATTATAAATCTAACAGAAATTAAAATGGGGTTTCAATGTGCAAAATAATGGTTCACATTGTAAACAAATACAACACAATCAGTTGACAAGTTTTTTATACCTTATTTAAAACTTTGGGGTTCAATCCCGCAGACAATTTCACTCTACGAATTCGTTAACAAACAGTTATCTCAGTAACTCATCAATCAAAATTTTAAGCAATAACTTCATATGCGTATATTATAATAAGCAGTGATGAATAGTTAGTGGTTGTTTGAGTGAACTTTTAGTCATAATTATATACTACTTAAGTGGTGTGCAATTTACATTTAAATCATATTAGCTGAATGTTTCAATTTGAGAACGAAAATTCATATATCGCGTAGAAGAATAGTCCTCAAAATTGATTTCAGGATCGTATACTACTCATATCTTTTTATGTTAAATTTAACGCTTATTCTGTACTTTGTTTACGAACTATCTATTTGTATCACTGAAATAATCGATAACTAGAATCCAGTTATTTCACGTTTGACTCTAAGATATCAAAGAGTTAAACTAGAGTCGCGTAAAAGACACTTTAATAATAATCTTTTTGGCTCAAATAAAAACAAGCAGTTGTTCGCATCTCATTATTTCTGTTACGGACAATCAGTTTAAATTGATTGGGAAGACTAAAAAGAGCAGTAAGTAGCTGGTTAATAATTGACCTCTCTTTGATAATTCATGAGGAAAGAAATTTAAAGACTGATCACTGATAAGTAAATAATGTCACGTTAGCCAATTCGAAATGCTAATTAAAATGTACTTTCATTTTAACAGTTTAAACAACAGTTTAAGTGACTCAATAACCACATTATAAAACCATACAAATACGGTATGTTCCTGTACTAAAAAACGATCGAATTTAACTGATAAGCAGCTATTACAACGAAATGAGTCCACTAACACGACCCATCTATGCAGTTATAATTACTTTGGTCAAATTAGTTCGAGCTGAGTCGGTATAACAAATTTTATGTGAAATATTTTTAAAGCTACGTAAGAAACTAATAAATATCCTGATAAAGAACCAAATTTAAGATAAATAAACACTGAAATTAAATTGTTGACTGACAGATACCAATCATAACTATGAATTTGAAATGAGCAACTAGTTTAATAAGTGAGAGAAACAGTGTAGTGTATTGGAAAAATATATTGTAATAATCTAATCCCCTGTAGAGAATATATACATCAGTTTATTTTAGAATAACCGCCAAATTCGTACAGGTTAAGTATTTTAATGTAAGCTAGTAGACATTCAGATTGACTTTCGAAAAATAATGACTATTACAATACACAAGAAACGACATGATTCGTGTACATACGCGAACGCAAGCGCTCAATACAAAACAAGATGGATTCCGAGAGTTGAAATAATAATAGTATCAGAAAGACCAAACCTTAAAGCATAAAGTATACATGGATTGTGACTATGATATGTTCGTGCACAATGTTAATAATTAGCGACTCCAGCTGATGGGTCCCCAATGGGACGAAATGTGCACCCTGGATTCCACTGCTAGCCACCATCCATCTCCTTTTAAGAATTACCATTTGCATACTATAAGTCAACGAAAGAAATACTAATAGAAATGAAGGATCTCTTGAAAGTCACACAACAAAAGTATTATCTTTAGAAGTCAATGTATGATAAAAAAGTTCTTTAAAAACGAAAATAAGTAACCATGACAAACGAAATTCGATGAAGTCAACTAAGAATACGGCTTGTTGTGAACGACGACAAAACAAAGAGTATTTGAATCTATTCAACTAAAAATAACATTTAGTGTTATAGGGTTAATGATATTACAAACCAAGATGGAAAATTAAATTTAACTACATGATGCAAAGAGATTGACGATTTATGGCCTAAATAAACAAACTAGAATATTTTGATGCAAATATTGCACAAAAGCCGTTCAAAATTTTTTGACTCTAATGTGTATACATAAGAGAACTAATTTCAGTAAACTATTGATCGTTTATTTCAATCTACTTGTTAATCGGTTATAGAAATTGAGACAAAAAAACATTGACAAACGAAATTAACACAAAGGTAAACCAATTGTTGATATTTATTTATTAATAAAAGTGAATTACACAGAGAAATTTTAAAATTTACATAACAAAAACAACAACAAAAATAATAATAACTACCAAGTTCAGAAATGATGATTGAATAAAAACAATAAAATCTTAGTAATTTATTAAGTAATTAATTTAGCCTATATATTATTATACGGTCATCTTATATCAAAACTAATTACAAAGACAAATAATGTGTCCTATAAATGATTATTTATGTTAACCTATTTTATAGTATACAGTGAAAAATATTAATCAGTTTTACATAATGGGAACTAATATTTACAGACTTACTCAAGTACAAATATTTATTACGGAATTTCGAAGAAATTATTTAAATTTTTTTGGTACTTATCAAAACTGATCCCAGTTAGAGTATAATTACAAGAAATAAGGAGACGGATACTAGACACTTTGTTTCCTGACAGTATGAGACTTTATCAATGCATGTTATATATCATAAATCGATGGACAATAAGATTCAAACCTGTTATCCTGAAGGGAAATTGCTCTCCATGAGACTTGGTGGTGATGGGTTTCACCCTTGGCATGGTTATGCTTGCACACTAATGAGAAGTTCATAACTAGGACAAAACAGCTCTCTAGTGTTCAGTAGTACATGAAACAATGTCAATTCTTAACGAAAACAACAACACAACATACAACTGACCAATCTGGTTAATATTCGTGCAGTTTTAAAACCGACACCTATTTTTTTAATGCTATTTATCCCTTATATAATAATAAGTTATATTATATACCCTTACGGGCCAGGGTAATTTCACATTGCTTTTCAGGAGAACCAGACACCGTCCAGACTTTCACTTGACAACCCAAACAGTACAGCTGAACCTCGTTTAACAAAGGAACCAGACACCGTATATGCTTTAACGCTACTATCTGAATAGTACAGCCCGTGACGCCACCATACAGGTACCAAGAACCCTGATGGACCATTCGCAACATTCATATACACATTCACATCACATGCATAGTTATTTCGATCAATGATCGCATGAATCAATTATGCACAGCACGGACAGGCCAAAGTTGACCTATTCCGCTTACACGACAGTCAAACTCATTAATGTTAGCAATGATGACATGCCTTACAATGTCCCAATGACATTGACCCTCGAGAACACTGAAAATCAACCACCAATATGAATGAAATCGGTTAACCAGCAAATCAATTTTGTGCATGAATAGTCAGCGAAACTTGCCAAAGCAATGCCGAACCATCCACAATAACAATGGCAAACCTCCAGCCTCATATGAGACCTTCAGCTCTGCATAGCCATATAGCTTATACTGCATAAGCTATACGACAAAACATTTGTACATAGAGAGCAGTCGATTTTCAAATTTCTAGATGAAAGTTAAGATTCCAAAACAGCGAATCTGAAAATTCACATAGAAAACAAAGAGAAACATGTGTGACGAAAGTGATTTAAGAAAGTGCATATGGTATGACAAAGATCACTTACTGAATCACAGCTGAATTTTGCGATAGTGAATGTAAGATTTCAAATGCTTTTAAATTGTCTAAATAACGCATAGAAAGACCGTTCAAACTAGTTATATAATCATTTGTGACAAGAACTTGATCACGAGCTACAGCCCCACCACCTAAAACCTGCACGACACGACAACCATCTTGACCATGACAGGCTAATGCATCTAACTTTAAACCTATAATGAAAAAAAGTAACAACCGAACATATTTCCAAACATTAAAATTTCCAACAAAATAGTATGTCGAATAACAGAGTAACGAAATTTTGAATAAAGTAACAAAGATTTGCAATATGTGACAATATGCAGTAGTTCATCATATATTATACATAGTGTTCGCGTGTGAGACTGCAAGTCCTGAGTTCAATGACCGGTGGCAACGTCGTGGATGAACACTTCTACTGAGGATTCCAACACTAGAACGAAACAGTTAATCAGTGTTCCCAGGTTTTCAAGAGTTTTCTAACATACATCGGTTTGTGATATCAATAATACCATATGCATTGTTTAAGGATATAGGTTACCCATTAATTTAACGTATACCAAGCTACTGACGTTGACTATACCACGTTCTCTGGTACATAAGATCATAGATAAGTTAGTCATTGTATGTTTCGACATTAAACTTAAAATGCCTCTTTAAAAAAACTGATAAAACCAAAATATTATGAAACAATTGGACAAACAGGAATGGAGAAGTAATGAAAATCAAACGCTTATTGCCTTAAATCAATAGCCATAGATAATGAACAACCAACGATTCCATGTGGTGATAGTACTAAAATCAAACACATACTGATAAATAAGACGTTCGCGTGTCTTCAATTATATTGTTTTGGTGATACAGTAATTGATATCTCTGAAGGACGAGTTATAATGTGTTTACTTAGAGGTTTTGTGAACATTTGTTCAATTTTAAAATAACCTGCCCTATTAAAATCACCGGCAGTGCAGTGGAACTCTTAAACAATAAACGCTCACAACCTGATATAAGATGTAAATAAAGGACTTTTAAGTATCGTGGAGTGTTCGATGCATCTGAACTAGGGAGCCGTAACTCAGCACTTCACATATTCACCTACAATCAATCTACGAAATGGTGTATATTTACTGCTGAATTAAAACGCTGTATGGCATGATTCAAAATCGTTCGAAAGGGCAGAGATTTATTCACTATTTATCTCTTTTATATCTTGAGTTCTAGTAGTCCTTTATGCACACCTTTCCATTTTATCCGTTCGAACTATATTCTTAATGTTCATACTTTCTCATTATCATTGGTGCCCTGTGGTGTGTGCTACTGATGTCAAGAGATCTAAGTAGTACGTATCAACAATCGAAAGTGAAATGTTTGCTAGCAGAAGGTTAAGAAGATCAAGGAAAAGAGAACGAGAACAGAGAGTGATTAGTGTGGAAACAAAGGAACCGTCAAGTCTGAGACAATTGGCTGACATTTTGCAAAAGTAGAATTTGCTGCATAGTTCTAAGAGTTTACTAAGAGATTCTGTAATTTTGTTTTCAATTACAGTCGGTTGTCCCCACTGGTGTACTCATTCACTACAGCACATTATCAAAATCTTCTTTGCTATTCACCTTATTAATTTTTAACTCGTCGTGTTAATGTATGAAAACTTGGGTCAATGTATATTTTGCTAATGACTAAACATTAATTATAACTGACTGACTGTTTCACATCAATGGTGATTTCGACGATCGATGATTTGTACTATAGACAGAGTCAGCAATTGCAATTGTAGCACACTAGCACGGATTTTATAAATGATTTGAAGAATCGTTAACTGTTCACTAGAAGTAACGTAGCTAATACATCACGGATTTGGGCCACACCTACCTTGTAATCACTACTGATACCACAAGGCTGCAAAACTCAAGTACGCGGAGCTAGACTCAAAACTGTGGATTTTACTTTCACTACACTAGTTAGATCTAAAAGCTAACTGACAACTTCTGGCGAACTTAGAAAAACAGTTCAGTGTAAATTAAGCCAAACTTACCTATCGGTAAAGATCCACGTTCCAAACGCTCAGATATTTCTAATGTTGGGTCAACTGGAGTGACATATTGTAAATCGGGTGCATGTAGTTGAGGATTTGGACAAAGTAATGGTAGTGTGTAAAAATCTAAAGCCTACAAAAGGTATAGGTAGAAATGGCAAAAAGAAAACATTGCAATGTTAATTCATGGTATCAAAAAGGAAATGGCAACGACAACAACACATCAATATTAAAACACAATCTATACAATACTTCTAATTCGCATTCAATACCATATCAAAGACGAGGCTGTGATATATCCGATGAGCTGGAATCTGATAGAGTTACTAAAACTACTTACCGAATGGATTTATAAACGATATAAACATTGAATTCTGAAGAAGCAGTGAGCATCGATTCAAATCACTAGGAATGGTAGATTTTACTCCCTAATTGACTTTATTACAATAACTATGAACTTTCTAAAATTAAGGACTTTCGTCTCATAAAAAGGGCAAATGTTGCACGGATAAGTAGTATTGTTGCGAAAATCAGCAAAGTATGGTGTGCAATGGTGAAAACTGAATTATTTTTGGAAATGAGTTATTTTAGATTTAATGAATTACACAAATAAAACAACTACACGCTGTCTGACAATTCAATCCATACAAAGTGAATAATCTGACTATGGAAAAAAAACGATTAAGAGTTAAACAAATAACTAAATTTTTTTTAACAAGAGATTGTCTTTATCAAATGATAAAAAGGCTAGAAGATTAGGCCACACATTTTACACCAAACAATATTTTAATTAAAGTATCAATTAGCAACGAGAAAATATTATTGTTGATATTCATATATAACTAATTCATGAATAAGAAACCATTTCAGGTTTCATCAAAATACGAAATCATATACAATGACTTCAATAATATTTACATAATATTCACAATGTTTTAGCAGGTATTATAAAATTTAGGTTAAATTGACATTAAGGAAATAGTATAATTTTGCAGTAAGCCTTTATCATCTTATTTGTATGATCTATTTCCCTAGGTCACAAAAATAAAGTCAAGGAAAGTTGTTATCTTTTCACTGTTTGTTTACTACAGATTTGACCTTTGTCCTGTTTTTTTTTTCCGGTGTGTTAGCTCGTGTGTTTGTAAGATCAAATAAATTATCAATAATAAACTTCTTTCGGTGACAACTCATGTTTTGGCCTCTGCATATTCTAGATATAACCTTAACAACACTTAGAGAATAAGGCAATAGATAAATACACAATGGAATGGTCAATAGTTTACAAAGTAATCTTTTACGATTATGATTTTGAAATAGAAGTATCATAATTTATAGTACATAGAATCTAAAGTAAATTATCACTGTAGATTATATAAATGATAATAAAAGTGTGAATAGGAAAGAAAAAATTTATATTTGCTTAGAAAAATATCGTAAGATAGTAAATAAAAATAATAAGATAGGTAATAGGTGAACAATAGTCGACCATCGTGCCTAAACAAAACCACTATGATATCTTAATGAAACCATATATTTAAGTGACTAGATGAAAATATATAAGTTTGTGCAGGAGTATATAAAATAAGACGAGATAGCAGAAAAATAATTCGGAGAAACACTCAAGAATGGTGTTATTAAAGTTTTGATTAAACACAGAAAATAAGCATCAGATAACAATTTATAAGGGTTATCACATTTACAAATAAAATAAGCTTTGAATATTAACATAAAAAGAGAAGACGGAAGATGGAATGGATCTCAACTGTATTCGTGATCATCAGCTATAGTTTAGAAAAAAGAAATGACGTCTTGCAGCAGGTACCTGTGTGCACTCTTATAACTAAATACTATAGGTAATAATATAAAACTGATGCGTTCATAAATTGTACACTATTCATTTCAAATAAACGATTGGAACAGATTGGGTGATATTGTGATAATATCTATCCCAGAATGTCAAAAGTATTTGAACTGCATCCATGAGACACTGGACAGTAACTAAGTATCTTTTATTAGAGTATAAAAACTTAAAATGAACTAAAATATGTAAATCAATTACTAAATAAAAAAGGATTGACTGTGGAATTTACAGCATGTGAGTATTGTGCAAAAAACAAAAATTTACGCTTGATCTTGTATAGAGTATGAAGTGTTGAAAAACTGGCAGAAAAACTGATGTTCAAAAGTTTTTCAACCGATGACGAAAATCACTAGTAGGTAGGATGTTATAACTTCGCTACACATGCTACTGGTTTGGTTAACTGAGTCACTCATTATCCACCACATACAAAAATTGTATCTTTCAAGCCAAGTGCATTACATTAACGTATATTTGGTAAATAGATTACATTGAATATTATCATTTTTGAATGCAATAGTGTTATGTAGTAGGATTTTATGGACTAATTTTTGGTTGTTGAAATAAAAGGAAAAAATGCTGATCGATAGATGACAATCGAGTGATACAACATCAAGGCATTTTTGTACCATGGATGTTTTAAACTGAATTGTTTAGTAATCACTGAGACGTATATACTGATTGGATTTCTAAGTTCAATTTTCAATCTTATAAAACTGATGGAATACTTTATGAAAGCTTTTCAATCAGATGAGATCAATAGGAATCATTCCTCCTATAATATTATTTCATTATGTTACACTTAAACTATATTTTCCACTAACGTTTTCTCCGTTACATATGAAAAAAGAACTTAGAGGAAAACAAAAAAGAGAATATTGAAAATATTCTCTGAAATGAAACAAGAAAGCACAAATACAGTAAAGGGTCAACAGAAATTAGTGCAGTCTTAAATTGATAAATATGTTCAGAGAGTGTGTTTGTATAATGGTGTGTCGCCACGATGCAATGTACATACATACACTTTACTCTTTCACATAAACATAATCCAACAGCATTTTAGTGATTACATATATATATATGCACAAACACATGGTGGCTAAAAACCAATCCATCCATTACCCAAGCATTATATATCAGAAAACTAATATTCTATAAACACAGAAGAAACACAAGGATAACCAAATGAAAGAGGACTGACCACATAAGGATAAATGTTGAGAATAAGGTCAATAATGAAAAATAAAAACAAATTAGAAATAAAACAGAAAATCAGAACATAAAAAAATATGGTAGGTATTTAGAAGTCGATTAAAACAGTCGATTTCATAAAGTAATTAATTAAAAATAGCAATAATAAAGGTAATGACTATTATTATTATTTTCATGCAAATGGTAAATACAAGTAAATTTCTTGACACAACGTAAATACTTTAAAAGTTCGATCGTCAAGATACATAATAAATCTAAAAAATACTCCACTGGAAAGTTGATAGTTATGATCAACATTAGTGAAACTTAGGGTTTTAGGGTTATCTAATTGGAAGAATACGATCTACAAGAACTAAGGTTTCTCTTTTTGCGAAATTCAATCACCATGCACACTATGGCTTCACTAACGGCAGATATTACAAACAGAAATCACGAACTGACTGAAGTTTTAAATGTGGACAGATGAATGTCAAATGAATGGTATAAAATAAAAAGCAGTTACAGCGAAACTTGAAGATTGTGAGTTAGATACCAGGAAACCAATAGTGTGAGTTCCCGATATATGCCATACTAAAACAAAACAATTACATAAACCGCCCAAGTTTGATTGGTTATTTAGCTAATCAGTACGTTATGAACAGTTTTTCTCAAATTGGACAAGTTCCACAAACATTCTTTTTTAATAAACTTATTGTAATCATAAGTGCTGATGAATTATCATTTTATGGTGTTTGGACTGCCGACTGTAATGTTACAATGATGTCATGCTCGAGTTCCCCTCATCATGATGGCTCAACCGAACTATAATGGAAGGAACAAATGTTTTTTAGGTCCTACCAGGCCATATAAGATACTTGTAGAACAGGGCGCCCAAACCAAAGCATGTCGTACGTCCATGATGTCACTGATAATCGGACTTAGCCATGCTTATAGGAATAAACTACCTGGATGTGGTCTGTATGATTACTGAAGTCAGTGGTTAGATATTTTGAATGACATGGCTTAAAGTCGTTCGCAATGGTGCAGGTGGATTCATTCTTTGTCTTCCTCTAAATTCTGAGTTTCTTAATTCCTCATGACCGTTTCTGTGTGTTTACTTTACTAATTTATATTTTATTCTCGAATTGTATCATCAATGTCTAATCTTTCCTATTACCACTGATACTGTTACTAATCGACTATTCTGAGATTTAGCCTGATAAATTTATCTCTCTGTGCTAATAGGGTATGGCAACTTGAACCGATGTACATACGTACCGGTTCTACGTTGTGACCGACTGGTGCCTGAACTTGTTAATCATTTCTTAGATAAAATGTAGTTTACAAGACTAGTACTTCACAATTATAAACTGACTGGGTACAAAAAATTACAGTGGTAATTCAATACAAAGTATACTCAGAAAAAGAACATACCTCTAGGCTTGTTGAATGCTTTAAGTTTAGATAGATGAATTTTAGTCCGAATGAACCGTAACCGTATTTCATTCAATGACTTTTTAATACACCGAATAAACGAATATCAAAAAATGTTCCGTAAACAAGTAAATTATAACTCCGCCTGGAGCCGCTCTGAGGCTAGTAAAACATATGGCACTAAATGTGGAAAAACTGAAGATGCAGTACAATCGACACTTATGGTGAGAGCCAATAATACTAAATAATAAACTACGGCTCGGAATTTTATTGTCACTACCATCACAGATGATGGACTGGAAGAGTGAACAAAAGGATGTTTTAAAAAACTAAGCAAGCATCAATTTTATACATCTTGAAAGTTAGAAAAAGAATTTACTCACTCATAAGATTGACATTACGGTTAAAAGACAAATTAACGAATAGCGGCCCATGAAGCACTTAAGCGTACAATAAAAGGTGTAACAAGCATCGTGTGTGGAAAAGAGACCAAAGTACGTTGAAAAGTAATGAACAATAACACAAATACAGAAATAAACTTACCAAATCTTCAGTTCCAGTTGCATTGAGACCATTCTGTTAAAATAGAATAGCGAAATAAATTAAAGACTTCATATCACAAGATAAGTGTTCATTCATGCTGATAAACACTAATTCATGCATGAAAGCAATATCATAAAAATAGGACAACAAACGATAAATGACTAACCAGAAAACAATTTATGATGCAAAACTTGCACATGATCCTCACATTTTGATCAATAAAGATATTGAAACGAGAGCAAAAAACTAAAAGTTACTTATAGGATAAGATAATATTCATGTGCTTTGTCAATACAAGATGTGAAAAGAAATAAAATAAATGTATTATATATTACAAATTGGATGATTATTGAGTGTTAACTTATTTATCGCTCGAAACTAATCCCAAATAAGCAACCAATAAGAAACAGCGAAATTTCTTAATTGACTTTAAAGGTTGTTTTCCTGACAAATCAACACTATCAGGAGAACCAATAGGAAGACAATGAATGTAGAATAATCGTTTCAATCAACTTCAGGACTCCTTAGCACACCGGACCGCTGGCTCTGTACAGGACCGAATACTGTGTCATCGATTACTTTAGTAAGGAAGATATCATTTGAGAAAGGAATATGGTTTCACACTTTACAACTCCAGTTAACCTACAATATAGCGTGTGTCACTCAACCTCATTTGAGGGTAAGTGCCTCACTCCTTAAATAATTAGTCTCAGCTATTTACTAGAACATGAGAGTATATAATTAGGTTGGTCGTCCATGGGGATTTGTCCATGCTAAGTTACGGCATGAGCTCACTCAGTCAATCAGTCATACGCACACTTATATGCTCAAAAAAATTGCAGAATAATTGAAAACAGATAGTAGGTGACATTTATTTCATGGTATTTTGTGGTATTTCAACAGTGATCATACACGATAAAGCCTATAACTTTCAGGTTTTAAGGGAAGAACTACTTAGTTTATAATCTGAATTCCAATTTTCTAGCTTCTCATCAGCTACTAGATATCAGAACGGTTATGATGAAAAAACGAGCATTAAAGAGTAACAGTTTAGCTGCTAATAAGGTTTTATTACCTGACTGACCAAAACAAAGATAAAAATAACATTGTATCTGTTTGAATTATGATTATTTTCACACACATATATATAACAACCAAAGTCTTGTAAACTTGTGCATAGATTGAAAAAGGAATGTAGGCAACGTAAAATATTGCTGACAGAAGAATTCTATTGTAATGTATGTATGAGTGGACAGAATTAGGAAATGACACACATACACATGTCCATCAGTAACAGCTTCGTCATACATCTACATCATCAGAGCAATAAAAGAGCAACCATTCGATGTAACATATCTTTCAACAAAACGGGGTTATAATGAATAGGTGACAAACTTAAATCAGAGAAAACAAACAACACAGTTTATGCAAAACAACAGGATGACAACATGGTAAACTGACCAATAAGTGAGTATATAACGAGAAAAAAAATCTCTAAGTAACAGTTTAGACATTATTTTTGTCTTTATTCACGATCATGCAGTATATTAATTAAGAAATGCTACAAAACGAAAACATTAAATATTCAAAAAATTCGAAGCATTTGAGAAATATTGAATAAGAAGACATTAATAGAAGTTTTATTACAGGTAAACTGTTAGAAATTAAACTTTAATTTAATATCAGAATGGGTTTTGTGGAGATTTTAGAAATTTCACAGATTGAAATCATGAGTCAGTTGAATTTAATGGGAAAATTGGTGCACAAAAATATACGCAGCTAATAATGAAATGTGTAGTAACCTGTTAAAAAGCACACAAATACTGACCAGGAATGCTTTACACGTGAAATATAACACGCCAAGAGATCAGAGACATGATTAACCCGTATTGCTATATCGTGAATATATTTAAAATTTCAAAAAACTAAAGATTTGAGACACTGAAAATTCATAGTAGAACAATGACATACTGGTTTTCATTCCAAAAATGCACAAGAAAAGCAACAGTAACTGAGAGATTGGGTATTAAAGGGAAAAAGTTCGTTATTCAAATACAATATTTCTTGATTTTATTTACATGCAGTATAGTTATGGTGACTAAATTACTAAGATGAACAACGACTACAGACCTTTATATCAAGCTTCTCATGTTTTTCATCTATACGGTTTGTAAGTTGATTGTCCAGGATAGCATGATTATCATGGCTTCCAGATCGGTGTCGGTGACAACTGTACTGGTGAGATGTTGAAGAAATATTCAGACGTTCACCAGCAAAACGTGACTGTGAAGCATCATGATCATGTTCAATAACACAACAATACCCCGAATTATGTTTATCAACTGTCTTACTGTTATTATAACTAATACTACTATTACAACTATTCGCATGCTCATTGGACCTGATTGATTTTGGTGATGAATAACAATTATGAATGAAAAGTGACTCGAAGCGTAAATGATTGAACTCATGATGATCAGATTCAATGGATGAAGACATAGTTTTTGGATGGACATAAGGGGAGAGAGAGACTGATGAGCTTGTAGATAAATCGCACTCTGTTTTTACATCCTCTTCTTCATCATTATCGTCAGTTTTATCATTTCCTATGATGATGGCATTATTATTATTACTATTATCCATTTCTCCATTTGAATACAAATTGTCAACATTATTATGACCATTTTCGTCCGAGAGAAATTGGAATCTATAGTAACTACTCAATTTACTAGATGCAGAACACCATTCGGATCCATTATTTACATCTCCACTCTGACTAATATAAGGTAGTTGGTGTCTATTAAATACTGAAAACTCTCTGCTCTTTGAAATTAATTCAATTGTGGATGCTTTAGTTGGCGTGGAAATATGATGCGGAATAGTAGATGATGTAACAGAAGAATTACATAATCTATCATTACTGGTATTTTGTTCTTCCAAGTATTTCAAAGCTTTTAAAATGGATTGAATAACAAGTTGATCGGCTAAATACTGGGTACTACTAGCATTGTTGTCAGTAGTGCAATAACTACTTCTAGAGATCAATGATGAAGCAGAGTGATGATCAGTAAGAATTTGATCTACTTTATCAGCACCTAATCTGCTATTATTGCTATCATCAACGTTAACGTTCGAAGATGTTAAGAATCCAGAAATCATAGATTGTGTCCATGACTGACTTGAATCTGTTGTTCCTGCTTTTGTCGATGACGTTGATGAGATGAACCGATTCCGTTCGGTAGTCGAATTTGATCTCATTGAATCATCCAACACTTCGCAATTAATTAAATCCACTGCTTTTTGGACGATTTCATGCGCTAAATGAAGAGGTAACTGGTTGATGATATTAGTATTCAGACACTTCTGAATATCGTGGATCATATGACTTTGTCCACATTCAGATAATGTACACATACGGTAAGAATGATGACGATGAAAATAATATTGATTGGTGTATTTTCCTAACTGCTCAATATAACTATAACTTTTACACTTTTGGTGTGTAGAAGAAAGATTAGTTTCCAAAAGTAAAGGGTTCAGATGATTAGGTGTTGGTGATCTCGGACCACAAAAAGATTCACTTTGTTGTTGCAACTGATCCAAACTATTTCCAGTAAACAACCTTTTATTTATGGAAGGCATACGATATTTATCATAATTATTATCATTATCGGTAATACTTGCACGTAAAGTAAATACTGAATCGGGTAGGGGCCTTTGTAAAGAAGGACATGAATAAACAGTACGCATTAAACTCCAACTGAAGTTATCAAAGCATGCAGTCATTCCATGCCTTGACTAGATTGACCAAAATAAAGCAATTATATATATACGTTAATGTGTGCACAACAACCATAAACACCATTGCATATACCCATGAAGAATGGTCATCGTCGTAAAATTTTATTATTCCAGCAGAGGTGGCGAACAGGAAAGAAAATAAATACAGAAAGTACAATTAGTAATTATACGGTACTCGTGCAAACTTTTCAGTTGACAGCAATTTAATACTACAGCGATCATGTTCGCCTGTTTTGTTTTTCTCTATCAATCGCCAACATGTCACAATGATTATAAACCAAACAGTTAAAGTCGAAAGGTCAAAGGTCAAACAAAGGCTTTACTTTAGTGTAAAAACCACTAGCAGGAAACATTAATACTTGTTTTACGACTTATCAAATAAAAGAATAAAACTCAGTAAACCATTTACAGAGATATGTATCATTTCAGAAAAGCACGGCACACATGCGTTGTGGATACAAGCCCACTTTTAGACAGCTAAGAAATCTCACCTTCACCCAGTTATGTACGCAAAAAAGTACACAACTCCCTCTAAACCACCATTGCATTGATCTGTATCTACGATCGACTGGATGCATGCGAAATATTAGGGTATAATACGATACAAGCTACATTAAAAGTTAATTTGCATATAGAACAGTGAATCATACCACGCAGTGTCCTGGTCCTAAACAATTTCTGTTATTAGTTGAAATTACCTTTTCAAATCAATCACATCAATTTAAAAATTTCACCAAATGCAATCCTAGTAACTCAGTTTTCAGTCACGCTACTTATATGACAATTAATGATTAAAACAGGTTACTTAAACCACAGTAATTGGAACATAATTCAAAAATAGTTGGAAGTCAACTGTTTCAATCATAAAGCCACGGTTTCACAAAAATTATAATAACCTTCAATATCGTGTATGTATGATATGGATATATAAAAGGTGTACCTACTGAATAAGATAAGGAACTCAAAATAACATCGGTGAAATTAAAAGCATAGTCAGGTTAGTTATGAAAACTTACACCACAAATGCAACGGTTCAGTTACATTCACACAATCTATCATCCAATGAATCGTCCATTTTCTCGCCTTACTGATAAATTTACAGTGTCAGTATTTTTTGTAATATTTAATTTTCCCATGTATGTCCTTCTGAAACAAACTAAAATCTATCCCAGTAATATGCCGAGTACAATAATACCGATTTTTTACAACAGAGATAACAATAGTTAATGAACAGTATATTATTTAAACTGCATTTGATTGGATAGCCAAAAAAGTGAACAACTAGGTAAGAGGAAGTTGAATCTTTGAAGGGAGGAATATGTGTGACAAATATGGAAAATAACGAAGCATTCAAGATTTAAAGGGGGAAATTTAGAAGTCATCGGCCCACTGGAATATAAAAAAACTAAGCCTTGAGTAAAGTAGATTAAGAACTATCAAACTTCATTTTAGTTTAGGTAATGTTGATAGAAGATTGTTTATCTCAGCCAACATGATAGTACCGATAGAAATAGAGTAGCGTCTCGTTATGCAAAATTTACGCCGGAAAAAAATTATTTTCCGATAAAATCCCATAAGCTAATCGAAAAACTTGGTTCACTTAGGCGTAATCTTACGACTTTTCGTTCAGCACAGTCTTATAACATACAGGAGCAATTATAAATTCGGGTATTAAACAGAGCTTACATAATATAAACAATAAAAGATATGAGCACAATGAACTTAAAAACACCATGTTATAATACTTACCATAATCGTATTATTATCGTCATTATCGATAGTGCTATCACCAGTGTTTACGTGTAATGGATATGCTAGATCAGACTTAACACTGATCTTTTTCATTTCACCAGTATCTGGAAACATGCCAATCACAGAAGGTCTAGAAGAGACAACAGGGTATGGCAGTAGTAATTGTTGTTGGCTTTTTTCATGAATGTCATCTGTTTCATTTGATTCTAACTGCATTTTTGCAATACCAATTAAACATGGTCCATTAGGAAGGGACTTTAGTGTAGTAGCGGCCTCAGATACACTAGATTTCATTAAATTTTTATCATTAACAAATAAGAGCCTGTCGCCGATTGATATACGTCCATCCAACTGTGCAATACCACCTGGAGTTAAACTGTCAACTAATAAGATACCGTGTGATTTGGAGCGACTAGACCACGTAGATCTTCGTTTCAATCTACTGGAAGATTTGGAATTCTTACCAGGTAACGATGATAATGATGCAATGGTAGAACCGGTAGAATGATAGGAATGAAATGATCGACGATCAGATCCAATAATATTAGAACTCCTTCTATCAAGTGAATAAGCTTTACGGAGTGTATTGCCTTCTAAGTCAGTAACAGGTAGTTCCTATAAAGATGTGGATATACGAAACAACAATAAGTGTTATTTTAGGACATTATTAGAAATGGATCAAAGAATTAGTAACAATAAAATAACTCATTTACATGAACGCACACAGTGGTACAACATAAAGGTATAAATGAACATTTATTTGTGTTCTGACCATCACCTTAAGTTCACTTGGAAATCCTTTACAGTTACTGCTAGTCAGAAGCAAGACTGTGAGAAGGTTAGCAACACCATTTCACAAAAAACATCCTTAAAAGAAGTGAACCAACCGACAGACTGGAAAGTAGGATGCCTCATCAAAGTAACAAAGAAAGGTGACTCAGTAAGTGTGAGAACTACAGTGGTACCACACTACTATCAGTATCAGGAAAGTTTTCAACAGTGTTGTTGAACCAAACAAAAGATTCAGTGGACGCTCAACTTCGAGAACAACAGACCAGATTCCGTAAGGATCGATAGTTTACAGACCACATCGCGACACTAGTGATCATTGTTGAACAATCAAGTCAATAGAACTGGTCACCATACATCAATCTTCTTAACTATGGTAAAGCATTTGACTGTGTGGATAGGAGAATCTTGTGGAAGCTTCTTCGACACTATGGTGTACATGAGATCGTCACCATAATATGGAACTCCTACAAGGGAATAAAATGCAATGTAGAAGGGGACTCAGACACAATTTGGATAAATCTGGATGGTTCGGACTTTGAAAATGACTCATCATTTCTATGAAATACACAGCAACAAATACAGATAAAGACCGCTAGTATAGCAGCCATTTCCCTAGCAGTAAACCTCAAGATTCTGAAATACAGAATAGCCAGCACCAATCAATTCACAATTGTGGGATAAGCTGTGAGTGGACAGCAACATTGATAAACAAAGGGAATTTGATGCAGATTAAAGGTACGAATCGGTAAAACAAGGGCAAGATTTCTTCAATTGAACAATGTTTGAAACCCAATCCAACACGAAAAATAGAATTTCCAACACAATCGTTAAAAGTTCTAGCTAGTGGAGCTGGAACGTGGAGAACTACAACCACCATCACCAAAATAACAAAGATGTTTTGAAACAACTGCATGCACAAGATGCTTCATATCCGTTAGCCAGACACCATCAGCAACAACTTACTGTGACAAGACAAACCATCTCACAGATGAAGAGAAAATTAGGAACAAACGTTGGAGGTAGATAGGGCGCACACTGCGAAAATCATCAAACTGAATTACGGGGAAAGCCTAAACTTGAAAACCCCAAGGGAAAGTGCCAGACTAAAATACACACCCTGAATTGAAGGTTGACACCAAAAAAAATGAATAGCATTCGGAAACAACTGGAGATAAGAGTTGGTTGCTAGTTCCTGATGGGCGGCTTATGCCCGAATAGCGGTAAGAGGCTTAATTAAACAACTAAGTCCTATATCATCAATTCTCAATAATCATTAAATATGTATACATGTAAATTTCTGTTCAATAAAACTCACCTCATATTCAGCTATACTAAATCCAAAACCATGAGTTGTTTTATTCAGTTGAATAATTAAGGGCACTGATGACCAACATGGTCGTTTAAAACCATAACGAGGGTCAATACGATTTGGCCGATTATGATGATAATGTGGTAGAGTTTGACAACGGCGATGATCGTGTTGTTCAGTAGATTGTTTTTCCATACACACTTTACCAGATCTTGATATTGGTAAACGCCCTAAAGTCCTAGAATGTATTTGTGTTTCTGACCGCTGCATTGTACTGGGTAATGAATATTTACGATTGTTTTTCATTGTATTTACTGGATACTGCTGTTGTAATTTACTAGTGTAATTCGGATTAACATAATTATTGAGGGGGTGCTAGAAAATCAATGATTAAAGGAAAGTGTGAATTAATTACTGTAACTAATTTACGAAATGTAGGTATAGATATACGTATTTAGCTTTGGTTTACATTGTATTTAAGTGTTAGGGTCAGTGATACCACCTGGCTTCGAAAACTGAACCTGGTTCAGCAGGGTCAGTGCCTGAGACCTAAGAAAATGTCAATTGCTCTAACTATTCGTTAATCACTTTAATTGCAAAGAAGATACCAAACACATACACCTAATTAGCAAAGCATACATAAATGAAATATAAACAATTTTAATCCGACGGTTCAATGGATTTTTCCAGCTTCGGATATGCAGATTCATATTGAGACATCACTGATATTATTCTTTATGCAAAGAAAAGTATCTCTATTCATCTTTGAAGAATAAATTTTATCTGGTTTTCCGGTATTACATAGGCACTCGCTACTTTTGCTACAAAACTAGGCATTAGACTTCAAAATATACCTGTATTATCCGCATGAGAGGGTTGGTAGTAAGACCTAATTATAAATCTAGAAATAGGTATTTGTCTTTGTTGATATACTGTTAAAAGTCTAAAGATCATAGTACTTTACAATGATATTACAATAAGGAACGACTACAATGATTTGGGAATTATTGATAAATTTTGAACTCTGCAGACTTTAAAATTATATTTGAACTGATTCTGAGTTTCATTATTTTTCTAAATTTTCTCAACACTTTTGATGTAACTTACACTTTCTTTGCAAAGACTACTGACATACCTAACTATCATGTTTGTTAAATATAAATGAAGCCGTTTTAGAGCACACCTGCTTGGAATTGATTGAATTAACCACTAAACCATTTTATGATCGTAACTATTATTCATGACCTTAAAACGAACGTTGGACAAACCGTAGTGACTGTTATTTCATTTGTAAGAGTTGTTTAAATTAGAGACCAACAATGACAGCAATCATCATCTTCGTCTAGAATATTGACAAATCACAAAATATAAATGCATTTCCTTTAACAAAAAATAGGTTTATTGTTTTTGACATTTTAATAATTCACAAAGATGAAATTAACAAAGTAAACGAAACACGGGGGATGAGTGAAATCGACGGAAGACTACGACTATGTAACAGACAGAGATTTCGATGGTTTGTAAAATTCAACATGGTCAAATTAAGTATTCTGGCCACTAACAACTACAGTCTCTTGTAGTCCATCATTACAAACTTCACTAATGATGTACTTATTTTCTTAAAATGGCACTCTTTACAATTCCTACTACAAGACCAGGTCATTTGAAAAGATATGCAACACAACATCTAGTTTTAACAATATTTACTGGGTGCTGCCACAACAGATTTTTGTGATAGGGCTCAAGTTGCAGACTTTTTACACACAAATAACTTTAGTTAAGAAAAATAATGGACCGATATTGAAAATAACCAGTGGATGATGAAAAATTCTGACTATCAATACCTCCAATCCAACGATAGGTGACTATTTTGCCAATAACAACAGAGTTATTAAATAAAAATGAATAAAAGCACGGGAAATTAGTTGCCAGAATCAATGATAATAGATTAATAATAAAAGGTCCTATAGAAGTAATTATATGAATTTAAATTCAAACAACCAAATAGAAACAGTTGAAACTGAATGTTATGATTAAAGCATAGTGTTATATCCCGATAAGAATAATGAAAGGTAATTTTTGGGATCCATTGATGGATTAATACTAAACGTATATTTTTATCGTGTAATTGCTATGTAACTAAACTGTTCATATTCATATCCCTCTTACTATGAGTTTCATTTTGACCCATGAACTTTTATTATACGATTTACCATTCTTGAATTATTCCCCGTCTATTAATTACTATCTCCCTCATTCACGGCCGCATTTTGGCTAATTCTTGTATAAATGTTGTTTCACATTTTATAGTAGGTTGTGGTCTGTCTGGTTGAGATATAAACTCAGTATGCTTAAAAAATAAATGATTCATATTGCAGAGGCTGAGATTGGTGTTCTGGACTCAACTGGCTGCATTAGGCGGAAAGTAGGACTAATCAGGACTCTAGGCTGCTCGCACGTGTTTTATGCGTCACTGGTTCGATCGACAATCCACTGCTCCCTAATTGGTGGTATCGTTGAGTTATACAATAAACAGGGCACACAAGTTCAGAAGTTATAACACATATACTTTAATCAGAAGCGAGAAAAACATTTTTCAAAAGACTAAATAAGTGTCAGCAGGATAAAAGGTAATGGTGAAACTAGCTATTCCCTAACATTAAGCTTTAAACAGGTGTACAAATCGAATCTATGCCGTTTTCAAGGTACAATAATGCATATAACAAAAAAAAACACATTTTCTGGGACTCTGCCAATTTTCTCCAGGTTAAATATGTATAACTGACAAGTTACAAGTAGTCACGGTTTGTACGTAACGACTAGCGATACTATCGTTTCCTCATCCAAACCGCCAATGGTCAAGAAAGATTCAAAACCGTCACAACTAGTGATAAACATTACAACACTGATTTGTGCATTTGTGTATTTTTAAGAGCATATAGTGAAGTTTACCAAACCTTGGACATTACGTGTTGGTAAGCGAACAACGAAAAGTACTTTAAACCATATTATTACCATGAGCACATAGTCAGTGAAAACAACGCATACTACCTGCATATCTCAGATTTCTATCACATACTGGGTTAACTCTTTCCTCATATTAAAATGTTTTAGGAAAAGGAAGAGTTACGGCCGTTATATCACTGATATACTTCAGCAGTATACGTATAGACAAGTAAAAATCGCCATCCACCTTATTAGAATGCATCATGAAAACATTCAGTAAAATTAAGTAACTACATTCACTAACTTAGATGATCAATTTAGGAATAATAGAATATAAAGATTCATTGACAAAAACATTGCTAGAAACACTTTTTTCTGAATATTGGAATGCCTAGTGTTTTGTACTTTAAACAGCAGAATATTGTCGATTGTAAGTATTCAGCTCCAAAACCGATTAAGAAATCAGATTTCAAAGTACTCTAACATGTAGTTTTTGAACACCTAAATACTCTCAAACATTAGGCGATAAACCAGCAAAAATAAACTACATGAAAGCATGAAACTACAGTAATAATAAGTCAACTGAAATTAAAAGCAATTTCACTTACAAGAAAGAAAAAGCTAATTAAGATTAAGAATGACTGATTACATATATATAGCGAGGGACTTTCAAGTTCATGTATCCTGGTACCAATAAAAACTTTCTGTTATAAATATAGAACATGCTATTTTACTGCTAATAGAAAACAGTGAAATATTTAACCTACTTTTAGGTAAAGTAAGAAACAACAGTAGTAAAAGTAAATAAACCAATCAAAACTTGACAGTCAGTACAATTCATAAGGATAAAGCACAAGTAGACATGTATGTACATAAAAATAAGTACTTTTAAATGACTATTAAGTGAACATAAACATATTAATATTTTATAACTTTGATTATTTCTTTAACAAAATCTATTAAAATTATATTTCAACAACAGTAATAATAACGATATGGATAAACAAAAAGCATAAGAGTTCCTTTGAAGTACGGTGTTCTCAAAAAAGTTAACATCTCATATGTATTTAAGTAATTTAAACAAGGAACCGTTGAATAACTTTTTTCCTTGTTCAGTACTCATCAAGAAGGATGAGAAAATGGCCCCACAGTGACTAGCTTAGTAATGGGTTTCTAGATATCTAAATGAAACAGTGACATTTGAGTCCAACCATATTGAGTGACACAATCATTATCCATGACTTTCAGTGACAGTCCTATTATATATCAACTGAAGTTGGGGATATGGACCACCATATTCCAATTAAATGATCTAAAAGTGTTCAGTGTAGAATAAAAAGTTCCCATCGATAAAAAGCTGCAAACTAAAATGACCTTCAACTCAATCTTGTATAGTTCAGAAAACTTTCATATAGGCTAAAAATGTCTAATATTGGTAAATCTTATATTTCCAAGCTTTTATTGTGATAAAATTCAGTTTATAAAACGTAAAGTTTTATGTAGTTAATATTTTCAACGTCCATGTTTGAAAACTACTCATTCATTATACATGGTATCATAACTGGGATGCTGAAAGTTTCATGCTAACCAGAACTATTAATAAAGCTAAACCATTAAAAAGAATTAGATGGTAGACGTCTAAATATTTCACAAAATATTCAAAAAAACTTATTAGTAAGTCATAGAAACTAATAAAAATAACAACAAAAACTACACTGAAACTTCATCAGGTAGGCAAAGTGACTTCAAGGAATTTCAAGTGATTTTTTAACAAAAAGAACACGAAGTGTATACACATATTCGACTGGTTGAGGAAAAAACCAGTGAAAAAAAAACTAATAAACATTTAGGTAAAAGAAAAGTGTAGGGACCAGCCAATTACAAACAAGGAACCGACTTTTAGGTTTTCAGGCAAACTTCAAAAATTACATGGAATTAGCAGAAATACAGTTGTATAGCCTTTAAAACATTTGAAATGAAAACGAAAAATCACTTTTGTCATCAGAGTAAAAATGATAATGTTAAATGTATCAAATGCTTAATTCTTTCTATGTAGATTTTATATAACAGGTAAATCAACACCATTCTTTAATCGTGAAAAAAAACTTAGTCTAATGGTAATATAATTGTAAAACGAATTAGTCCGATCTGGCTTTTTGCGCGAAATCCATACATCCCTGTGACTAATAAGCATTTTTCGATTACAGATATTGTCGATTGGTGATGATAGCTCAAACTTAAACCAGTAGTTCAAACCCTAACTAAGGACGATATATGAACTTAAAAGACTCTGGATCATTATAAGAATTCGAGAAGTTAGTCAGTCAGTAACAACGTAGAACTTCGTACGTACGTACATCAGTTCGAGTTGCCACACCACCTTAACACAGAGATTCAATTGTCGATTCAAATACCGTAGTGGTAAAGGTGGTATAGGCATAAGCAGTAATCGGAAAGATAAGGGTTTGAAGATGTTATGTAAAGAGTATAATACAGTGAAATAAATTTGGGAAGAGAAAAAAAGATAGAAGGAGAAATCAGGAGATTAGAATTTGGAAGAATACGAAGAGTGTATGCACCGGCGTCATTGCGAACGATTTTGGGCCATGTCATTCAGGGTCTCTAACCATCGGTTGCTATCATCTCGTGGTACCCAACCAGGTAGTCTACACCTACCGACATGACCCAGACCACTTATCAGTAACTTCACGAACTTGTGCCATGTTTTGGTCCATCCGCCCCTAGCTTTCTTCCAATCTACTCCTATACCACTGAACATCGCACGTCGAGGCAGTCGGTGGTTGGGCATACGTAACACGTGTCCCAGCCATCTCAACTGATGAAGTTTCACTACTTCATCAATTGATTTGCCATCCTTACCTAGTACCCGTTTCCTAACAACTGTGTTACTTACTCGATGGTCCCATGATATACGAGCAATGCTTCGAAGACACCTATGATCGAATACTAGTAACCTACGAATATCCTCTACCCTTACCGGCCATGTTTCACTGCCATAAAGTAGGACGGAACGAACTGATGCGCAATAAACACGTCCTTTGGTTGATGGACGGATATCTCGCCTACGCTATACATGACGCAAGTTGGCAAAAGCTAGTCGAGCCTTCTGTATCCGTGCTGAGATTTCGTCACACACCAGATCACAAGGGCTGATGAGACTTCCAAGAAAAGTTAAGCGGTCGACATGCTCAACTACTCCACTCCCTATCATTAGTTCGGGTGTCGATGCAACCCAATCCTGAAGCAACATTTTGCATTTCGAGGGAGAGAATCGCATGCCGAAATGCTTGCATTATTGCTTAGAATGGTCAGAAGACTTCACCAAATAGAACTATGTCATCTGCATATTCTTAGTCAACAAGTGAATCTCCTGGTAGAAGTTCAACCCCTGGAAATTTAGATGAGGAGAGTGTTATCTCTAAAAGTACGTCGATCACAAAGTTGAACAAGAATGGAGAGAGTGGACAGCCCTGACGAACACCACTTGATGTAATCAATTCTGATGACAGTTCGCCATAAGCTCTCACTCGACCACTTGTGTTCGAGTAGGGAGCCTTTACAAGGTTAATGTACTTCTTTGGTACTCCTTTCAGTGACAAACACTGCCATAGAACCTCACGATCAACAGAGTCGAATGCCACCTTAAGGTGGGGCGTCTAAACGTGTGTCTGTGTTCTAGAACCTGACGTAGTGTGAATATCTGGTCTATACAACCACGTCCAGGTCGAAAACCGGCCTGGTTTTCTCTAATCTGCTCTTCACGAGCTTTGATTAGGCGTCGAAGTATTATCGAAGCTAATATTTCCGACACTATATTAGTCAAACTGATTCCTCTGTGATTGTCACAAGAGGACTTTTGTCCTCTCTTATAGACTGGCACAATCAGTGATTGAGACCAGTCAGGTTTCGCTACCCGCCACTGTTTACGATCATTGAGTAGGCTTCTTGTCAGCTTGCGCTGAAGGTGACTCCGCTCTTCTTTATGTTCAGAGCCAGATGGAATGAATTTTCGAGCATCTATCAGTGCAGTAGATGCTGCTGAGATCCAGCGTTTCTCCCTAACCATGTGGTTTACCGTACTAGCAGATATCACTGCTGTTTCCACAGCTTTTCAGATATCATTCCATGCTGCCTCGGGGTGGGCATCACAAACATGGCTGCCTAACTGTTCTCCTAGTTGTTCCTGAAGTATACTCTTAGTTTGACTGTCATAAGGTAGGGCCCTAAGAGGTTTACTTGCAGCGTCTTTCCTACGTCCAGTGAGACGCAGACAGATAAGCGCTCGTACTAGAGCATGATCTGAATCTACACATGTGCTCCAGAATGAGCGACAGTCTTCCAGCGAGCCCCTCCATCGGTGGCTGATAGCGATGTGATCCATTTGGGTCCAACGTTGGGACGAATTAGGGGGTCGCCATATTAAAAGATGTTTTTCCTTATGCTTAAAGTTAGTATTTGAAAGAACCAGGCGGTTATGTGAGCATAGCTGCAACAGACGGTCGCCATTATCTGTTCTTTGAGTCACGACAACATGAAATCCACCCAGGTGTCTTTCCCTTTCGCTTAGTTTACCTACTTGAGCATCAAAGTCACCGGCCACTATTACTACATCAGAGCGCCTAGCTTTTCGGAGAAGGTCGGAAAGCTTTCTATAAAACTCATCTTTTACATCATCTGAGCTGCAGTCAGTGGGAGAATAGGCAGAGACGACGAAGAGGCAACGACGAGTGTCCCTAACTTTTCGAGTTCTTACTGTTCCGTTTAGTCGGACGGCGCACAGACGACTGTCTACAGAGATCCAGTCGAAGAGAGCTAGTTCTGCCCTAGGACTCAATGCTATACCTACGCCGGCGAGGCCACGAGAAACAGCATCAAGGCCTCCAGATACACGAAGTGTGGATCGAGTTGGTTCTTTATTTTGGCATGGTGAGGTCAAATGAATGACGGTTGTGTCATGACGATAGGCAAGCCCGACCACCGCGTCAAGGTAGCAGCTACGGTCGGGAGAATTCGAGAAGACAAATAATCTATATTCGCACGGACGAATTTATACATCGCAGAGTAATCAATAGAAGACTACTAGATTTAATGTTCATATAAAGTCTGTTTGCATTTCACATTATTACTTTCTTTACTATAAACTATCCACTTACTAAAGCTGTTCTCTGACAGGCTATGAATTGGCAGGAAATTTGCCGCGGTTGCTCCACGCTTTTCCCTATGCTACACTCTAACTGTATTTTATTCGTACATTTTAAATTTAATCAAGTTAATTGGTATAAACATTTAATCCTTTGAAGTAGCAAAACATTTACTTAGTATAGATCTATTTAGTTGGCTTCACATATTTTTGTGTGAGAGCTGAGGATACTAGCTGATTGCTCAAAGTGAAGAAAAAACCTGTGATTCATTGGTTTCAAGTAGAGTGCTTTAACCATTGAGCAATCACTACGGACGTCACAGTTTAATACAATCTTGAGGGTAAAAAAACAACAATTAAAAGCAATTGTAATCATAAATTAACATTATCTGGAAAAACAAAGAGAGTAGAACAGCTACTCTGTCCTATTAGTGAGTTCGTCAGCAGTTAACCAACGGTCGCGCAGCATAACATTGAACCCGTAACTTTCATTCCTTGCAACGATTTTAACTTACCCCAATTAATAAGTACAGGTGTATGTAGTCGACTTTGGACTTTGAAGCAACCACTCGAATAAAAAAACGAAATGATATAACTAGTAAGTCACGAGCCAAAAGTCTACACATCCTAACTTCAATCAATTCACAGTATGGTCTAATAGTCATCCAAAGTCATCAGTAGGTAGCTGACTCATTCACAATTTGGGTGACTCCACAAGTCACCTCTTCCTAACAGAACATCAGAGGACCAGTTTCCAAAATACTCATTTTATGCACAACTAATATTTAATCACACCAATGAAAATTATCCATAAGTGATTCGATCCCTACCAAACTATCTAGATGAAAGAATTTATTTAGATAAATATTGACCAAGGAATCATTTAATAATAATAATAATAATAATAATAATAATAATAATAATAATAATAATAATAATAATAATATAATTTTTAATAGTTTGGATTATCCCATTGTTAATATGTTAACTAAAATTTGATCAGTATTAGTTGGTATATGTATGAATTGCCTCGATGTACTCATTATGACACAAGTTTACACAGAAGAGATGGAACATGGATAGCAGTGGAATTCAGGACGTGAGTTTCATCCTATTTGGGGCTCAGCAACTGGATGTACCTACATCCCAGTGTTTACTTTCACTCTGGGATTCAAATCCAGTACCTTCTCACTCCAAACACCAACGCGCTATCCACTCAGTTACTGACTTCCGATAACCACTGATTTGTGCAATGGGGATGGATTTTAATCCAATTCATAATGGTCATGATTATCTCGTTTTTGATACTTTGACTGAAATTTGGCCAGTCTATATAAACTTTTATCGTAATGGTTATGTAAACGCAATCCACATACAATGGACATAGTCAACTGGGAATAAGAGAATTTCAGTCAAAGTATCAAAAACGAGATAATCATAACCATTATAAATTGGATTAAAATCCATCCCTATTGCACAAATCAGTGGTTATTGGAAGTCAGTAACTGAGTGGATAGAGCGTTGGTGTTTGGAGCGAGAAGGTACTAGATTTGAATCCCAGAGTGAAAGTAAACACTGGGATATATATATATAATGCATCGATTCAAATGCAATCGTCTCTTGTTTCTACGAAAAACAGAAAAAAGGGAATATATGGTAACGGATGTTATAGTTCTGTTTGAAATCGTTAAAAAATGAGCTTCACAGATATTTGGAAAAGTGTGGAAATACACTATATGGATAACATTAATGGAAAGTTAATTAAAACAAATCTAAAAAATGTAAAATATGTTGAAATAATTGGAGTTAGAAAATAGTTGATCCTAAAGTTTAACTAGATAGACATAACAGATATTAAACATATACAGCTATGACGAGATGGATATTTTCTTCTAATGACAATCTGGTCTTTAGAATATCAAATATTATTTCAGTAAATGTACTGCAAATGAGTACTTACTTTTAAATCACAATAATTGAATCTTTCTGATTTATTATTAGTTTGTTTAGTTACAGAAGATTCAGGTGAAGATGAATAGTCAATAGTCGCACTTAAATCTCCTTGAGATTTTCGAATCCATTCGGTGACACGTTTATGGGCCGTAGCCGGCGATACTGGACTAGAATAAATTGACCGATCAACATTATCGTAAGCATTCACTATTCTCATAGATGAACCAGTATCTACAGAACCGATTTCACTAGCAGCTACTTCAAGTAGTGATTCCCCTGCAACATCAATCAACTGATCCTTACCGCCCGTAATACTAAACACGTCATCACCTCCATTCTCATATGTAGATTTTCTACGAGCAAAGACTAATTCAATGCGTGATGGTAAATTGCGCAAATAACGAAGAGTACTAGTATGCGTTGTACCATGTATACGATGACCATTAGCCTGAAAAGTAAACGAGAATCAGAAACATTAAGCACCATCAATACCAGTAATGAAAATATCTCAAGACGATGAAGTAAAACACAGACATAAAGATCAAAGGAATATTCGATTAGATTAAGTAACCCATTTAAAAAATCAAAACCCCATTAATAATAACTATAAGACCATAAAAATCATAAATGTTGTCATGTTAAAACTGTAAATTATCATTCATTATCAGATACTGTTTTATCAGCCTGCATTTGCTAAACATTACGATCAAAGATCTTACCAAGGTCGCACGATCTTCGAATTAATTCACAAAATAAATGAATAAACTACATGGAGTTTTGGTGAAAAGTCGTGACCAGTGAAGTTCAATCCGTGTCGGATGCGAGACAGATATCCACCTCAGGCAATGGATGAAAGGTTGCGCAAGATCATGGATTGACTAATGTTGGACATTAACACTGTAAGATGCTGGTACAGTGGTCTAGAAGCTAACTATTTGAGCACGAGATCGACGGCCCTGGGTCCCGCGTGCAAGATTGTGGAAGAGCACTGCTCAGGGGTCCTATGCTAGTGCTTTTAGGTTTTCAGTGGTGGTCTAGCTTAGATCGGCTCGTGAATTCAACTGGGAAAATACTGCGATCACAGCAAACCGTTATGCTGATAAACTCAATGACTTAAAACCGATAGTCACTGATAAACGATTCATGTAGCCGAAGTGGATAACACAAAAATCACTAATACAAAATAAAAAATGTTTTGCAAGCTAGTAAATGTGGTCGATACATTAAGAATGAACTCGTGAAATTAAGTTAAACTCTTGTCTTAATTGCGTAAATACGGTGAATGATTTTTAACGTACAGATGAGAATAGACGCTAAGCGTACGTATATTTTTATCGTATAATGGTTAATTAACTAAACTATTCATATTCATGTCTCTCTTATCATAAGCTTTATTTTAACCTATGAACTGTTATTATGCGATTTTCCATTCTTGAATTATTCCGTCTATTAGTCACTGCCTCCCACATTCACAGCCACATTTGGTCAAATCTTGTACAAATGTTATTTCCTATTTCATGGTACAATGTGGTCTGCTTGATTGGTATATAAACAAAGTATGTTTGAAATACATAATTCATATCGCAGAAGCTCGGATTGGTGTTCTGGATTTAGTTGGCTGGGCTAGGCAGCAAGCAGGGCCAATCAGAACTCTAGGCTGTTCGCACGTGTTTACGCGTCCTTGGTCCGATCGATAATTCGCTGCTTCTGATTGGCGGCCTTAGGCTATAACACTACACAGTAATTCTTAAACCCGGTACTCAAAAGCCAACCGTGAATTTTCCCTCGAAAATAGGTGTGTTCTTACCTGAAGTAACTCATCACCCTTTTGCACAACACCCAAACTACCGACCAGACCATCAGGTACAATATATTGGACGAAATGACGTGATGGCATATCACTATACTTGATATCATTTGAATGAGCAGATTTTGCCATACCATTTGGTAACAGTTTACTACTTGAATTAGATTTATCTTCGATTTGACTATTAGTTGTAACCGTTGTAGATGATAAATTCTCATGATCGAAATCTGGTTCTGCCACATAGGTCACACCTTCAATGCTTATGCCCAAGTTTGATGTTCCGCGAGATTTATGAATATGTAAAACCTAATATAGATAAAAGTAGATAAGAAAAAATTATTGACATTAATTTATCCTATACCTACTAGTTTTTCATATAGCGTTTGATCTAGTTCCTTACACAAAGAAGCCATAAGGATTCAAGCAAACGATCCATGTCTTTGTATTCATAAGAAATTTGTAACAGTCTAATCGCTTTCGTGGTCGAAATAACCTTAACAGATAATTTTATTAAGGATTATATTCTAAACACTGGCGGTTTGCTTTTCATGAAAGATGGATCCCCGTGGCAAAATTTAGGAAATTAGGAATAAGAAAAGAGAAATCAATCACAACCAAACAAGAGCAAAGAAAGACGAAGCAAAAAACCGAACACAGAAGCAAATGAGAGAGTGCAGGAGCATTATCAAAGATAGGTAACCAATCACTGACGATCGAGAACAGCTGATCAGGTGGGTAAAACACTTTGAAGAACTTTTAAATAGACCAGACTCACTGAAACCACTAGACATCGAAGCACCATACACAAACCTCTCCATAGATGTCAACCCACAAACAATAGGAAAAATCAGCATAGCCACCAGACAAATCAACAGTCGAAAACCAGCAGCATCAGACAACATACAAGCTGAAGCACTGACGTCAGACATAGAAGTAACTGCAAACCTGTTACACATCCTATTCAAGAGGATTTAGGAGGATAAACAAGTGACGACAGACTGAAAAGTGGGATACCTCATCAAAGTAACAAAGAAAGGTGACTCAGTAAGTGTGAGAACTACAGAGGTACCACACTACTATCAGTATCAGGAAAGTTTTCAACAGTGTTGTTGAACCAAACAAAAGATTCAGTGGACGCTCAACTTCGAGAACAACAGGCCGGATTCCGTAAGGATCGATAGTTTACAGACCACATCGCGACACTATTGATCATTGTTGAACAATCAAGTCAATAGAACTGGTCACCATACATCAATCTTCTTAACTATGGTAAAGCATTTGACTGTGTGGATAGGAGAATCTTGTGGAAGCTTCTTCGACACTATGGTGTATATGAGAAAATTGTCGATTTCATACAGAATTCTTACAACAGACTACACTACAAGTCGCGCATGGCGGTCAGCTCACGTACGTAATCTAAGTGAAGATTAGTATCAGACAAAGCTTTATACTGTCGCCTTTCTGGTGGCCGACTGGATTATGAAGACCTCCATATATCAAGCAGAGCACGGATATTTTGGATCCTGAATCTCGCAGATGACCTAGTTCTTCTATCCCATAAACACCTACCAATGCAGGTATAGACAGCCAGTGCAGCATCAGTCTCTGCACCAGTAAGTCTCAACACACAAGGGACGTAAAGGCGAGGATTAGCAAAGCAAGGGTCGCATTCCTACAACTGATGAATATATGGGACTCAAAACAAGTCAGCCAACACCAAAGTCAGTATCTTTAACACAAACGTCAAGACAGCTCTATCGCACGGAGCTGCAACTTGGAGAACTCAGTCAGTCAGTCAGTAACAACGTAGAACTTCGTACGTACGTACATCAGTTCGAGTTGCCACACCACCTTAACACAGAGATGCAGTTGTCGATTCAAATACCGTAGTGGTAGAGGTAGCAAGAATGTAAGTAGTGATCGGAGACATTAGGGTTTGGAGATGTTATTTAAAGAGTATAATACAGTGAAACAAATTTGGGAAGAGAAAAAAAGAGACAAGAAGGAATCAGGAGATTAGAATTTGGAAGAACACAAAGAGTGTATGCACCTGCGCCATTGCAAACGATTTTGAGCCATGTCATTCAGGGTCTCTAACCATCGGTTGCTATCATCTCGCGGTCCCCAACCAAGTAGTCTATACCTACCGACATGACTCAGTCCACTTGTCAATGACTTCATGGACTTGTGCCATGTTTTGGTCTGGCCGCCCTTAGCTTTCTTCCAATCTACTCCTATACCACTGAACATCGCACGTCGAGGCAGTCGGTGGTTGGGCATACGTAACACGTGTCCCAGCCATCTCAACTGATGAAGTTTCACTACTTCATCAATTGATTTGCCATCCTTACCTAGTACCCGTTTCCTAACAACTGTGTTACTTACTCGATGGTCCCATGATATACGAGCAATGCTTCGAAGACACCTATGATCGAATACTAGTAACCTACGAATATCCTCTACCCTTACCGGCCATGTTTCACTGCCATAAAGTAGGACGGAACGAACTGATGCGCAATAAACACGTCCTTTGGTTGATGGACGGATATCTCGCCTACGCTATACATGACGCAAGTTGGCAAAAGCTAGTCGAGCCTTCTGTATCCGTGCTGAGATTTCGTCACACACCAGATCACAAGGGCTGATGAGACTTCCAAGAAAAGTTAAGCGGTCGACATGCTCAACTACTCCACTCCCTATCATTAGTTCGGGTGTCGATGCAACCCAATCCTGAAGCAACATTTTGCATTTCGAGGGAGAGAATCGCATGCCGAAATGCTTGCATTATTGCTTAGAATGGTCAGAAGACTTCACCAAATAGAACTATGTCATCTGCATATTCTTAGTCAACAAGTGAATCTCCTGGTAGAAGTTCAACCCCTGGAAATTTAGATGAGGAGAGTGTTATCTCTAAAAGTACGTCGATCACAAAGTTGAACAAGAATGGAGAGAGTGGACAGCCCTGACGAACACCACTCGAGGTAATCAATTCTGATGACAGTTCGCCATAAGCTCTCACTCGACCACTTGTGTTCGAGTAGGGAGCCTTTACAAGGTTAATGTACTTCTTTGGTACTCCTTTCAGTGACAAACACTGCCATAAAACCTCACGATCAACAGAGTCGAATGCCACCTTAAGGTGGGGCGTCTAAACGTGTGTCTGTGTTCTAGAACCTGACGTGGTGTGAATATCTGGTCTATACAACCACGTCCAGGTCGAAAACCAGCCTGGTTTTCTCTAGTCTGATCTTCACGAGCTTTAGTTAGGCGTCGAAGTATTATTGAAGCTAATATTTCCGACACTATATTAGTCAAACTGATTCCTCTATGATTGTCACAAGAGGACTTTTGTCCTCTCTTATAGACTGGCACAATCAGTGATTGAGACCAGTGAGATGGGATTACGTCCAGTTCCCAAAGTCTACCTAAGACCTCGGTTAATCTCATTGCTAATACTGGACCACCATCCTTAAAAATCTCAGGAGTAAACCTGTCAGGGCCTGCTGCTCTCCCTCGTTTCAGATTTCCTATGGCTTTTTCAACTTCGTAAAGAGACGGAGGACCTACATTAACTTGCCATTCAGGTCGACTGGGGATCGTGGGAAACCGAAGTGTGGCTGAAGGCCAGTTGAACTGACCCCTGAAGTGTTCTGCCCATCAATCCAATCTCCTGGATTGAGAATGAATATGTCCATCTTTCTCTGAGATTGTTTCGTTAACATTCGGGTTCCTAATACCGGTTTCTTTAACGAGTCTGAACAATTGTCTGCTATTACCTATTGCCGCTGCCTTTTCCATCTCTCTTGCTTTCGCTACCCACCACTGTTCGCGATCATTGCGTAGACTTGGAGAACTACTACAACCATCATCGAGAATGTACAAGTATTTATAAGCAGTTGTCTACGCAAGATACTCAATGTCCGTTGTCCAGGTACCATCAGCAAAAACCTACTGTGGGAGAGAACAAAACAACTTCCAGCTGAAGAGAAAATTAGGAAACGACGTTGGAGGTGGATAAGACAAACATTGCGGAAATGATCAAACTTCATCGCGAGGCAAGCACTAGCTTTGAATCCTGAGGAGAGAAGGCAAAAAGGAAGACCAAGGAACACATTGTGGAGGGGATCGGAAGAGGATATCAAGAGAATGAATAACAATTGGAAAGAAAAGGAGAGAGAAGAGTATACGACAGAGTTGGTTGGAAGTTCCTGGTCGGCGGTTTATGCCTCAACAGGAGAAACAGACGCAAATAAGTAAATAAGTGGTGGTACCTATTTCCCTAATTCTTTTTCTCGATACTCGTTTCACTTTGAACATTTCCTATTAAGTAATTTCAATAATTTTTGGTTAATGTTATTTCAGTGTCTATTTTTTCAAGTCAACTTACTTCTTAAGATGGAAATGATAAGTTTTGCTAAATGAACGGTCGATTCGATTCGCTAACTTTTAATAATCCAAGACTGAATCTACACAATAACTTGAATACGAGAGACAAAACGTCAAGTGGAAAACCAGACTGGTGATAAGGATCTACTTGACCTCCAAAACTAAACAAAATGACTTAAGAACACACCATGTTTTATGTGATTTATTTACAGCTGCTTCAATAACTTGTGAATTGAACCTCTCGATCAAAGGCTAAGGTAGTGGCCCTCCAAGAAAGCAACCTGTTTTGGTTTGAGCACCCGAGCAGTACTCGAATCCACATGCAAATTTAATTTATTGTGACGTGCACACATATTTTGGTGTTGTTTTGTACCAATGTTTAAGTGTTTAAATAAACAAACAAACAGGTCGACAGTCAACGACTGCGTGGACTGATGCCATGACTTGGTTTGGACTCCCCTAACTTTCTTCAAACCTGCTTCTACACTTCCAAACATCACCTGTTGAGGTAGGCAGTGGCAAAACATACATAGTACATGTCCCAACCACTTAAATCGATGAAGATTCACAACCATCTTATTCGATTTACTACCTTTGCTAGTACCTTAATTCTAACCTTAACATTATTTAATCAGTCGTTTCATGAAACGCGAGTGATGCTTTAAAGGCACGTTTGATCAAAAGCCTGTAGCCTAGGCACATATTTTACTCTCATATTTAACATACATAAAGTAATATCAAGTGAATTGATGCGCAGTATACAAGCCCTTTTAATGCTAGACTATGTTATACATGTATTCGAAGTCGATAAGTGAAGTTCCTGGAAAACTAACCCTTTAAAAGAAAGTGTTACTTCTAGTAAAACACCTGTGACGAAGTTAAGTAAAAAAAGGGACAGCGGACATTCCTGATATACACCACTTGAGGTTGACAATTTGATATGATAGGACCGAAATAGCAAAATTTAGTCAGTGTGAAGTTTTATCACATTACAAATATTCATATTGGAAAATCATTGATGAACTGATGTCAAATACTACTCACTTCCAATTATAGAAATATGGATGCGAATCCGAGTGTGAGTAAATCGTATACTAAGCAGTGTTTTCAGGTATCAATTTTATTTATTTGCGGGTCAAAAAGAATCTATACCACCAGTCTTTGTGTTCTTACTATGAGCCGTCAGATTTGAGGTTTTACTACGAAGCATAAGTTAGTTAAGCACTCCGTAAACACAACAGTTAGCCACGACCTCTGACTCGATCAATAGTACTGGAGTAGGGAACTGATACAATGTTTATGTACTTCTTTGGTACGTCTTTCAATGATAAACATTAGCACAGAAACTTCAGGTTAACAGGAGCGAATGTTGCCTCGAAGTCGAGAAATACAACTATAATTAGACGACGGTAAGCACGTCCATATCTTAAAATCTGAAGAGTGAATATTTAGTCTACACGTCTACATTTTCATAAATTGGGACGACCATTCAGATAAGATTACATCTACGATCGACTGGTTGTTTAGTTAATTCTTTCCTGAATTGAAATTAAATTAATTCACCCTCTAAGTGTGAGGGTTTGTGATGGTACTCGGTCGCCCAAACCGAGGTATGTTAGGTGATGATCGAACCTAGGACCTAGTGACTAGGAGTTGAAAGCTTCAACCATCGAGCCACCGCTTTCAAAAATGTGTTGTTGACCTTTCAAGCTTCGAGTTAATACGTGGGGAGTCTTCTTTCTGGTATGACTTTACGTTCAGTAGAACGCCCGGAAACGCGTCCGCACACTATGGTATGGTCGGAATCCAAACATGTGCTCCAGAAGGAGCGGCAGCCTTCTATTGACCTGTTTAAACGATAGCTGATAAGGATATAATCTATTTGTGTTTATCATTGTATTTATGTTTGGGTCGCTAGGTTAATAATATCTCTCCTTTTCTTTAAAACTTGTACTTCCAAGAATTAATCGGTTATCTGAGAAACATTTCAGCGCAGGGTCACTGTTATCTGTTCCTTAGTCTGGAATGCTATAAGACCCACCTAAGTGTTTTTCATTTCGACTTATCTTACAGACTCGGACATTAAAATGTAACTTGGAAATATTTTACAATCAACAAAATAGACTTGAAAAAAGCACATACGTTATGGAAATACTTACTATGATTTCATAACCAGGACCAACAATCGGAAGCCAAACTTTACGCATGAGATCAACCAATTCATCTGTAACTTCATTTGCTAATTCCCAAAAAGGTGAAGAAAGGTGTGTTAATAAATTCGGATTAAAACAGATAACACCATTAAAAGTATCTGCTACAAATAATAACAGAGACATTATTCAACTGTGTAATGTGGTAATCAGACGGTAATAAGTCAGTCAGTCAGCTACAACGTAGGACCAGGCACATATGTGCATCGGTCCAGGTTGCCATACCGCATCAGCACAACAAGATGAACACCAGATTCATAACAGTGGTGAGGTAAAAGGTGGTAATATATAAGAGAAAGATTGCATATAGAGATATAGTACGAGAAGAAAGAATTGGTTCGTAGAAAGAAAGATATGAAGCGATTTTAATCTCTTAGTTTAAGGGAAGATAGGGAGTGTATACACCGACGCCATTGTGATCGATTCTGAGCCATGTCACGGTAATAAGACCGACGAATCATTCTTACACACACATGTGGCTCATAGTAGAGTGGACAAGCATTTATTTATTTACCTAAACACACAAACATTGGTACGAGAAAGCACCAAATACGTATGCGCCACATAAATCATTCGATGTGTGACGGCTGGAATATTGCCCGAGAGCCCAAACCGAAGCAGGTAGACAAACATGTGCTTGATAGATAAGATATTCCTTTTTGTCGTGACCTACACATTCTAACCGAAGTTTGCGAACACAGGGGAGCAAGAACAGTTTAGATATGGATCAATTTACAGAATGAACTGATTACGAACAGCGACGTATGGGAATAGGAAAGTATTAAAGCTAGGCAATAGTTGTCTTTTGTTCCCATTTAATAAGATATTCGATAGACCCGATAGTGGAGAGACTTTCGAACAGAACCAGAGTGACCTTGTATGGGTCTGAAATTTTACAAGTGAGCTTATCAGTGTAAGGGATCAAGATAAAAAATTAAAGCTAAAAGCTAGAGTTTTCACGCACGAACTGACATTAGTTACACAGTTGCAATTCTATATAGGTATATGGAAAAATAAATTTCATGCAAAAATCTTAGTCTCTATCTCATATATTATTGGATCGCACATCAAGCATAGTCCCGCCACTTGCTTGCAGGATACACATATATGCTATGAAACACCTATTTCTTCCATGCCTAAACTTTCGATTCTCCTTGGTTTAAGATCAGTTATTCCGTCAATCCAATTTTTAGGCAACTAAAAACAGACGTATTCCTTTCGTAAGCTTCCCAAACGGATACAGTTCCACGTCTTTCACAATGGATCTCCTAATATTAACCTCTTTTACAGAAAAACACTCAGCGCCCTAAAACTAAATTATTGCTGGGTTGCGTTATTTTCTTTAGCTTGACCTGCAAACCCATTGATGAACACAGTACGTACATATATAGTGTACACCAGAACTAAAACGTTGAAGCACTTGAAAAGCGAATTAGACCACACAACACATGACAATTCCTACATCTAAGTAAAGAATCAACATCATTATTAAGAATATCTCACCATAAAAATCAGCAGATCGATCACGAAGCGTGTTTCGAGTGTGGGAATTAGTAAAGCTTATAATGTTACTTATGTAGCGGCGAAGTCTCTTCTTGATATGCATATCTGATTTGTAAGTAAAACGAACTTTTAGATCTGTGTATACTATTGGTTATAACGACAGAAGACATGAAATGCAGGAAGAAAGGTTTGAAACGACAAACACGGAGACAAATCAGGCGCGTAAGGCCGAACTCAAGGCACCCGCAAAGTTTCAGCTTTACGAACAAATTAGCAATGACTCAAGTTCAACCAAATAAATGTATTATGTCAAGTAAAATTCTAAAACTTCTGAATACAAGCTTTGAAAAAACATATATATGATGTTTGTGGTTCTTTTTGTTATGAGTATTCTATATCAAATTAAGTACTTAAATGAAAAAAGAAGAAATAGCTTTAGTCACTTCAAAATCCATTCCTTCAGTAGGTTACATAACAGTTTTCCAAAAAAGAGCACTATAACTCAGACTTGTTTGTTGGGAACAGAAGGCTAATTATAAATGTAAGTCCCTAGCAAGCTCCGATAAGTGTCTAATCATTTGCAGGCGAGGACGCAATTTCTTCTAGTAATATGTTCCAAGAGTTCAGTGATAGGCTATAAAACCTATTACCAATAGGATTTGTTTCACAATCCACTTTAGCTTATCTGATATCCTTCGTGAGTATTTTTGACCTAGTAAATCATAACACACATCTGAGGTAGGTCACTGTAAAGTGATTTAACTTTTCTAGCCTCCTTGTGCACGACAAGTCTTGGAGTTCGAGGATCACATAGGTTGCAATTTCTCTATGCTCTTTCCAGGATATCAAAGCTACCATCTAACTTAGTGAGGTTTTAAATACTCTAACCGAACACGAAAAGCAGTTATCTGCGGTTTTTAGGTCATGAACTACGATTGCCTCAAGACTGTTGTGAGACAGAAGTAATTCACTGAACCTTCCACCGCATTGAAATTATTGACACTCCCGATCGACTTAGACATTTTGGCAAGCCCTTCAAATATGTATTTATGCCTATCAGCGCTCTTTCCTCCACTTCTGATCATCTTTCGGCATCATCATCATAGATTATTAATAGGAACTTCATTATATGTGAGATTTCGTCGAAATTAGGCATAATAAGTAAAACGTCGGAATAACGTGTTCCTGTAACAATATCTGAAGTGGTCCCGAAATAATCTGTCCTGGTTGATTCCTTGTCTTAGTCTTCCTCCATCATGTGGTCCAAAATGACAGATATTAAACATTTACTGGGCAGTGGGAGAAGTGCAGACAATGCAACATACAGTTGTCTATTTTGACTTACATTATCAATATGAGCAAGTTGAGGAAAGAAGGTTGATGCTATAAATAATAACTGATGGACATCGTGATGAGCTGAACAAGAACCAGGATATTTATGGTTTTAAACAGTTCATAATCAAGAGACCTTCTTGATGGTCCAACCTCCAGGTTGACGAAATTTTGAAAGGGTTTGCTAAATCCAACTTCTATAAGATTCCTTTAACTAGTTTTTTGTAGAAGGAAGTCAGTGTGATCAGGTTCAAAGTAAATTCAAACCTAATTACAGTTAGGATGATTTCATGTCAAATGTTGTTTATCCTCAACATGAAGTCACTTCTAATGGATCCTCTAGGTAATCTGAGTAATATGTCCCAAATAGAGCAAAACTATTTGCAACTTGGAGACATGAAGATCCAACATTATATTGTGGGGGAAGATAGTGTTGGAAAATTTATCGTTTAAATTCCAGATATCAATGATTTCAATAAATACAACCGACATGCTGGTCAAATACAATTCCAGGAACTGTATGAGACTGTTCCAATTTTCACTGTTAATTCCAATACTAATGATCACATTGTTGATCACACAAAGTCCATATCCAATATACAGTCGGAAAGACAAATGGAGGACCTATTCGACTACAGAAATCTAGATACCAGTTTAAACTGTGACGGATGTGATATTTGTGTGAAGTGATGTTTCCTATGTACTTGATTGTTCTCTTATTACAAATTTTTAGACAGTTAATGAATACCACGATATTGAATCTCGATGATGTTGAAGCATACTTGGATGATATTACTGATTTAGGCTCCTCTAAAGAAGAATTACCGTCCCATTTGTATAAACTACATACAAGAGTATAGGTGTCTGGTTTTCAACCGCAAAACGTTAATGTGAACCATTTTTTGAATCCGTTAATTGTCCTCGATTAATATGCGATAAGCATGGTCGCCGATTGTTTCCGGGTAATATATATCGCATTAAACAAATGCCTTTACTGACTGATTTAATGACATTACGACCACTTTTGGGCATAATTTGATAGTGTTTTTTTCGACTATACGGAAACTGCACCTCCCGTTAGATTGTATTTATTACTGACTCATTATAACCCAAAACTGGAAACAATTATTGCCACTGATGCTTTTAGTTATGATGTTGATGCTTTTATCAGCTATTGTTTTCCAGATTGTGGGGAAAAACCTATAGCTCACCCTTCGAGCTCTCTAAATGTGACACAACGAAATTATTGTCAGATAGAAAAGGAAGCGTTGAGTTTGATGTTCACTACCAAAAATTGCAGAAAATGATTTATGGGTATCCATTTGCATCGTTTACAGTACGAAAACCCTTTGTTTTCGAATCAAAGTCCTGTATCCTGGTGTATACTGCTCATCTTTCTCAACTTTGGGTAATTATGTAATTCTCCCATGTCTTTAAAATTAATCATAAATATACGACAAAGTTTGGTCCAGCCAGTACTCTACACAGATAAATTGCGAAGCAGAAGTTCGAAAATAAAGATATTATCATCGCCGCTGTATTACTGGGAGCACATATTAACCAGATAGTAAAAATTTCAGTACAAAGAACATTTGTATCAGCAATAGATAACAAATATACTACTCAAACAGTTAGTAAGCTTCAGAGCATTATTCATTATTTCTTATTTGGCCGTTTTCTACAGTTAAATGCCAGTAAACGAGGATATTTTCAGCAACGTACCTCAATGTGTGTTGTGGATAAATTTCCTTATTTTGGGGACCGTCTAGTGGTACCATATGCTCGCTTCGTAAATTTCGATCACAAACTCACTCTACATATCTAGGTATTATCCGGATGAAATTATTGGTCAGAATTTATTTATACTGGTCAAACATTGATGCCGAAATAAGATTATGAATCAAAACGCTCCAAATGTGCTCAATTTGCTAAAGCTACTCGTTAAACTAAACTTCTCTGCTGGGGAATAACGACACGTCGATGGTCGAGGGTGCACTTGGATCTTGCAGAGCCCAATAATGACAAACATGGACGCATTTACCGAATGTTCGGAAGTACATTAAATAAACTACGTCAAATATTTAGTTGTTTCGCGTTTCCGGCAGTGACAGTCTCTAACAATGGTTCATAATTTTTATCTGTAGAATTTCATCATTTCTGAGTTCTGAACGACATTGGGGCTAATAACCAACACACTTGATGTACACTTAAACATTTTAATAATACAATACAATGTCAAATTGCGTACTTCGAATTTTAGTTCCTAATTGTTCATTGTTAGAGTTCTAGACTTAATGGGATTAATCCTATTAATTTATATTTTTTCAAATTTACAGGCATTTAACATGTCAAGACTCCTCCACATCACTCGCATCTAAGCGGGTAGGTTGAGCGGTTTGTCGACACTTATAAGAGTGCATTACAAAAAGCTCAAGGAGGAGGGAAGCTTCGAAAAAATATTACGGACGTTTTTGCTTGCTTAACGTGCGACACCGAATCCTACAACAGCTGGTACGGTTTCTCAGTCAAAAGCAATGCTTTGAAGAAAATCTCAAATACCGCCAAACGATTTGAAGCAACATGTTACGACGACTACTGAGCGAAACAAAAAATGGAGAAACTGTACAACAAGAGACGTTAGTGATAACTCGGGAGATGCTGTTCAGGACAACCAGTTATGGTACCTGATTTTCATTGCTAAAGGCGGATTGGTTTCATGGAATTATCTCACTCAGCAGGAGGGGAATAATTTATGAAGTCAATGTTAACAATATGAAATGGATAATACATGCCAACCACATACGACCATATAGACTAGAAGAAAGGGATGATGTCAATACAAAAATCCATGTCTCTGAATATGTTGGTTGATCGATGAACAAGAATACTGGATTAATGATTATAGCCACCCTTAAGACGATCACTATGGATTCGAAGAAAACCAACCAGGATCAAAATGAACTCAAATGACAAGCCTTAACAATGATGTTCAGAAAGGGATGTTGTAATATAAAATCTAATTATCACGTCGAAACTTCCACGATTTTATTGATATATATATATATATATATATATATATATATATATATATATATATTGACTACATATTTATGAAGTATTTTGGCTTTATTGTTTTCTTGTCTTTAAATTTAAGCTTTTATTTGAACGGTGAATTAGCATTTTCCACTCATAACCTAGAACTGATTATTCGTGTTTCCAGTATTCCGTTATCCCATGATTATTGTTGTTGTTCCGTGTCTGTACTGTTACCTAATTGGTTTGTTCTGAGACCTGATCTTGTGTGTATTTAAATGAATGTATGAAATAGATTAACGATCTTGGACTGGTGAACTCTGGTCACGTATTCAACGTCTTCGTTCTGGCCTAGTCAGTATTGAGTCAATCTTCAGAAATAGTGTATCAGTCTTCCTCGTACATGCAGTGTGTTGGTTTCTCAGGGTTGTCTGTGCGTTTTGGTTGGTTGTAAGATATAACTCGTGATAAGTCATAAATGCAGTTAAATTAAGCACGATGTCCTGGTGGTTATCCTAACAAGATGCATGATTTACTGTGGTGGAAATATCTTTTAGAAATGATTAACTGGCTTGTAATTGACAATCAAACTGTATACTATTTGAACTTCCAGAATTACAAAAAAATGAAATAGTTGACTTCAATGGACATCGATCTATTAACAAATGTGATTACTGAAAAGTTACACTTTATTTCTGAGCTCAAACTACAATAAATGTGCTTGAAATTATTTAAACGTCTTTTCAGAATAAGCTGGCAATGACGTGTTAAAGCTATTTTAGCGTAAATTTGGGAAGTGAGAATTTGAGGTATATGATATGGGCTTCTAGGTATCTTTAAATTGGTGTTTTCAGGACAACTTGTCATAGCCGTCTTATGATTGAGACTTTATGTCAAAACAGTTTTGTGGTCATGATTTTAGTTGAATGAAATCCTATGAAACCTTAAATAAAGTTTTTTTAGGAGAGATTAAAAATAACTTTATATTTGATAAAATTTTAAATATTTCATAATTAAATATAAATGAATAGTTAAATGTTTATCTGAATTTTCCCTATGGTCAGATCAACAAGCCTTTGCGAACTGCTTCTAGGAATGTTAGAAATAGTTATCACCTATGTTTATATCTTTCTATTAATACTAAGGTTTCGGATGGAAAATGTAACTTGGAAATCATATAAAAAAACACTATATTGTGGCTTGTGTTAAAAATCAATCAAACAACGGGTGAACTTGAACTTATTAATTGGAATAAAATCATTACTATCACAAATGTCAAACCTGAATCTTGTTATCATAAATAGTATTATTGTATATTTGTCATTGCATAGGTCATGTTGTATCGAATAATATCGCCTATGAAGAATGATCACAAAATCATTTTTGTGTTGACTTTTATAACTTCTGATCGCTTTACTTTAATAGTCGCTTTAATCTTCATAGTTCAGAATATTTTTAATCGAATGGGATTGATAATTCCCGTTTTCGTTATACATTATTCATTTTCACCTTCTGTTGATTTTTAGTAGTTACGTTTGCATAATTCAATGCATTTAAGCGAAACCAGAATAAATACTTCAACTTTCATTGCTCATTATTTAATTAGTCTATATACTTGTTTCGTTATATTCTCATTGTCAAGTGAGTATTTCTTTGACAGAGTAGATCAATTTGAAGTTAGTTTTAGACTGGAAATGGTATCAACTAAAGAATTATGGAATTACAGAGAGTAGTTATTTCGTGACTAATTTGTCACCGTCAAATAGCCGATTTTTGACTATTTTCCAGATAACACCAGTTTGTGAATAAAAATATCTTCTAATGGTGATGTTGACAATTTTAGAACAATCAATTGACATCAATATGGATAAAAATTCACTTGAATACCATAATTCACAGAAAAAAATATTTATAGGAAGGAACACAAAAGTAGTCCCACTAAACTTACTTATTTTAATTTGTTCCTCATTTGATGAATTGATGTGATCTGTTTTCCCAAGACGATTTTGATCAATTATTTCTTTAGATCCGATGGCTGTATTATTATTATTATTATTATTATTATTATTGATTTGAATCAAAGCATCACTGATATTTCTAGATGTTGTATTTTCGCTTGTTTCTGCTTGAGATGTAGTTTCAATGCCGAAATTAGGTGTGAACCTACTGATTACCAACATCCCATTATTTCCAACACCACAGATAAGTTTGGTGAATTCTTCACCTTTTTGCTCGGTACTCACATCTTGATATTCCTGTTTATTTATTATTGTGGTTGCCATCATTGTTACGGGTGTTTGTTGTTTAAATGATTCTATATTATCAGCTAAGTTAACATTTGCTAAATTTAATAATTTACAATTTTTATTAATTAATGATTGGTCAGAAAAAGCCACTGGACTTAATTGATCAAGATTATTTTTATTATTCTCCAGTGGTGACACCATTTCCTTAACTTTCTTTTCTTCTGAAAATATACTTTCATAACCATGTAAACACGTACATGATGAATCGATGAATTCTTCTATTAATTCCATGTGTAATGTATTTGATTGGTCAAAATTAGTATTATTTAATGGATAATTCTCGTGTTGATATAACATACTAACCCCTGATTGATTTGATGAGTCACTTGCTTCACTGTTGATTACATTATACTTCAATACATTATTGTCTACTGAGTATGGTTGATCTGAATTTAGATCAGAGTCTGAAATTTCATCATGATTTACCAATCGATTTTGTGGTTCATTATTGCTCATTTGGAAAGAACCTTTTAGAAAATGATATTAAGAGGCAAATTAAAATTATGTATAGAAAGTGTTTATGTGTGGAAAATACAGTTTATGATTAGGAAAATACTCTATCATGTATTTATCACAGCTTAACTATAAAAATGAAGGTTATCGTCACATATGACTCAGAAACTAACGCTTGTGTAGACATATGAAATGTGCTTTGAACTTAACACTTGTCACTGCCAAACACTCGAACACTAACCTACAAACTTCAAACTGAAGATACTTACTCCCTGTATAACAAATGTTAGTTATAATTAAAGCTGAATTATTAAATGTGAAACCCATAAGCAAATAAACTTGACCTGTCTACACCTATAGTTCCTTAACGAACGACTGTGAGCTTAAATAATTAGTAATTTAGATGTCTAGACACCATATTGAAAATAACAGTTGCCAAATAATTGCAAGTTCACTATTAAAAGCTGAGAGACAGTTTACGAAAAGAAATTTTCGAATATCTATCGTAAGCAAGTGGATTGTGTAAACTGAATGAAACGTTAAATAACTTAAGAAAGTAAAAAAAAACGGTTTTATTGGTACTCACTTTTTGAGATATTACAGAGTATTTATAGATCAGAAGTGAGCTTTGAAGGCTCTAGGTTCCCTGAGGTGAATGATGTAATCGTGAAGTTTTCAAGTAATATTTCTTTGTCTCTCAGATGACTTTGATGGATGTATTCTTCGTTATGCTGTGTGTTAATACAATACTCAATGATGAAGTATTTGATAGGTCTTTAGATACTTCTTTCCGGACGGTATATATATATCTGGCTTTACGAAGCCGTTCAACAGTCAAATATTATCTGTTAGCCCAACGAAAGATATTGGACTGAACAATAATACTATCCATAGGGTTAAGACAAAAAGACTTTTCTAAAATATATGGCAGTCCCTGTTAAGAAGATAGCAAATAAAGCGCTTCGAGTTTTATGCCGTTTTTAATCAATATTAATATTAAGTATACATTTTCAGCTAGTATTCCCTTATGGATTTTTGACTATTCCTTTTATGGACAGATTTATAATTTTTCAGTTTTAATTCTCTTTATCATGATCTTAACCCTAAACCAAGGATGATACCTATTTTCTTCATTGTTAGTTTGTTAAACTATGAGGACTTGCACAATGATCTAAAGAGTGAAACTGATGACAGGGAGATTAAACAACCGGCGTGTTCTCGGACAATTCGATATTCATATACCTCATAAGGTTGGAGTAACGAGTATGACAGACGAAAATTATGGGATCTTTATGTGATTTGGAAATTCTATCATAAAAATTATTTGATGTTCTTCATAAAACAAATCAAGCTCATTCCATTTAGAAGTTATCAGTTATAATGATAAGCCTACCAGTTTGGAATAGTTAAAAGCGAACAAATTCATAACTAAATCCATTACTATTATTTTAGGCGTCAATGTCATCTCCACTTTTTTTCTATAACTGTTAATCTGAATACATGATAAATAAATCAATTATAATATTTAAAAGCAATACCCGCTTTTTTTAGTTCTTTACAAAGGAAACCACAAAGGTAGCGTTTCAATTTTAGTGTGATATTTGCATCAGACTTCTTCAAAACTGAAATGGCCTTTATGTTATCTAGACCACTTAGAGATATTTCATTTACCTGTGAATGTGAAAACAGGAAATATGACATGGTAAATTTAAAATATAAGATTATACTACTTAATTATACCTCATATAATGTAAACTAATAAAATGACATTTTAATTAAAGTTGGTTAGCGGCTAGTAGTGAAATACAGCACAAGCATTTCATCCTCCTACTTCATAGACATCAAAGATCATGCATTCTCATCAAAACATTGGGAAATTCATTTTCAGGAAAATCTCTAGATAGTATACAAATAAGCGAAAGTTTATTGGATTTTGTTATCACTTTCATTAACTTACCAGTAAATACTTTGGTTAATCAGACAACCGAAGTTCGTATTCAACACAATGATAGCTGACAGTGTTCACAAAAAACACTAGGTCGTTTCGATTAGTTTTTTTAATGAAGATGCTTGTTAACGATTTCTTCTGAATATTTGTTAGAAAGACTCTATAATAAGAAACGTTTACTTCAACTGGCTAATTACTGAACACATGGAAGTCGATTATCTTTTAGACCGAGTATGTTGGTGATTAATTATACATATAATATCTGATAATAGCTTTTTGGTTATCTAGTTTGATAACTCTCCTCTTTTCAGTTATTTTCTTCGTCAGCAGATTCTTTAAAAGTAATCGTACTATAGTTTCTTGCGTTGAAGTGAAAGTTATCTACTTTATTTCTATATCCATCTTTTTTTCTAGAATCTTAGAGGGCTCCGATGATAGTTTACTTCAAAGGCATTGGATTTTTGAAGAGGCTGTACGGATGTAATTCACTTGTAAATAAGGTAAACACCTGTTTCTAGATATGGTAATAAATCTAACCGATTTAATATAGTTGTTTATTTTGGATTAAAATTAATAGAATATGAAATTATTGACAGTTAACATGTGACTACGAAATAACTAGACTTATCTGCAAGACGAACTATTGGTTTCAATACACAATAAAATTTATTAAGACATATCAGTGTAAAGATTTGCTGCTGTAATATATTTTACCACCTTTCTTTCAGTCATCGAATAAATATTCTTCATCAACTTCGTTCTGTCATTTCATTATCTAAATAAATAAAAGCGGCTATTTGGAATATATATTATTAATAAGAAACACCCAATAGTACTGAACGTTTATTCTCACTTGAATTATTTGATCATTTACTTGAATTGATTTTGATTTATCCGATATACTGTTGGGAGTGATCTTTTGTACAAAAATTCCTTTATTGTATGCATTTTCTAAAAAGAGAAACATAATATTTACCAAAATGATTTATTATTTGTCTACCTTAAGTTGTGTTAGTAGCACAAATAGTTATATTTTATTTTTTCCTATTCAATAAATGTGTCTCACATGTGATGAAACATATGCTGAATCATGGAAAGAAATCGAAAACTAAGAATCATTTTCGTCAATTCAAGCAATATATGAAGATTTTTCTTTAATGTAAGAACACCAATCTCTTTGTTAGAAGTGAACTCTTGATTTCTTTATTGATGATATTTATCTGAAGAACACTTTATTATGTATAGTCCATGTCTCAGTGTTTATAAATATTGCTTCGTCAGTTGATTGTAAAAATCAGTTCAGTTTTTGAGGTAGGTCTCATCACAGATACAACTCAACTGGTGGACTGCTGAAATAAAGGAAACAATGAGTCAGTCTTTCCTGGTTTGAGGCTCCCCAACTGTACACAATTAACTGGATCTGGAAATTCATGTTACTCATTTGACATAGAATCGGTAGTATTAGACCTCTTAATATTAGATCACTAGTAGGTTTGAATAACCTGATAGAGCATTTTAAATAAATCTATTTAGTCGTACTTCATAAATAATGCTTAGAATCGTTCTGTGTATTAACTCATGCTTATGGAGGACCAATGCAGCATCATCGTCCGTCAGACTGTAGGACTGACTCAAACAGGAAGTATAGTATGATCTGTATTTTAGTGTATTAATTTTTCACTTCTTTGTGGTTCGGTTGAGTCAAGATAAATTGGGTCATTCATATGATATTTTCTTATTCTAAATCATTCAAGACACTTTACCTTGAAACCCACGTTGTTTCGGTTTTTATTTTCAACAGACTTTTGAGGAGGAACCACTGTAACCATGACACACCAAATAATTGTTTAATCCTGGTTTATGTCTTCTCAAAAGAATATTTAAGATTCCCATTGTGAAAATTAGAACACACATACACGAACAATATTGTTTTCAATTAGATCGTCATCAAGCTTGACTCTAATATACATGAATATTTATGCGAAAATGTTAAACCAATCCCGATAATTTACATCAATAATCACCACACATAATAGTTAAAAATACGAATTTCTATTATTACTATTTATTTATTTGTTTTATTCTATTGTTGTTATTGTTAACCTTATTTTCACATCCATTATTTGTTTGTAATTTTCCGCCTCTTTCCGTTTGTATTCTTCACTATCTAATTATTTACACACTTCTTATTACGTAATGATTTTAATGTCTTGTGATGACTGTTCCAAGTCTATTTACCGACGTTTGACCTGCTATTTCCAACGTTTAACCATAGATAAGAGTTTTGTTATTGTATTTTATTATTCTTACTATTATCAATTCACCTGTCTTCCTACTATCAACTTGTACTTTTACCTATTACGTGTAGTGACTTATTCTATTTCATTGTGATTATTGACCCATATTGCCTTGATTGGTTTAACATTTTTGTATAAATATTCATGTATATTAGAGTAAAGTGTGATGACGATCTAATTGAAAACAATTGTTCGCTTATATGTGTTGTTCTAATTCTCAAAAGAACTCACCTACTACCACACCAGAGATCAGACCCAGAACCTTCCAGTCACTCTGTAAGAGTGCTTCTAAAGATAACTGAGTGGAAAATCAATGTGATATAGTGAAACTGTTATCATGGAACGAGTATAGGAAAAGTCAGAACTTTCGGAACTATTTTTCGGATTATTATTATTGTCCATATTTTTACGGCATGATTTATAGATAACTTTATTATTGTGTTCTCACATTCGCCGTATCGTAAGCTCCCAGCGGACTTACCAACTACTGTTATGCCTGTTACTGTTCCCTAACTATCGCTAATTAATTATGTACTATTTACTTAGCTCTGACACTTATGACATGGTGTCTAAAATATTACTTCTTGTTCGATCTGCTTCAGGATCCGACAGTCCGTGCATATTATCTAGTGACTGTTTGAAACAGATGTTATGCTGGCTGGTTGGTCTGGATAATTAAAATATATTATTAATAAGAGACTGAGTGTAGATTTTTCTCTGAAATTAAGGTGGGAGATGAAGAAAAGGCTTTCGGATAGACGAATCAATAAGAGTATGGCTCATGTAAGCTCAAGGTCAGTTGTTTCAGTCAAAACCTATTATTATTATGGATAAGGTCTCTAGGATATAAATGAAATAGCAAACTCGCGGTATAGTCGAAAGTCTGATTAGTAAATTCGGCACGTGATATAGATAGCGTATTTTAAATAGATCATCATCTAGTTTTATGAAACATACTTTCTTCACAAACCAGCACATCTCAACTCTCCCAATCAAGGTGACTCACTAGAATGTATGAAATTTACTCTGAGTTAGTAGATATGTTTAATAATGATACAAAAACAGCTCAGTTATACGGGCGTCGGTAAGTAATCTAATCAACATTACTCGCTGCTAAATATTGAGAAAAACGCCTAAAATATATTGAGATAATAGCTTATGATCGTTTTCCCAAAGTTTCACCGTTTCTTCATGATGTACTGTGACTTTGATTTATTCAAATCTTCTTTGAAATTTTCATAAATTTAAAACAACCTTTCTTAAAGTAAATGACTATTATTAGTCGATAATCACATGTTTTTCATTTAGTAACGTAATATAAAGTTTCACTCCACAATTTGACGTACTTTCAGTTTAATTCGGTATTTATGTACTGAACACTTGAAAATATTCATTATGTAATAATTTTTGGAAGCTTCAAAACATTAGATTGTTTACTTGTCATCTGTCACTTGCAATCATGAGAGAAATTAAAAAAAGCAACTCATGAATGTAATTGAAACTGGGTTGTATGAAGTGTGAAACTATTCATAGTTTATTATTTGGTTGACATTTAAAATAAAACTCATTTAATATAATTGTTTTCTGTTTTCCAAAGAGGTAAAATGTTAATTCACTAGCTTTCAATCACCGGAGTTCACATAACTGGTTACTTTGTGATAACCAAAGCAATGCTTATGTTTTTGGTGAAGTTGTCTTGTCTGACCTAGATACGTTAGTCATTGATAAGTCTTGTTAATTTGAACGCTTTATATGATTCCTAAGCTATTCTGGTAACCAGCAAGCTAGAACTACGCAGCGACCTGAACACGAGAGAAAAGGCGCAAAATAAGCGAAAAGCACTTTACTCCTAATGTTCATTTTTGTACAGAAAACACGGGTATTTATAGATATTAGCATTTATCAAATCAACATTATATTTTGGCCAATCCGCTAAGAGACATATTATGCTACTGACCACCAGTAACATGCCACGTTGATATACCTAGAAAGCTCCATCATGCTCTGATTGGCTGGAACTCTTCGGCTCCTTTAGAGCCTCTAGAGGCTCCCTTGTAGTTCTCGGAAAGCTGACTCAACAGTCATGAAACTTTCATCATCCGACTACAGGGAATCATCAGCGCGGACTTCAAATAGAAGCAAACCGTTAACATTTCTACACAAGTTAAATCCCAGAATAGTAGAGGTAGTTACGGCAACAGCAGTAATAGGAAAGGTTAGATATGGAAGATATGATTCGAGAATAAAATACAAATTAGTAAAGTAAACACACAGAAACGGTCATGGGGAATTAAGAAACTCAGAATTTAGAGGAAGATAAAGAATGAATCCACCTGCACCATTGCGAACGACTTTAAGCCATGTCATTCAAAATATCTAACCACTGACTGCAGTAATCATACAGACCACATCCAGGTAGTTTATTCCTATAAGCATGGCTAGGTCCGATTATCAGTGACATCATGGACGTACGACATGCTTTGGTTTGGGCACCCTTAGCTTTCTTCCAAATTAATTCTACGGCAGAAAACATCACGCTTCGAGGTAGGCGGCGATCGGACATGCGTAACACATGTACAAACCATCTCAGATGATGAAGATTTACTACCTCTCTAACCGATTGCCCATCATTTAGCTAGTACTCGATTCCAAACCAGGGTATAGCATACTCTATGTTTAGAACATACACGAGTGATGCTTAGAAGACACCAATGATCGAATAGCAGTAACCAACGAATAGATGGAGAAACTCAATATCCATGGTTCATATACCATCAGCAACACTTTACTGCGGGAGAGAACAAAACAACTTCCAGCTGAAAAGAAAATTAGGAAAAGACGTTGGATGTGGATAAGACAAACATTGCAGAAATGACCAAACTTCATCGCGAGGCAAGCACTAAATTGGAATCCTGAAGAGAGGAGGCAAAAAGGAAGACCAAGGAACATATTGTCAAGGGGATTGGAAGTAGATATCAAAAGAATGAATCACAATGGGAAAGGATTCGAAGGAGACTGCTATTGGGTGACTTATGATCCTCCTTGAAGGATAACAAGCAAATATAAGCATGTTTAGCACCCGTTAAGTATAGTGTAGCAAACTGCTGAGCAGTAAACTCGTCATTTGTTCGGAACATGGATATCTCGCCTACGCCACTGTTCATTCAAGTTAGCATAAACCAATCGAGTCTTCTGAGTCTGCCAAAATTTCACCAGACCCCAGATCATCAGTACTGATGAAACTTCCTAGATAAGTGAAGCGATCGACACACTCAATTACCTCACTCCCTATCACTAATTCAGGCGATGACGCAATTCAAACCGCATTCCAAACATGTTTGCATTGTTCTTATGTTGATCAGGAGACCGTATTCTGTCAAAGACTTCACCAAACTGAACTATAACATTTGGGTATTCTAAGTCAAAAACTGAACCTACTGATAGAAAACCAACCTCTGAAAGGTCAGAGGATGAAGGTGCACTCTATTAGTAACCCAGGTATAGCTTACTCTATGTTCACAGCATACACGAGTGATGCTTCGAAGACACCAATGATAGGATAGTAGTAACCAACGAATATCCTTCATTATTAATGGTTACGTTTCACATTCATAAAGTAGAACGGAGTGAAATGCTATAAGTTTTAATGAACAAAGACTTACGTAGTGTACATTGAATACACCATTCACACATTTTCCTTGAATTGTCCCTGACAAGCTTCATCAATCTTTCATTCCTATCACTTATTGGATTACTTTGCTTTTCTTTCTTTTCTCCTGATATTCCTCTTCTGTGAGTAAGAATCCTACTCCCAGTTCTTGATGGATGCTAATTATATCTGTCCGTATAAGTAGCACACATCACAGTAAACTCTTCCTTTTGGTTGGAAGACATATCTTGCCTACGCTACAAAGTGACGCGAGTTTGCAAACGCCACTCTAGCCCTCTGAAACCATGCCTAGATTTTGTCAAACACCAGAACATCAGTACTCATGAGACTATCAAGATAAATGAAGCGATCGACACGCTCAACTGCTTTTTTATGATATCATTATTTTAGGCTATAACCCAAGCCAATCCTGAAGTAACAATTCGCATTTAGAGGAGAAGAACTTCATTTCAAACGTGCTTGCATTGTTGATCAAGGTGGTTGGAAGGCTAGATTTCGTCAGCATCTTCACTAAATAAAACTACATCATTTGTTTATTCCATCCAACAAGTGAATCTCCTGATAGAAAATCAACCTCTGAAGTGTTTGGGTAGAAAGTCTGTTCAAGGTCAGTATACGACTTTGGTACGCCTTTCAATGACAGACACTGCCTCGCAACCTCACAATCAATGAAGTCGAACGCTATCTTAATCACAAGGAATACAACTATGGTCGGACATCGTAGAATTAATCTACGTTCCAGAACCTTCTTCGGAGTGAATAATTAGTCTGTACATCTACATCCAGGATTTTGAATATCACTCCAAACTACCTCGGAGTAGAAATGACTTTCATGGTTAAATTATTCTTTCTCTAGCTGGTTTTGAAATATATTCGTAGCTTTTTCATCATCAAGTTGAATTATAGAGGGTTTTCTTGCTGTGTCTTTTCTCGTCCAGTAATACGCAGACAGATACGTGCTCAAACTACTGCTTAATTCGAGTCTAGAAATGTGCTTCAGAATGAGCAGCAGTCCTTAATCGAGGACAATCAACGACGGATGATGGCAATGTGATCAATTTGAGCACATCGATTAGTCGATTGTGGAGTTCACCACGCCAAACGATGTTTCTCCTTATGTTTAAAGTTGATGTTAGCTATAAATATTTGGTTATCTGAGCATAGTTGTAGCAAGCAGTCGCCATTTTCTGTTCACTGAGCCATAACACTGTAAGATCCGTCTAAGTGCCTTTCGGTCTGGTTCAGTTTACCTGAACATTAAAATCACCAGTCACCATTACTACATCAGAGCGTTTGGATTTTTGAAAGAGGCTGTATAGCTTCCTATAACATTCATCATCTGCTTCATCCGAGTTGCAAACTGTGGAAGCATAAGCAGAGACAGTGAAGAGATAATGGGATGTGTCTCTGTCCTTTTAAGTTGTTACTGTTCCGTTTAGTTGGGCAGTACATACACTACTGTCTACTGAGAACCAGTCTAGGTAAGCTAGTTCTACTTTTGAACTTAGTGATATACCTACTCCAGTTAAGCCACGGGAAGTGACAATAGGGTCTCCAGGTACTCAAGGGGTAAATCGTATGGATTCTTGATGTTGATAAGGTAGGGTCAAACAAATTACTGTACTTGGATCCCGTATGCGCACATGGGCAACGCAGCATGCGTCGATGGAGCGAAATTCTGGAGTCTTAGTTAAAAAAGCTTGTCCTATGGGACAGAAGGTTTGAACATTAAAAGCTCCGACATATGGTTTAGAGAGTGGTTTCAGGAGACCAGAAATAACATTTTATGAACTTAAATCATTAGCATTGGTGGCACGTGAAAATAAAGATAAATAGGAAAGGTTGGTCGTGAGGATGGAAGAATTATTAAAAGGTGAATAGGGGATTTGATGGTGAACAATATGATCTCGGGTGCTGTTAAAGGTATGAGAGCGGTTGAAGGATATTTCTTGTTGAGGGACCTGAAAAGGAAGCTGAATTAGTGGTGGCTTAAGTGGCCTGGTAGCGTGACTATAGAGTCTAAGGGTTAGCATCTTGAGGCCGGTCGCACACGGCCTTTTTATGAGACATTTTTTATGCGTTAGCTCCGCACATTAAAATATGAGTTTTTATATAGTACATATTGATAAAATTGTGAGTTTTTTTCGAGCCCATATTACGTATCTTTATCACAATCATCTCCTTGAGTTACAAAGCTTCCCTACCATCTCACTGTCTATGTGTGAAGTCGTGACGAAGACAAAGAGATGGAATAATAACTTGTTGTCATTTAGTCATGTGCCACAATACCACTGTGTATTGTCATGAAACCTTCTGTTGATATTTCAATTTGATCATTACTTGTGAACAAAATGATTTAGAAACCTTGAAGGAGCTGATACTCCATGAAGGGATATTGACTAAATAAATTATCACATTGAGAATTAATTTTTTCTTAGTTCCAATGTGTTGTTAATTTTAAGAAGATTGTATATGATCATAATCATTTCATAAAAAAAAGCATATTACTAACTTACTATCATATGGATTTTTATAAATATATCCAACTACACTTAGACCTAAGCCTTGATCCTTTGATTTTGTTAATTGTACAGTGTGAATTTCAGTTTTTTCTGCCTCTTCATCGCCATTTTCTTGTTTATTATTAATATGAATTGATAAGCCTTGTTGACTTATATTCTCAAGAACATGTTCATTGAAAGAAGATGAGATAGGATGATCAATGGAGTAGTTTTGATAATTTAATGTTGTGTTGCAATCAATTTTTAAATTTTCATTATATTTATCTTGATTGAATAGATTTTATGAAAAAGAAAAATAAAAGCAATTATTTATCACTAACATGAAACTACTTATTAAAAAAAATGCATTTTATAGAGCAGTTAATAAAACGGAGTTGATTTGAAAAATGTGATGGATGTACGCTGTACGTTTCAAACAATATGGACAAACATATACATGTTGAGGTCAATTAAATAAAAGATTCAATAAACATAAAGTGATAATTGCATAGGAAGAGAAAAAATTAATGTAATATAGAATGACATTATCATACCCGTTTTTTCAACCCATTTTAAAGCTTCTTTCATCCCCTTTTTTTACAGTGGGATCAATTGTTTTAAAAATGGAATCATTGGTTACTATTTTTTTTAGGAGGAATATAAAAACAAAGAATAACTTTTGGCTTGACATATTCTAGTAACTATGAGCATGAGTAATTTAGCATACACTGGCATAGTGATTTCGAACACAATCATGGGCTCAGAAAGTGCGTTCCGGATAACCAATTTGTGTATGGAAATGATCGAAGTTCAGGGAACTACGCCTTACCTTAAAGTTACATCACTCCCCTGGTAGGGTTTTAGGAATTTCAGCAGGACGAAGACAATAATCTGCATCATGTGGTTGAGCAAAAAAGTGTGATGCATTTGCGTTCATTCATTCGAACAATTTGGTCAAATAAACTCCACCTTCTCATTTTTCGGTCAAACTTTATAAAAGGGACTAATTGTTTTACATTTGTATTACGTTTAATTTGCCATTCCTGATTAAATTGATTTGTCTACTTGCTGCTTAAATGCACTTGATTTTGATGAAACACGAAGAACTAACAACGAATATTCATTTCTCTATTAAATTCCTGCTCTGGATATGAATCTGATGGAGTTATCCATTACCTTCACCCATCATACAACTTCTGCTCTACGGTCTCCATTTCTGTTACGGAAGATAAACCGGTAACAGCTGTTGAAATAAAGCTTTTTTGAAATCTCAGAACTTTTTATGTTGAGTACATCTGTTTCTTAACATCTCGTAAAGGGTATTTTGTTGAATGTATTATCTCCAATTCTAATTACAATTGTAGAGGGTGAGATTGGACATTATTCAGTTGTTCCCCGGTTTGCGGTTTATAAAGAACGTGGACAAGTAAATAATAATTTTTAATCTATTCTATCATGTTATAATTTAAAAATTACTTATCAACGGTTGAAGCATTAAATGACTCGTTTTACCTGTGCATATAAGGATCAATTATTACCGGAACAATACAATATGAAGAATAATTTACCATTAGTCATATGGTGATTGACTGATTGGAAAAAAAAACCTGTTTAGAGTCGTCTACACAATTATTTAAATTTTTTGTTACCTTTCATTGTGTTAGGATTTCTGTATATCACTATTCATCGAAGAAATAACTTATTTCTATTTAACCTGATGTATATAGGTTTTTTCTGCGTCTGTGAATCGAGTGTTGTTGATGTAAAGTTAGCACTACCCATTGACATTAAAGCAATTATGGTATTCTTTTCTTTAGCATTAGCGATAAATTTTAAAGGTATGACAATAAATATTTTCAAAAAATGTAGTGACTGATTTAAGCATTATCGAAATACGTCCCCAGTATGTCTAGCTGTACCTTGTCATGTATGAAGACATAACATACTATGAAACAAATTATCTCTGGCTGGAATACGTCCACATATGAATCTAAACTACTGATAGTGTTGTTGCTAGAACTCACTGTTATCGAAAGGGCAATCGCTGAACAAATTATTAGCTTTTATGTTTTTCTTAAAGCAACATTAATAACTAATAATAATACCACTTACAAAACTATGATTAGTGCAAGACAAGTATGAGGAGTACAAAGGGTAAGAGGTGTGTAAAAAATTGTCCAATAATGCGTGGGCGGATGTGAATAATAAATCTAAACCAGTTATTTTAATTATATGTGAAAATTATATTTGAAATAGTCTCAGTGATTGAAATTTAAAAATAATTCCAACATTTCGTCCAACGAACTTGTTTGGATTTCTTCAAGGCAATGATCAGAATTAAAATCATCAAAGAATGATGATATAGCATGTTAACAATCAAATCTATATATTGTGCTAATCCAATCATATAATGGATGTTGTACTTTAGTAAATAGGATAACAATATGAGTTAGTTAAATGCGAATTCTTTGGAAAGTTCACGATGGCCTAATGCAGTTTGACTGGCTGCCTAACTTTTAGAACAAAACAATACCAGTTTCACGAAAACGACATAAAGAACTTTAAAGTCCTACAAATTGACATGTAGTATTTCCATACTCAAAGCAATTTCTACTGTGCATCTGAGGACTGAATTTTGAATGAAAGAACGTCCTCAAAATATACAGATTGTAAAAACAAAACGATAATTGAACGTCAACCTAAAATTTATTGCCTTCAAGATAAACTGACAGTTGCTGTATGTTAATGATTGAAGCATCACCCACACCTACCTGTGACAGAGGTCACTGCATTATTCAACACGTTCACAGTCGTTGATGTATCAGACACTTACAGCGTATCCGGCAATCCCAACTACTGTTCCGAAAACAGATTGTCATACCTGTATCTTATGGTCCATTATGCACGTATTAACTAAGAAACCTGTGTAGAATTCATTAGTGTAAGACGGTTACCATCTGAAATCAACCTCTCAAATGTGGCTGTCAAAAAATATTTCCCTGTCCCAAAAATTCGGACCAACTCCATTTTTTTTACTGCTCGATCAAAACTTATCAAAGGGGTTGGTTACTTTAAAATACGTATGTAAAATAATTATTGTATGCGGGCAATGAAAACAGAAGTAAGGAAATTCGTCGATGGATTTTAATTTCATTGAGTATTTACATAAGAAAGTTGAGATACATGTTTCCTTGAATATACTATCATTTTATCACATATTAGTAAGCCATCCATGGGAATATTGAGTTCCAATAGCTACTATCTACTCAACGAATCATATTAGATTGTTGAAAATTCGAGACAGTACGTCCTGTTTGACATAGATCTTGTACTATTTGAAACTGGTCGAAAAGTGGTATACCTAATATTGAGAGACTTATTTTTTGATGTGGTCTCAACTTCTGTCGTTCAGTGTTACGACCAGGAATATTAATACAGCTAACACTGAACTTAAATAATTCAAGAGACTAAACAGTTCAGTAATGAAAACTAGCTTCATGAACAGAACACTAAACATCAAAAATGGAACAAATATTTCATCCACAGAGTAATACAAGTGATTTAAGAAATTTCTGTGCAGATAAGTGAGAAGATAAGCTTTACTCTTAGCATTAACCATTTGCTTTAACAGACAATCTACTTAGCCCATTAGTATAGGAATATAATTACAAATGAAGATATTAGAACTACATGGCACAATAAGTCACAGACAAGACCAATAGAAGAAACCAGCTTTTTGATTGTAGAATAGTTCCAATATGCTCATTCCTATGTAGACCTGATGTCCGTATTTATCTAAAGAGCAAAACTGAATACTCTGGAATTACACAGAGATATAACTTTTTGAAAATTACTACAAGCGACGAAATACTACTCATCATGCAAAACGAAAGCAAAGAAGACAGATAGATAGTTAGATAGACAGGTGGTTAGTTAGTTAGTTAGATAGATAAATAAATATTACACACCAAAAATCAATCCGAACTCTATCCGGATACAGTGATTTTTTATGTCTTTTATTCACACCTACCAATATTCATATTTGAATTGATTAAACTTAGTAGATCTTGACAACAGTTAGTCAATAATTTGGTATTCCTTCGAATATTGAATCGATCCGAGTTGAACTAATATTGAAAAACTCTTCAGCAGTGAGCATCCACAACCCCGAAAGTGAAAATCAAGCTCAGGGCCTTCTGTCTCGCTTACGAACACTTAACCTGGCATACTAATTTAGTGAATGCTAATCACAAGGATCTTTGTAAATACTGTATGGCGAAATGTGGTATAGAAGTTGTCGGATAAAGTGACGACTCTCAGTGCTTTGAAAGCACAACATTGACAGTGCACTTGGAGGCCTGTCTAGAAGACAGTTCAGTTTTCGGAACACACCGGAAGACGCAAGTACACATTTGAAGGCTATGTATAAGTATTGTGTAAATACTTTGTAACTTCTCTTTTCCTCCTGCCTATTGTCGTGTTTAACACTAGAATGAAACGGCCTTCCAGTGCTCCTGGGTTTTCAGTGCTGATCTAACTTGGGTCCCTTCAAGATCTCAATGAGATTCAACAACCTCCACAAGTCCTTACTGACAACAACAGGATAAATTAACACAGTTTAAAATTTCACGATAACCAACATGTGAGCAATAAGAAATCGATTTTGAGCATCACTCGTACTCACATCACATAAGATTTTAACCATCATATCAAACGCTACTCAGAGAATGTAGTAATTAAATACAATTAAGCCGCACTTCATAAATAATACATGATAAGTATATTTCTTTAAAAATGTTTAAACTTACTATCTAAGCGAACATTTTCAATAACTCGACTTGGTAGATTATTGTGAACCTCTTCAATATCAGATTCTGAGCAATTTTGAGGACTTGTTATAACCTGAAGTGTCGAGCACGGTTTCACCTCTCGAAATTGCTGAAACTAAAGTAACAAAACTGGTTATAATTTTCACATATAATAACTTCTCTATACTCGGCGCCCTATTTTTGTCAATTTATTCATCCTAATATTGACGAATATTCGCATAAATTATTTCCCAATCAAATTAAATTATCAGAGAAAAAATACATAACTGGTACAATCACAGAAGTTTTAATCTGCGATATTTAATACAAAATGTTTTTCCCAAATCTCTGATGGTCAGATCAATACAAAATGCTTAGTTCAAACCTTGGAATATTTATGCAATAGAGTTTCAGAGAAGAGTGTAAAAGACGGTTCTGATTTTGCAGTATGTAGAATACACGTTCGCTTTTTTTTGCAGTAATGAAGTTTATAGACAAACTGATTGTATAGTGGAGAACTTATCTGTAATGATTATTTTAACTAATAATTTTTTTCCCGAGGTTATAAAATAAGTAAGTCTATCAAAGAGACTTTTAAGAAACTGAATATACTCTGCTGTTATATCAACAATGCATTCGATATTGTCAATTAAAACATTCATAAAAATGAGTGTTTTAGACAATGTTAATGTATACACTCCCCAATCACAGAGAAAAATAAATATGATGATAAATTATATTTATATATGTCTTATGAACAGAACTAAGAAGAACTGTTTGGACAATATTGTATAAAGACTTTAGAGATCACGCACGAAATATTCACTGGAACAAGTTATCTTGGAAGTCTTTTAAAGAATCATATGAATTAAACGAACAGTAAGTCAGATGTATTGACTATTAGTAAAAACGTTTTCACTACAAGCTTTAAAGTAGAAAGGCGAAAAGACATTATTATTATTATTATTATTATTATTATTATTATTATTATTATTATTATTATTATTATAACTTACATCAAGATCATATTGTTCTTGTTGTTTTGATGAAGTTGGAGAAGATTCAATGATTTTATTCATCTCTATCAAATCACTTTCATTATAGTCGATTGACTTTGATAATTCAAAACATTCAACTTCATTTGAATTTATTTTTTTATAAATATTAGTATTGTTTTCGATGTTCAATAGATCTGTTTTGTATAGACTGTACAAATCAACAAGTGGGGGTTTCTTGTGTAGTAATACATCTATATATTGATCTATTTGATGCGTTGGTATAATCCTACAAAGTAATAATATCACATAGAACGTTAAATACGTAATAAGGACTCATCTTAAGAGAAACAGGTATTTAGTGATCCCGATAATAAAAGAATGTACTTCCTAAATTTAGAGCTAATTTTTATCATGGATCAACATCAAGTATGGGAACCAACAAAAAAAATTAAGCAACACTGGATAAACGCTTAGTTCTAGCTTGAGGTTTCTTTAAAGTAATACTAAGAACAGACATAGAAGGCAATTGAGTTGATAGCAAGCCTGGTGCAGTTAGGTCAACGAATCAATATTCAGTTATTTGTATTTTAAAATGTAATCGACTTATTCTCTTGCATGATTCGAAACCAGTCACATTATTCTTTACTTGGCAATGTTTTCCGAATAGGGAATAGATCTCAAAATTACTCATCAGTAAATTGATAGTAAACACTTAGTTAGTTTTGTGTAAATGTTGAAACAGTTCAAAAGTAATTTTCCTTCAATGACTTACACGTAGCACATTGAACTCGCTTTAGATTGAACAAAATCGAGAATATTAAAAGTATTTCAGCCAAATTCTGAGTAACGCAGTCAAAACATTATGTAGACAAAACAGACTAACTTCCGGGAAACATGAAAAGCACTTGTACGGCCCACCGAACTCACAAGACATCTAAGTAGCAAATACAAACCTTTCTATAGATGTCAACCTACAAACAATAGGAAAAATCAGCATAGCCACCAGACAAATCAACAGTCGAAAACCAGCAGCATCAGACAACATACAAGCTGAAGCACTGACGTCAGACATAGAAGTAACTGCAAACCTGTTACACATCCTATTCAAGAGGATTTAGGAGGATAAACAAGTGACGACAGACTGAAAAGTGGGATGCCTCATCAAAGTAACAAAGAAAGGTGACTCAGTAAGTGTGAGAACTACAGAGGTACCACACTACTATCAGTATCAGGAAAGTTTTCAACAGTGTTGTTGAACCAAACGAAAGATTCAGTGGACGCTCAACTTCGAGAACAACAGGCCGGATTCCGTAAGGATCGATAGTTTACACACCACATCGCGACACTAGTGATCATTGTTGAACAATCAAGTCAATAGAACTGGTCACCATACATCAATCTTCTTAACTATGGTAAAGCATTTGACTGTGTGGATAGGAGAATCTTGTGGAAGCTTCTTCGACACTATGGTGTACATGAGAATATTGTCGATTTCGTACAGAATTCTTACAACAGACTACACTACAAGTCGTGCATGGCGGTCAGCTCACGTACGTAATCTAAGTGAAGATTAGTATCAGACAAAGCTATATACCTGAGAAAATTTTCACCACCATACGGGAGTCTTAATACATCTCTCCTATCATATAGGCTCCTTAAGTGGATATATCAACATTGCCTATCTCTACAACTTGATTATATTTTGGACAATGACTAGAAATGTAGTCCAATAAGTAATGTATGCTGTGTTTGATTCCTAATGCGAAAATCAACAATGATGGATACAAAAGAAGACATAATACCCATTCCGAATCGCACTATGATCAACTATCTACAATATACTGTTTTAATTTTAATTTAAATAGTTACTGTGTTACTTTAATTTTAACAGCGAACGGAATTCATGTCACATAAAGAATCATGTTTATTTTCGTTACTTTGAAATTTACACAAAACATTATACATTAATAGAATTGACCATTTTTGTCTTACGTTAGCATTCCAAGAACACCATGTTGATGGCAAACAGCTTGTTGTTTTAAACTGATAGTATTCAAATCAACAGGATTACCATTAGCTGGACGAGCTACAATCATTCGAATTAAAACTGTTGGGTCGCCCATTAGTTTTTGATTGGTCTCGTGAATTTCATTAGACTCAATTTGATTTGAATCTATTTGGCTAGGGGATAAAGTATATTTTTCCGATCGTATATTAATAGTATTAGTAAAAGTTGATGAAGTTCTGTTTGTTAACGGCTGCGTTCTGATAAGTGAAGTTTTTCTATCCATAGTTTTTGTGGATGTTTCACCCGTCTGCAGAGAATCTTGTTTTAATACAACTTCAGATAGACAATTTGATATAGCTTGGCGTAGAACTGTAGCTACTTGATCTGGTCCATAACTTCGAACATTATGATCACGAATGCAGACAATATGGTCACCAAGTCGAAGACGACCGTCCTTAGAAAGAATCAGTATAAACGATAAGAAACAGATGAGGTAAAGCTATCATGTACTACACTTAAGATCACATGAATTATTAAAATTAAACACTAAGAAAAATTTATGTTACCTCTTACTTCAGAGATAAAGCATAATAACCAAGTCGTGAACAGTCACTACGGACAGGATCATACATAATGTAGTAGAAAATGAGCAATAATCAATACGTTACATCTTAATGTAAAAATGACATCCACTCAGACATATCAATGCAAGGGAAATAGAATCGAAGAGAGAAAAACATAATTATAGTTTGTTGCTACACAAATAACTCACTGGGATTCGGAATTCCAAAGTTACACAAGTGGGGTTTTTTCAGTGACATATAGACAAGTGATAACTAGTCACTGATAACTGTATCCATATTTCTCTATCAATCATTTCGTTTTTATGAATCAATATACTTCTTAATCAATGATGATAAAAAAGAATTCCGAGTGATTGTTATCATTACTGAACAAAATATAGAGTGATATCAACTGAAGTCTTGTCGAAAACCAGAAAATGGTAACTGTTTCATATAAATGACGTGCATCCCAAAACACCTTCAAATTAAATGTTAATAAACTTTTAACAATACATAATAGTCCAAGTAGAGTTTTTGTCTTTAATATTGTCTTACCAGTTCAGCCGCTCCACCAGGTGTAATGCATCTAACGATTACGCCGGTGCTCTTACTTCCACACATACCAAATCCAAGATGTGTTGCATTATCAACTATCAATTCGATTACTTCTATCTCCGTCCAATCTGTATTTAGCTACAATAAAAATATTTGTTAAGTGTGAATTAATATACTGATTCAAAACATGAGTAAGATGACAGTTTGCTTAGATAGAACAACTAATTTTTCACGATTAGAAATCTATGAGGCTAATTTTTATTATTCAGAATGAAGCTATAGTTAATGTCAGAATATTTGACTGAATGGAACAAAACAAACGTCTACAAACGAGATATCGATTCGTTAACTTTCAAAGCTGTACTCATTACTGACTAAGTTTTAGATGAATTTTAGAAGTTCGGGTGAGAAGCCGTGACTAGTGGAGTTTAGACATTTTAGGGATAAGACAGATATCATCAATGACATCGTACAATAATTTTACTGTATTGCAAGTTGACTGTGATTAAAAATGTAGATTAAATGTTGAAAAGTCAGTTTTCTAATGGTATCATACTCTTCATGAGGATTGAGGCTCCTGGTCTCGATCTCTAGCTTTATTTTCGATAGCTGTTAGGCTGTGATGTGAAATATCTTTAATGACTCACCATTCATCACTGAAAGTTAATTTGGAAATCTTTTGAAAATAATTCACATATTACTGGTTATTAGGTTTTAATTTAACATCCGTCTAAATCAGCAGCGTTCAAGACAGTTATTAAATTTATTAAAAATCTAATCACGACAGATGTTATACTGTTTGTTTAAACTCAGGTGGAAGAATAGATTTTCCATGTTCTCCTAGTAAAAATAGTATCTGAACAGTTATATTTTAATAACCAGTGATTTGCTATCTACCCTTTAGGGTTGACCAAATTCTATAGACCAAGGTATAGTGCGGTCATCAGTCTAAGAAACTCAACATCATGACATAAAGACTTAGTTCCGTGTGTATACCATCTATTAAAATAACAATCCTATAATCTCAATGTAATTTGTGGAGATGGACCTGTCAAGCTTATTTTGTAAATAGTTTTCAATGTTATTTGTATTTACTTTGTCAACCTTCCACTGTATGTATATTTAACATTAAATGACTGTAACTGTTGTTTTAGTAAATGACCTTGAACACACTTTCCGTTGTACTGCTACATTGCGTGCCATACCGCTGCTAGCTAACAAATACAACGCTTCTCGCACACTCATCGTTCTACTTCCATTTGTGATTGAGATATCCGAAGTCTAAATCAAATTCTATCTTCATTTATAGACTGTAACCGAAATATATCACATTCAACGTTGGATTATATCATTAGAGAGTTCACCAACTTGTTCAGAATCAACAAACATTTATAATTGTGGATTTACTTTACTGGACCTAATCCTAACACGCGACGTCTGATCAATTTAAGTAACGTCCCCAATTTTTACTGTATTTGTGACAATTAATTATATATATTAATATTACTATTGATTTTTAATAACTTTGTTTATATTTTTTGTGTTCATATCTGTTTGGTCCACCACAATTATTTGGTGAGCCCGACGTGATTCGAACACGCATGGTTGAAAGATTTCATCGCCAATTAAAAAGCTCGCTGATGGCCCAAGATGATACAACCAAATGGAGTGACGCATTACCACTTGTACTCCTCGGTATTCGTTCAACCATAAAGGAAGACATTGGATGTACAGCCGCCGAGTTAGTCTATGGTACAACTCTAACGTTACCTGGCCAACTAGTCAACTATGAACCTACAACGCCAGGAGAGACTACTCACTTCGCAAGTCGCCTATTACAAACTATGCAGAATATTAAAGCAATACCCCCTCGTGAACACAACAATCGAGTCCAACTTGATAAAAACCTTGAAACGTGCAAATTTGTCTTTGTCCGAGTAGATACGGTTAAAAAACCATTGAAACAACCATATAAAGGTCCATATAAAGTAATTAAACGCACACAAAAATACTTCATCGTCAACAGAGATGGCAACAAGCAGACTATTTCTATAGACAGAATAAAACCTGCTTTCTGTGAAGCTACTCAAGTCAAGGAAGACAACGCCGTTGATAATCAACCCCTCCCACCAGCGACTGAACAACCAATGGAGGATAAAAAACTTAATACTAAGCCCCCTTGTTTAACACGCTCCGGTAGACCTATAAACAAACCCAAGCGTTATGTCCATTTCGTTGATTAAAAAAAAGCAAAACACACACCTCTCTATGTCACACACTACTAATTTCATCCAAAATTTTTTTTTCCTTTTCACAGTGTACATAATCACATTTTTCCACAATTACTCGTTTTGTCAGTTTTTTTTTAAAAAAAAAAAAAATTTTGTTTTGTTTTTGTCACACTAATAAACGAGTAAACTCTGTTTAGTTATTCATTTATCTTACACAAACATAAACAGTTCTTTTTTTTTGGCTCTTTAGCATTTTTACACATTATTATTATCATTGTCAGCCAACCAAGGCATTAAATGACAGTGTCTTCATTTTTTTTTTGTGTGTGTGCTTATTATACTATGCTACATCTCTACTACACGTCATACTCATCTCCACATTTTTGTTGGTTATAACTGTAAATATTATTTTTGTATACATGTATATATCACACCCTTACATTTTTTCTATTATAACCAGTGTTACCTCCGGACACTCTGGGGGGAGCTATGTGGAGATGGACCTGTCAAGCTTATTTTGTAAATAGTTTTCAATGTTATTTGTATTTACTTTGTCAACCTTCCACTGTATGTATATTTAACATTAAATGACTGTAACTGTTGTTTTAGTAAATGACCTTGAACACACTTTCCGTTGTACTGCTACATTGCGTGCCATACCGCTGCTAGCTAACAAATACAACGCTTCTCGCACACTCATCGTTCTACTTCCATTTGTGATTGAGATATCCGAAGTCTAAATCAAATTCTATCTTCATTTATAGACTGTAACCGAAATATATCACATTCAACGTTGGATTATATCATTAGAGAGTTCACCAACTTGTTCAGAATCAACAAACATTTATAATTGTGGATTTACTTTACTGGACCTAATCCTAACACGCGACGTCTGATCAATTTAAGTAACGTCCCCAATTTTTACTGTATTTGTGACAATTAATTATATATATTAATATTACTATTGATTTTTAATAACTTTGTTTATATTTTTTGTGTTCATATCTGTTTGGTCCACCACAAATTGATACTACCCTTTGTACTCTGACAAGTATCATATAATATCATACTCAGGCATATTACCATCGAGTTGTTCGGTCTCCAAATAATTTTTTAGGACCAACATATTCAACCTAACTGATTACTGAATAAGTAAACAGTGGTACTCTATCTATGATCTGTAGATCACGTAACAAAATAGAGAATAGTACAACAGATGTGTTATTACAATATAAGATGTTCTGATGTTAAGCTATAAGAAGAGGTTGAAATGCAACGGTTGATGAGTTTTTAGTTCCCATGTACGCTATAAGTATCATTACAATCTTTAGTACACCATACTGAAAAAGGTCATCTAGCAGAAAATCTAGATTTGGAAATTCTGTAATTATCAATATTTGATTGAACATTGTGTTAAATTAAAACCAAATAATTAAAACTTACCATTGTTTTGACGCTTTTTATCTCAGTTCATTTGATGAATTCTTTTCTGATTGGAGTGTAATCGTAAACAACTATCTGGAATCAGCTTAACTCTTTGCCTATTCATTCTGCTTTCCTCTTACGCTTCTTCGATTTTCTGATTATCCTGTTGTCGACCTGAATTAATCATATGGTCCTGATAATAAAGTGAGGTAGAGAAGAGTCAAAATAATAAAAAATTACACAAGATGATTAGTTTCAAATTGTTTTTTGTTAGTTTATAAGTTAATGGGATGAAGATCAGTATTTTCAAGAAGTCTCAGAAAACTCCATAGTACCAAAATAAATTTTAGCCAATCAACACCTTTAGAAGGTGTGCTGAGAAAACCAATGGCCATCACGTAGTATGTGGACTACTACTCACTTAAGTATCTGTTAAAGTGTTCAAGAATTCAAGCACAATTGGTACCATGTAAACGCCTTTCGATTTCTGTAACTAGGAAATCTGCCGTATTATCGAAATCTTATGTTTTAAGATCTTTATATTTGATCATGATATTTGAATCTAGAAAACTGACTAAGAAGTTATTGTCGCAATCTTTAAATATCAACATTATTGTAAGACGATACCTCGACGATTACCTCGAGCATCACCTTTGTACATCACGTCACCGATCGTCCTTAAGATGACACTCGCTACCCATATAGGTCCACACTGTTGAAGGTTTCTTACATACACTGGTAACCCATTAGGAAAAGGACGATCAGCTTTCTTCATCTTGGGTTTATAATCTCGTCTTCTCCCTTGTGGATACATGTCATTAAATGACGTCCGAATCTTGCTTCTGGACATTGACCTAGCAGGGGAGGCAACATTGGTTGAGGCTAGATTTCGGGTTATTCTGTATGATCTCAGGAAGTTCTAGATGAACTTCTCCGTCATGCTCTCACCTTGTGACTTGATGAAAATTCGACAAAACGATCATTCTAGTCGTTTGACTGGGTGTGGTAGGGTGGTGTGTTATAACGTCCTTCAAACAGAAGTTCGACATTTTCGACGTGAACTGAGGTTCACTGTCTATAACTAGTGTTTCCGGAAAAGCAAACTGCCCAAAAGCCTATTCAGCACCTTCATGTTTGAGGTCGATGAGGTCTGAAGCATGAAACAAATCTGGCCATTTCGCAAATTAGTCGATGTTGATTAAAAACGTTGATCGTTTATAAGCCCAGCAAAATCAGCATGAACACGGGATCATGACTTTCCTGAACATAACCATATGAATGACTGTGTTTTCGGTGGTAGTTTTACGGCGTATGCACACTGTGGATATTTGTTTGCAACACTTTCAATGTCCTCATCCGTCAGAAGTCAATATACATAACTGCGTGCTGGTGACGTCATACGATGCACACCAGGGTGACCTGAGCGAAATTGTTTTAATACCCGGGATCTGCCAGTAGCTGGAATAACCAGGTGTTGCCCAGACAGTACACAGGAGTTGGTAGTAGACAAATCTCCGCGTCGTCGGAAATATTCTATTAAAGCATTATCGACTTTGTTTAGCCTACCGTCATACGCATACTTCGCGACTTGCTGAAGTTCATATTGGACATCGTAGCATTCTGGAATATATTCGCCGTTGTTGGAAAGGTGTCGATCACATCCGACAAAACTCGGTTTACTTTTGCTTCAATTGATACTGCCTCAACAACGCAACCCTCATTGATTGTTCGGTTTCAGTTTATTAATCTTGATAATTCACTAGCCTCTCCAAGACTGGTTGTTGACGTATATTTGATGATAAAATCATAACCAGGAAGGAATGTAGCCCACTGCTATAAGCGATTTTCAGTGTTTATTGGGGTTTATCTATCTAAACGATCTCGAGTCACCGACTGCTCGAAAGTTGAATACTACCACCAAATACGAATTGCGAACCAATCTTTCTAAAACCACGTGTGCAATTCAAACTGGCCTCCTTCAACGTTCGCACAATAATCAATGTCAGACAACAGAAAGGGTTGGCTATGTCTTTAGAAAGTCTTAATATCGACTTCTCTTGTCTATCTGAGACCCGCATTCAAGACTAGTAAAGTACTACAAATTTGCTCTCCATCTGTCGCTTTGAAAAGCTTGTTTCACGTGTGTCTATTCGGGGACGCTGTGGCATTTTCTTCTGGTTTTGTTGGTGTTACACTACGTGCTGAGGTTGTGTCAGCTCTAACATCGGATGGTGGCGACACTCTGGTTGAAGAACTGACAGAATCGTCTACAAATGTACGGTAATTAGAGAATGTTCCAACAGCATAGAGTGAGTCGTTAGTTATCCCTATCTTTAATAAGAGTCCACTTCACTCATCTAACAACCATAGGAGGATAAGTTTACTTCTGATGGCATCCAAATGATTAACTTCCGTCATAATTCGTAGATTGTTCAAAACCCATGAGAGGTCGACTTGCGAGGAGTAGACTGGTTTTCGTTCTGGTCGAGGATGTATTAATCATATCTTCACCCTCTCCCAATACTTAGAACACCTTCATACTTATTACAAGCCAACAATCGTAGTGTCTCTCGACATCAGGCTCGCATTTGATTCGTTGGACAGGACTGCTCTATGGGATTGTCTATTGAAGAAAGGTGTGTCTAAAAGACCTACATACAAACACCACTGGCGGAGTGAGGGCATACGATCACCTCTCTCCAATGTTCTAAACCAGAAACTGGGCTGGGTAGGGTTGCCAAATCTAACCATTCCTTTTCAACTTTGCCATCAATGACGGTCTAAAATCAACTTTGATAGATGTGGGTGATGGTGGTATCAGTCTGTTGTCTGGAGAAAGACTCTTCGACCTTGAGTGTCCGGATGATATTGTCCTACTGTGTGATGGTACCTAAGCGATGCGATCTGCACTTAATCAGCTGGCAACCAGTGTCCGTGGGTATGGCATTCGCTTTGCACCTTGGCAGTGCAAAGTACTTTTACAAGACTCTCAAGATCCTAAACCTGCACTCACTCTTGGTAGTAAGCAGTTTCTCTCTCTTTGATTTGACAATGTTAAGCGACTCTCTGTGTTTGATCATCGCTGTCTCAAAGGATTTCTGACATCCACTATTAATGCAGTGATTCAACATCGCGTGTTCAGATACAGCTGTAGTGTGTGTTACTTATGTCGACAGATATAAATTGTATGTATCATCAGTCGAGAGTGAAATGTCTGCGGCAGAACGTTAGGAAGATCAAATAAAAGAGAACGAAAACAAAGAAAATGATTGGTGTGAAAACAAAAGAACAATGAAGTCTGAGACGATTGACTGATATTTGCAAAAGTAACAGTCAAGTTTGAGACGATTGACATTTTGCAAATGAAGAATTTAGTGTATGGTACTCAAGTTTTACTAAGACGTTCTGTAATTTTCTGTTCAAATTCATTTGACTGTCCCCACCAGTGAGACAATAATTCAAGTAGGGGCACTTTCTTGAAATATCTAATTCGGTGACTTGCACATGTTCTACGAATATCATCTCAGCGAATCCCACGTCGTGAATTATTTGCCTACACTGGGACTGGTTGGAAAAAGCAAAGAGGTGGTCAGTGTATGACATGGTATCAAAGAAAGCTGAACAGGACTGGCTTCTGTTGGTTCTTCACGACTCCCTGGTTAATATCCTAAAGATGGTGCAACACATTGGCTAGAAACGTCATCAGACGTGGCTCAGAATAGAAGCCAGTGGCAATCTTGCTGTCACTTTCTTCATACAAAATGAAGGTAACTTCTTTAACTGGAAGAATGCTTTCTGGTTGTATCTTTGCTAACTGAACTGCCTCTCCCATTATTGTTTCACTCTCATAAACGAATTTATGTTTGTTGTTTTCTCCGTTCGCTCATACGCACTTTACATTCTCTATCTCCTCCCATTTTCATTATTATTGTGTGGCACCTATGTATTTGATGCCCTTATGTATCAATGTTTTCTTCATTGTCACATAGTATAATTAGTCAGGTGAAAGTACAGTTCAAACGGTTTCTCCTATTTAAAGAATATTGGCTCGGATTATGTTTAACGATTCGACGAATTGATTATAACAGAAACACAGTTAACGGCAAATTATACAATTTTTTCTAAAGTTGCTATGTCATTTCACATTTTATACTAACCATAATTTTCTACTTCTACACTATTAGTATATTGATGGATATCCAACCTTTTACTACACTTTTCCTATATTACACAATGTGGTAAAAATATATGCTTAATATAGAGTGATCAAATTGACGATGTGACTATAATTCATTGTGTATTGATGTAAAGTGACTTAAGTAAATAAATTATTAAGCACTAGGGAAACGATTTCCAGGAAATTTTGGACGGAATGATTTCCAAATCATGAAAATTCCACATCCAATCAAAATTAAATCCTTCACATGGATTTCTACAAACCAGATGTCATGAATAGAGGATTTACAATCAATTAAATAACTATTTTAGTGGTAAGAAAGCGACCATGAAGAAACCAAACACTTATTTTCATATTTCACAATTTCTTTGATATTAATGTTTATACTTCCAAAATTTATCATTATGGGTACATAAAGCCCAAAGTCGGTTCAATGTCAATCATGTTTTGTGATAAGTTTTGTGATAAATTCGGTACCTAATTTCTTGATCACTGCAGTAGCTACACACCAGAACGAAAAATAAAAAGCAGCAAATGAATTTCCTGTTCAAAGAACGGTAGACGCATGTTGATTATCTGTTGAAATAGGTGTGTAATAACTTCATTTAACAGGGAATAATATGGGTGTTTCTGGAATAGCATTGATTTTGTGTTTGAGTCTTTCGTACTTAATCAAATACATGTAGCTATATTTGTTTCTCTAACCTACAGTTCCATATAAAAAGGATACAGATTAAGAAATTTCACTACGGTTCGTTCTGATAAATGATTTTGTGTTAGCAGCTTTCGAATCATTTAGAGCATGCATATTTTGCACTTCTTATCATTCGGTTTCGCTCATCAATAAGGTCACTGACTGAAGAATTCTTACCGAAACTCAATTCAATTTATCACAGCATATTATATGAATGCACAGTGAAATACCTAGTTTTGAGAAACACTCTTCTAGTTAGATGATAACAACATTACTCGGTTGCTTGAATTTGAGTACGTCGAACGGGGTTTAAACTAGTCAC